CCATCATATTTCAGGTATCTCAAACTGCTCAGATTTTCTCACCAAGAAATACTCAGGTCCTGAAATTCAAAAGACATTAACCTCCACACCATTCAAGAATCATTTCTTTTTAAATCTATAGGTACTTCACTCATTCTTTCATATTCAATCACAACCAATTGAACACCGGTTAACAAAAGACAACACAATATAGTTCCAAATCAAGTTTCATCATATTTAATATTATTACATTCAATAAATACTCAGAAATGAGGGGGGGAATGTCAGGTATTACATAACCAGAATAACCAATTATGCACAATTCATCAATACTCAACATTTCACATCAACTATAAGAAGAATCAAGAATCCACTAATTGTAACATTATATGTATATTAATAGAACATCGGAATTACCTTATATACACACAGTAGAGGATATTCTGTCAAAATTCGATGATGTGGAATTAAACATGGATCAGCAGCAGAGCTTCAAACCACCAAGGGCTTCGTAACCATATGAAAATATTGAAAAACATGTCAAGATAGACAGGTTGATGATTGCACACTTGCCATACAATGGAAAGGTTAGTTGAGAATAGCTCTCACTTAAAGGGTGGAATGTTGAGAATTCAAGGGCTTTCACTTGTGGGCTGATTATCCGGTACGTTGTTCCTAAAGCTCAAACTCATATAGAGCAAAATAATATTTTAATATATCATAATTTAGACATTTTAAAGGGTCCTATGTAAAGGATATTGACTGGATAACATACTTGAGAGGCACAAAACATTGCTTGCTCGAAAATATTTAAGAGTTTAATTCAGTTCCAAACGTCGTCGTTCAAATATATAGTCATGATCATTAAAAGCTGCGGATACTCAGTTTGCCAACATTAATAATATGAGACTACTCACAAGTGCTCAATCTAACAAGAACTACACTAGTACAGCACTTAAACATATTGCATAGAAGCTGATAATATCATGAAGTACATCATGGTTAAAGTAATATTTCATCCAGCTACATGGATAGCTGTAACTGAATGTTTATCTGTCATGACATGATCCTCAAGCTCGATTATGAGTAATTACAACTTACAAAAGGTCAATCAATATGAAGTTTGAACCCCTGAGCCCTGACTCAAACTCGCACTATACTTCTCGAAGCTCGATTAAACTAAGCGGGAAGCTATATTGGAAGATCAATTTGAAAGAATATTGGAAAATGTACACTTCACTGGCTGTTTCCCTCGTATTGGTTAGCTTCCAGTATTCACTGACCAGCTTACGACTTACGACGCTGCAAGATACATACACAAGACCATAGAACGTAAAATCTTCCACCTTTGATTTAATTGAAAGCAACTGAGGCTTCCACGTCACTTTAACCTCTAGAATATTCCAACTTTCATATCGATGCGAGAGCGAAATTCAACATCTCATCTCAAAGCATTGACAAAGCACAGTAGCAAGATACAACCCTCAATGACAAACTGACGAGGTCCGAATACAAGATTGCTCGAAAATGTTCACTCTTCCACTCTTTTTCAAGAGTCACATTCACCACTTCATCTGTTCAAAAGTGGAAAACTTTTCCTTCTAAAAAATATTTAGGTGTATCATTGTTCCCTGGCCCATATCTGGCCTCAAATCTCCGAGCATGAAATGAACCAGATCTAGTAGAACGTCTTGCTGGAACGTGACTTCTTGTTGAAGTGTGCACTTGAAGTGTAAACACTGTATCTTCAAGATACGTAAACTCTGAAATACAAGAAGTATCAACCTATTTAACCTTCACAAATTAACTGCCTAAATGTTGCGTCTTTTCAAAGATATGGATGTTAATCTTTGAGCATCTATATTACTCACAGACGCCGTTTTTTTAGCTCCAGCCTCCAGCCTCCCAACGGTTAAAATGTGAAGTAATCATGATTTATGACAGGTCACTATTGGATCAATAAGTATACACTAATGATTATACGCATACAAAACTACACGTATCACATAGTACGCAAACATGTTCTTTCTTCTTTCTTTTTTGACTGGTAGTTTCTGCGGCATGTAGCGGACATGATTAGATGGCAGGAAAATGGTACCACACAAAGCTTTGAGCTCTTGCTCAATTTGCAAAAGAGCAAGAGAGGAGCCTATAGATTTACGTTTTCTCGGAGCCTCTTTAGAGCGCGAGTACAATTTTGTTGTCTAGTGCTTCCATATTGAGCATTGGTTTGTTTGTTGTGATCAGTAGTGAGGAAAAAATTATTTCACGTCAGCATGTACAAAGTTGACTCTTGGTCTCACAACAAAGCTGATTTGAAGAAGTGTGATATGGTAAAACAATTTCCCTGACAAGAAACGGTTCAATAGTTTGCCTGAATAAGTGCATCATTAGTTCCTTTCCAATGATCTTGATCATTTGATGTCTTTTAATGGTCTTTTGAGGCTGGCTTCGAGAAGCTTTTCAGCCATCAAGATTCAAAAGAATCTCACTAGAAAAGCGCAAATTCCCAATGCGGTAATTCAGGTTGCCGATTTTGAGGTGACCAAACTCAACCGGGAAATCGATCCCCCAGCGTTAGACACCTTTGCGCTTTTCTGCATCTCATTTCACATCTTGCATACACTGGGCCACGTAAAAGTGCATAGATAAATTTGTTCGTAACCCAGACACGCTCGAAATCTTGCAGTTGTACACCAACCCTTTACAAGTGGCATGCAAAGTTCATGAACTCAGAGTAAACAGAGCTTTCTTATGAAGATGAGGAAAATCCAGATGTGTACTTTGGGCAATTTTATAAAACCAATTTCTTTCCCAATTATCTTTTCAAGTTCAAAAAAAATCTCATCTTCATTAATTCTCATTCAACGTTATTAAAACAAGATGGTTAGCAAGAACTCACTATTGAAAGCTGGTGCCATAAGTGCCCTTGCCTCTATTGCAAATGCTCAATCACTTTTCACACCAATAGATTTCAAATCATCTTTGGATTTATACTACTATTTCAAAAGCGGTAATGCTATAGCAGCAATCACAGATGAAGGTATAGATATTGAAGGTTCTTTCAGTTCCAATGATGAATTATGTCAAGCTTTAGACGGTGCTCAATTAGTCTACTCAAGTGATAAAGGTGAAGATGTTTTGTTAACATCAAACTGTTTTTCAGTCTACCATTTAGTTGATAACTCAAGCTCAGAAATAACATGGAGTTCATGTCAAGAATTTCCATTCTTTGCTAACTATTGTCCTGGCGGTTCTGCTTCAGGTTCTGCTTCAGCTACACTAAGTTCTACTACTTTATCAAGCACTGCTACTGCTGCTCAAAATTCAGTCAGTGGCTCAGAAACCCTATATTTAACCACTGTCACATCAACCATAAATAACATTGAAACCATATATACCACATACTGTCCATTATCAGAAATCACAGCTTCAAGATCACAACCAGCATCAATCAGCGGTGGTACTACAAACATCAACGCTGTTAATGGTGCTCCAGCTGTTCAAACTTCCACATATGTTGTTACTGAAAATGGTTCAGAATCAACTTTCACCACATTAATTCCAATTAGTGGAAGTGCTGCTGGTATTGCTGGCGCTGCTGGTCCTCAAAAAACTTTTGTTGATAACACTGATTTCTATGAAACTCTTGAAAGTCATGCTTCAGCTGCCACCTCAGTCAGTGGATCAGATACTTATGTTTTAAGTACTGTCACTTCAACAATTGGTAACATTGCCACTATTTACACAACTTATTGTCCAATTTCTGAAATTGCAACTGGCTCAGCTCCAGCTACTATTGCTTCTGAAACCCCAGCTCCTTCTGCTCAAGGTTTAACCGCTGGTGCTGCTTCTGCTGGTACTGAAAGTGCAGCTCCATCAGTTCATTCAACTCTCGTCAGTTCAGTTGTTACAAACTCAGATAACGGTGAAGTTTCTACCGTTTTAGTTCAAACTACCTACACTGTTGGTACTCCTTCAGCCCCAGCTGCTTCAGGTGCTACAGTTGCTCAACAAGGTGCTCCTTCAGGTTCAGGCTCAGTCGCTCAACAAGGTGCTTCTTCAAGCGCTGGTTCAGTTGCTCCAGCTATTACTTCATTCTACGAAGGTGGTGCTGCTCAAGTTATTAGCTCCATCTCTCTTGCTTCATTTGTTGCTATCTTCTTTGGATTATTTTGTTAAAATTTCTTGACATATCTTCTTTTAATATCATTTGTACATTTAATTACCAAAATCTTTTAATCAGTTATTGATTTTGTATGATTGTAGTGATTTTGAATTGACCATCTGCTGAACTTGGGAGTACATACTGGCTTTCTTCAAAGGATAATCAATATCGGTCATAGTCCATGACTAGGTTTAATAAATTACATCAATAGTATAATGACATAGATGGTACTCTCTACTACACTGTATATTTGCCAATGGAGTTGTTGTACAACTCAAATCAGATCTTTACTGGATATGTTATGACGTGCAGTTGAAATTGGAAATTAATTGAAGCACATCTGTCATATTGATCGATTCGATCACATACATACAGTCGAAATTCGAAACGATAATTTGAAAGACAGAAGACGTAAGTTGTTAGCGTAACAGCTTGGGAAAGTTTTAACTTCCATATTCCGTAACTTTGCACTTTATTGTTTGGTTACGTCCTCCACATAGTTACGACAAATCAGGCACAAGGATGATTCAATAGTGTATAAAGTTTCCAAGAATTTTAGTAACTTCTTAAATTTGCATGTATTGGTTTGCTAATTCTTCGGTGTCTACCAGAACATCATTATAGAGCGAGAAAGATAACTTCATGAGCTCAGTATTAATTTGCAAACTAATCTTACGCGGCCGATACAAAGAGGATAAAGAGTACAGGCTTTTCCCTAATTGCCCAACAACCAGCACCGCAATTTCAACAAATCCATCAATTACTCATAAAATTATTCGACCCATCATATGGAAACTTGAAAGGTAACTTCAATTCCCCTTTCAATAGTTTTCCATCATGATTCAGCTCGAATTGTTCTTTTGATGTGAAAATTCACGTGGAGGGATGCAGATTGAACGCCGAATCTTGCATAAATCCTAATCCGGAAGGAGTTGTTGCGGAAAATGGGCAAACACCAGCAAACTGGAAAGGTTGAACGCTGGAAAGCTAGAACATCAACGTACCCAAGTCATGATTTTGCCTGACGGATACAAAGATAAAGGAGAGCATCTAAGAAATTAAGAATCTCTCATCTTTGATACCCTCTAATTCTCACTGAAGTGGTGAAATTCGGACGTACTACAGGTGATTGCAAGATTATTTTTACCACGAATTATTGTATTTCTCGGGGAGCTCCACCATAATCCATCAGTACTATAAGAGTTGGTACGTCAACGTTTGAGTTCACACTTTATTAAGATTCGTGGAATAAGTGTCGACGCGCTATTGTTACCAAACTCCAAAGGAGTGAAGAGCCAGCACGGCTTACAATTTGTTAGACCATATACACGGTGGAAGAAATTAGTGGGTATCAACAGGTTCAAAATTTGAATGTTTTGAGGAGATTCTTTTGTAAATATCAAAATTCGAGCCAATCACCAACTTACGACACCGGAAAAGGTCAAGTTGATGCTGTTTTCCAAAACGAAATTCGCTTTTTCCAGTAATTTTGCGCAGTAGACTCGTCAGAATTAGGCAGTTTAGATCTTCCGTCAACCAAAATCGGTGAAGCCATCACTGCGGTCAGCTGCATCATGTATGTTAGCTCATGCACTATCATTACAGATCATGCCCGCGAGCATCTGTACCAGCCCCTTCAAAGTTCTGTAAACAGAGTGAGAAAACACATCAAGATAGAATTGTACACAACATAAGCACGAACCAACTCTACCTTTCCAAATATGTACCGACTTTCTTGCCATTTTCATTTCAAATAAGTAGATGTTCAATCCCATTTTTTTCATTTTGCTTCTTACTAAAACCCATCTGTATAGTCTTTTTGTGAACTAGATACACCTGGATTTGTTATATCAACTTATTCAACCAAAGTACTACACCCACATTTGAACTGATTATTACAATATCAAAATGAAGACTACAACATTTTCAATCTCACTATTAATGGTGTTGGCTACCTCATTAGCGCAATCCACATCAACTGATACTTTCACAGGTACTGCAACATATACAGCATACACTAAGAGTTCATCGTCAGCTGGACCAAGTGGAACTGGCAATCCTTCATCAGGCTCAAGTGCTCCAATTTCAAGCGGGTCCTCATCATTACCAGAATCTGAATCAAGTGCTCCAGTCTCAAGTGGTTCTTCATCTCTACCAGAATCTGAATCAAGTGCACCATTTTCAAGTTCACTAGTTTCTTCATTCCCAACAATCGCACCATCTTCTTCAGGTGCTTCATCAATTCCAACATCATCATTATACCCATCATCATCAAATATTATCAGTCCACCATATCAAAACTCAAGTTACGTTTCAAGTACATTTAGTATACCGGCTTCATCAACTGAGGAAGACTCTTCAAGCTTGTCATCATTAATTGATTCTCAACCAGGCACTTTGATTTCCTCAGTTGGTCCAACTTCAGATGCTGGTAGTTTGATTTCTTCAGTTGGTCCATCCTCATCATCATTTGATTCTCAACCAGGTACTGTTATTTCATCTGTTGGTCCATCCAGTTCAGCACCATCAGCTTCAGCTTCAGCTTCAAGCTCTCAAGCCACTTCTTCAAGCTCCACATCTACTTCAACTTCATCCTCTACTTCATCTACTACTTCATCCTCCACAACTTCATCATCAACCACTTCCAGCTCAACAACTAGCTCATCAACCACATCTTCTTCTACCTCAACCAGCTCATCAACCACACCATCTTCTACTTCCACCAGCTCATCCACAACTTCATCCTCCACAAGAACTTCAAGCTCCTCATCTTCTTCAACTTCTGCAGCAGCCACAAGCGGATTGAATGCTTTTGAAGCTGCTGTTTTAGCAAGACATAATGAGTACAGAGCTAGACATGGTGTTCCATTATTAACTTGGAACAGTACATTAGCTGATTACGGTTATAGTTATATTGATGAAATTGAAAGCACTGATCATTCAGCATGTTCAGGTACTTTAGTCCATTCACCACGTACTGGATTAAACTTTGGTGAAAACTTGGCTTATGGTACAATCACTGATACTCAAGCTGTTGATCTATGGTATGATGAAAATGTTTACTATAACTATCAAGATCCATCCCAAAGTTCTGGTGATTTTGAACAATATGGTCATTTCACTCAATTGATTTGGAGAGCATCTACCCAGCTTGGTTGTGCCATCAAGAGATGTAATGGTAATATCATATATGTTATTTGTGAATATCATCCACAAGGTAACATCTTTTTAGCTGGTGATGATCAATATTATTTCTTCAAGAGAAATGTTCCAGCACCAATTGCTAATTAGATTTAAACATAACGATGCCAAAAAGAATGAATTTTTCATTTCACTTTCTAAAACTTTTGCTTCTATTTTCAATTTGATTTTAGCTCTGTTTTTAATATTAATATAATTTGTACATTTAGAATAATTCTTTTGTAAGCAGCTTATACCCGTGTGTCCCCGTTTCAAAAATCTGTCAAATTCGCGACCACAAAAAATTTAAAAAAAAAAAAAATTGGAAAGTGGCGAAATTTTCGACATCCCGTTTTTTTTTTTAAGGAGCAAAGAATCGAAATCGAAATCGAAACATCTGTTCAAATTAACAGCGGCTAACACATTTGCAACAACCACAACAACAAAGATTGTTCAGCTTAATTGCCTTGGTTGTGTATTTCAGATATCCTTTTGGTTTCTTGCTCTTGATCATCTTGACGATGAGAAATTAGGGTTTGTGTATTGTTAAAAGTGTGTGTTTTTAAGGTGTCAAATCATTAACAACAACAATTGAACAAAGACTGAATACAAGTGTGATATGGCTAATCCTCTACTACATCAACATGAAGACACAGCTCAAGGGTCGCCATGTTTAAAGAAGAGAAAGCTGGAAGAAGAAGAAGAAGTGGAGGGAGGTGCTGAAGTTTCTAAATTGAAGCAATTTCAATCCAAACCAATTGAAGAAAATATAGATTATATTTCATTGAAAAGTTCATTATCTTTATTACAATCAAATTTGAAGAATCTTGAAAGAAATATACATGAATTATCAAGTTTCAAAAAAACTATAAAAGAATCAAATAATATTAAAGAAATTGCTGGATTAATCAATGAAAATTCAAACTATTTAACTGAAATTACTTATAAAGGAAGTTGTATCAAATGTCCTGTTATCAATTGGAATTTAAATTATGGATTGAAATTGGAAAAATTAAATGATGATGATGAATGTTATGAAAAAATTAATGAAGGGTATGAAATTTTAAAAAGAGATAAACTATTTAACTGTTGAGTTGAATGTTATTGTGTATTTAGCTAAGGACTGAGAGTTTCTCCAAAAGGGAGAAATAAAAGTCAATCGTGTGATTTATGAGGTGATGTGTGTTTCTACAAAATGAAAACGGACAATTCTATGATTTATTTTAACTTATTACAAAAAAAAAACAAAAAAACAGAAAATGGAAGAAAAGGGGAGAGAACAAATATGTTGATAGTGGGTTTTCTTCGGGTTTTGCTTTTAGATTTCATTTATACATAATGTTAACAGGTTTAACAAAACAAATTTACAAAAAAAAACAAGAAAACTAAATATATATATTTTTGATGTTTGTCAAAACACTCAGTGTAGTTTAACTATTGGTATTGTTCAATAGCTTGTTTGATAACAGGAGGATTAGCACCAACGATTTTTCCAATTGCTTCACCATTTTTAAATAATACAAAAGTTGGCATTGCTGTAATTCCATATTCTTGAGCAATTTCATTTGATTCATCAACATCAACTTTTAAAAATTGAACATTTGTAAATTCTTTACTGTATTTTTCCAAAACTGGTGAAATTGCCTTACATGGTCCACACCAAGTTGCAAAAAAATCTGTTATTGTTAATTTATCAGTCTTGATTAAATCTTTAAATTCTTTTAAATTTGTTGAAGTTTTGATCAATGAAGAATTGAAACGAGCTGATTGGAATGAAAGGACTGATGAAGGTCTGATTCTTAAAATAGCTGGACGTAATGTAGTGGTGAATGACATTTTGGAATATGGAATTGTGATTGTAAAGAGTAAAAGATGACAAATTTTTGAATGGAGTTTAAAGCCTTTTTTCAAAGAATATCATCAAATCTGGTTCGGACCAAAACACTACAAAAATTCAATATTCATAAAGCCATTAAATTTTTTACTATGTTAACTATCTAGTTTCATTCCCTGCTTCATTTTCTTAAAGTTTGTTGCTGTAGCAATTTTTTACGTTTTCTTGGATCTGAAGTTTGAATGAAAACATTTGAACTAGGTCTTTTAGTTGTTGATGCAGTTGATGCAGTTGATGAATTTGATGATGATGGTAATTCGTTTGATTTAACTCTTTGTAAATATGTTGAAAGGTCTTGCGAATTCTTCTTAGTAATTGGTGGTTGTTGTTGTTGCTGTGTTGTAGTTTTTGTTGTTTGTGGTTGTATCAAAGGTTGAGGTGACGGTTTTTCAGTAACATTTGGATCAACATAACTTGGTGAAGGTCTTTCTTGATCTGATGGTGTTGTTGAATTATTACGAGAATTTTCATCTTCATCATCTAATTCCATTGGATTTTGTAAATCATCATCTGAAAATATACCATCCAATTCAGGTAACCAAAGATCATCATCACTAATATCTTGTTCACCTCTACTTCTTTGTAATTTATGTCTTTCCCTTTTAGCTGCCCTTTCAGTACGCAGTCTTCTTCTCCCTTCTCTATTACTTTGTTTAAATTTATTTAATAACTCTTCAGCTTTATCAGTTGTGAAACCTTCTTGTTTAACTTTAATAGGTCCATTATTTTTATCACCACCAGCACCATTTGATAACTCTATTTTTTCATCAATGATAAATGCAGTTGATTTAGAATATCCAGTATCTTTTAATTTTTGTAAATAATCATCTTGTTGTTTTTGTAATTTAGCTAATTTTTCTTGTTCAATTTTTTGCAATTCATCTTCTTTTGCCTTTCGTATTTTTTCAATTTCCTCCAATTTTTCTCTTTCTAATCTTTCAATTTCTTGTTGTTTGGCAATTTCTTGATCTTGTTTCTTTTGTTTAGCCATTTCAATTCTTTGTACATTATCATCAATTTTTTTTTGTTTAATTAATTCTTCAATTTTATTCAATTCTTCAATTTCAACAAGTTGATAATTTTTCAATTCGTTTTCTTTAATCATTATATCACTTGTTAAATCAGTTATCTTGTCTTGAATTCTTTTGGTTTTCATTGAAATTGTATCATTTTTCAACTTTATAAATAATTGATTAGCACCATGGTCATAATCTGAAGCATAATTAAAAGCACAAATTCTTAATGGTAATGTTAAGATTTTCGATTCTAATATTAGTTTATTTCTTTCAATCAATGTGTTTCTATCATGTTCACCACTTGATACATTTTTCAAAACATAATCAAAGAATAATTCAATATCTCTTGTTAAATTTGGCTCATTTTCAATTGTTGATAATTCTAATTTATGGTCTTCAATTGATTTGATCAGTTCGGGTATCTTTAGTTTAGCCTCCATATATGCTGATGAATTGGATAGCTCATTTAGCCTTAGCTCTTCAATGTCTAAAGAAGATGGTTCAATGAATGAAGCTAATTCTTCTGGACAATTATCAACAACCTTGTCACCATTGAGAGCATTATCACCATTGTGATTCAAACCATTAACTTCAACCGCCACATTGGTTTCTTGAATAGGTTCCAGATCCATCATCACCGCCAGCGACTCTTGATCTTGATCGTTCTGTTGATAGTTCCTCTTTTAATGTTTATCATTTTGAGCTTTTCTGAATTATCAAAACATGTAAAATCCTGGAAAAAAAATCAAAGTGCCCAGGGCTCGAAACCGGACTTTTGGCTGGACATTATGGGGAGTAAAATAAAGAAAAAGTGAGTATTTTAAAGTGAAAATGTTGAGAGATTGTTACTCAGCGCTTGAAGTTTTTATACCCTTTTTCTGGATATTCAAAGGCATTTTTTGGGAGATTTTGTCGACTTCATTACACATCGTCACTATTGCGGGCCAGTAGAAAAAAATTATGGAACATAACTATAAAGAAGATGATGCGTTGCAAGTAAAATACTTTCAGGATGATTATTATAACATTTATTTTGCAATCAAGGCAAGCGCAGGTCGATAATCATTTTCGAGAGTGATTTTCATATTGATGTTGAGCTTCATTATACGTACATTTCAATCTGTCATTACTCTACGTGTAAATAAACATTATTTGAAACTAGTTTACATTGAAATTAACTCAAGAAGTTTGATAGGTAATATCGTATGAAAAATTGCTAAAATTAAATAAATTGATCTAATAGATATTTTTGGATACTTAAATAGTCATAAAATCAAAAATTTAATTAGAATCGAAAAAATATGAAGTTTTACAAAATTGAAATGTGATTTTAGAGTACTATGCTGATAATTTCAAATTTTGAAATTTTTTATATCACACAAATTTAATCAATTAATTAATAGAGGTACGGAATTAAATTACTTTAAGCAGTTAATTAGATGACAATAGCATAATCTAAGGTATTTCACATATAATTATCTAGTTTCGGTACCATATTAATAGTCATTTGAGAGTGCCCTTACCGACAGTATAAACATCCAAACATCAAGGGTATAAAGAAGTCAAGGTACTGAATTAGATTCTTCGATAAGGTCTGTTTTTAATCGATCAGCTCGGTTTACTGATCAATCAGTAAGTTACACTCCTAGTGGTTTTGGTTTCTACATTACTTCTTCATCAAAAAAAAGCACGCCATAAATCATTAAACTAATTATCAAACTTCAACGCTTTAAGCACTTGGTAATATTTCTTCATTAGTTGTCATTAAACCTCTGTATTTTAATTGAATTTTATTCTTAGAAGAAGTTAAACTATCTGCAGGATGATTCATTGAAGAACTTGCCAAAGTTGAAGAACCTGTGATTGTACTATTTGTATCTGAAATAAGTGAATGATTGTTTAAAATTGAATTGTTATTGCTCATTACACCTGAAGAGCTAAAGACTGAAAAAGGTCTTGATTTTGTTGGTTTGTTGAATATAGGGTATGATATATTTGATGTGAGTTCATCACAATCTGGGTATTGTGCTTCTAATTTTGAAAGATGTGTATGACGGATATGAAGAACTTTTAATCTGTACGTTATTGGAGGAGAACTGTGATGATGATTCTTTGTCATTGTAGGGTATACTATTGGTGATGGATTGGTTGAGTATTCTAACATCTTGAAAAGGATTTGTTTGGTATATATTCTTTTTTTCAGATCTGGGATCTTATTATGAGAAATGGGTTCAGTACGGCCTAATAAGACAATGTGCAGATGAAATAAGTGTACGCCTTTAGATCAGGTGAAATAATTATTTAGTATGGTCTACTCCTTGAAGAGAACTGAATAAATGAATAAATAAATTAGGAAAGAAAGATATGACTATTTATCAAGTTGTTGAAAGATGCTCATGAATCATCTTGTTTTTGGTTCAACTTTGACATAAAAAAAATCGTACGGTTTTGCTGATCATGATACTGATGATTTTAAAAATTCAACAAGCAAAGGTAATTTTTCACCTAACCAAAGAGCATTTTTAGTATGGTCTATTAAATCCCCTTGATTTGATCTTGGATGTATTAATACACTCAATTCCCCATGATTTAATTGATAGTAGTTTAATATTTTGAGAAATGTTTCAGGTGATCTTGTATCAGATTCAAACATTCCATAACCAATTGGATGAGGTCCTAATTGTTTTTCATGGGTCTTGAATACTCTCATTAGATTTGGTGATTGTAGTTCATTATGAAATTCATTCTCAATTGTTTGTTTAAAAGATTTAGCAAATTCTACTTGTACTGGATCATTTAGCTTAAAATAAGTGTGGAAGTCATAGGACACAATGCCATAATGGAATGAGGAATGTTGTGATGTACTGGAAGAAGTCATTTTGAAATGTTAATTGATTGAATAGAGTAATCTAGAGTTTAAATCAATCCATCCTTCATGGTCTTTTATATACACTTGGTCGAGTACTTATTCGGCTAAATCAATTGTAATCATGTTTGTCATGATATAAGTCATGCTGACAAAGACAATAAACGTTTCACGTGACTGATCATGTGACTGAACATTACCCTGACTCTATCTCCCTTAGTTCTGAAGTTTACACTGACATCCCAGTAACCACCCTTCCAGTCCAGCGTAATCCTCAGCACACCCTGCCTAGCACACCCCTGCCGCACCCCTAAATGGCAATTCCCTAATCCGGCCATTACGGGAGTTTGTCGATAAGAAGAACGCGCGCTGATAAAATTTTTTTTTCTACTGGCGAACGAAAAAAACAAAAAAAAGCTGAAAATTTTTTTTGCTTTGAAGATAAGATAAATTTCAACATCATCAACAACAACAAGACACATCACACTCGTTGACACAACCCACTGGAACAGAGACAAACCATCAATCAGGACACATACACCACCAGCCATCAGCCATCTCTTCAAGAACCAGTCCATGCTGCTATCAAGATATCAACTGATTTAGTTTAAGGATACCCGCGCCCCCCACAAGAATATAACAACAAGACAAAGAGGTTATTTGATGCTAGATCCACAAGATTACCAGTTTTAACAACTACAACAAGAGTATAAACCATAGAGAAATACAAAATAGTCTTTGCCATGTCTGAAGTGCAACAACAAGCTGCTCCTTACCAGAATAACATCACCATACCTCCAATCAATTCTTCATCTGGGAGTAGTAATAATGGTGGTGCTAATAGTGAGAACCAATTACCTCCTTTACAAATACCTCCAATAAAACAGCAGCAACCGCAACAACAACAACAACAGCCTCAACCTCAGCAACCTCAACATCCAAATGTCAAGACAACTACTCACATCAATTCAAATGGTGCCACTACAACAAAGACAAATCTTTCCACACCAGTTTGTAAGAATTGTAAAACTTCAACAACACCATTATGGAGAAGAGATGAAACTGGACAAGTTTTATGTAATGCATGTGGATTGTTTTTGAAACTACATGGACGTCCAAGACCAATTTCTCTTAAAACAGATGTGATCAAATCAAGAAATCGTGTTAAACATCCTCAAGTTAATTCTAATGGTAATAATTCAAATAAAAATTCAGATCCAAATACTCCTGAATTTAAAGCTAAAGAATCAAAAAAGAATTCACCAAAAGATTATCAAATCCCTCAACAACAACAACAGAATCTTGAAGTTCCTAAAAGAACTCAAACATTATCACCAACTCCTCCACAAACTTCACCTGGATTAGTTCCATTATTACCAAGAAATCAACAACAGCAACAACAAACAACAAAGACTGCAACAAATTCACCATATATTTATCAACAATTCCATCCTCATTTACCTCATCATTTACAAGTTCAAGGTGTTCCATTACATCACCCAAATTCTGCACCAACACAATTTGCACCAAATTTAACTACAATAACTTCACCATTATTATTAAGTACAACTCCAAAGCAACAAGTTCATCAACATCAATTGGCTCAAGCTCATGTTGCCGCTGCAGCTGGTGCTTTAGAAAATATGAGTCATGTTGATCAATTACCTCCATTGACAAAAGATAGTAATAGTAATAAGAAATCCACTACACCATTTTCACCAGCTACTGCATTAGCAGGTGTTGGATCAAATGGTAATGGATTAAGTAATACTACACAAGGTACCAAATTACCATCAATTAATGGTGGGAATAGTGGTAATAATAATGGGTTATATTCTTCACCAAGTTTTGGTCCTCAACATTCATTAACCAATCCAAGTGCTTTTTCATTAAGTACTAAGAGTAATAATGAAGATGAAAAAAATGAAATTTCTCAATTAAAAACAAGAATCAGTGAATTAGAATTAGTTAATGATTTGTATAAGAGTAGGATTCAAGAATTGGAGAGCTTAGAACAAGCATCAAGAGAACGTGAGTTGAAGTTGAAATTGAAGTTTGATGAATTGAACAAGAATGATAAAGAAGAAGATGAAGAAGGGAGTATAAGGAAAAAGATCAAGTTGGAGGAGAATTAAAGAGGACAATGTTTGTTGGATCGATGTGTTATGAAGTGTAATAATATATAAATAGGATTATGGATATGTTGTAGATGAATCATGATGTTCAGTGGAGAGCATGAGTAAGCCCTGGAGCAACCAAGCAACAATAGACGAGGATATCCAGGAACAGTTGGGATCAAAATGCACGTTACACACTGAATAAAACACGAATAGCACATAAAATACACTTCTATAACCCATTAAATACACTATAATAACCCAATCATCAACTATTTTATAACTAATAAACTCTTGAATTAATTAAAACTGATGTAATAATTTACATTAAGCTTATGTGGCCCCATACCGCTGCCAATCCATGTCCAAATTCCAAAAAAGCTTATTGTAAAATACGGTTATAGGCAAAGAAAAACTTTGCAATTGCTAAATTCATTGGAAATATGAGTATATATATCATGATGTTTCCATAAATTCCATTTGGTTTCCCCTATGGCTAATACATTACACCAAAAATGGATCCTGAAAAAACGTCCATCTTTAATGATGAAGGTAATCCTCCTCATTCAAATGCATTATTTGAATCAAATAACACCAACACCAACAGCAACAAACTTGAAAATGGTTCATCTTCAAATGACTTAAAATCCGAAAATTCTTATGATCAACAACAAGAAACAAACAACACCTCTGGTGTAGATAATATCCTTTCCCATTATGATGAAGAACAAGTTATGAATATGGGGAGAAATTTCGCCCTAAAGCATGATTTACCAAATCCTGAATTATTTGCAAGAGCTGCTGCATTAGCTAGAGAACCTAAAAACTATAATAGAATGTCATTTTTATCAGATGAAGAAAAAGAAGTTGTTCATAATGAAATTCATCATCCTTGGAGAATCCCAAGAAAATTGTATCAAGTTATTTTTTCAATTTCTTTAGCTGCTGCTACTCAAGGTGCTGATGAAACTGTTATTAGTGGTGCAATGCTTTTCTATCCAATGGCTTTAGGTATTGGCCAAGATACTTCAAGAGATGAATGGTTACAAGGTTTAGTCAATGCTGCTCCTTATCTATTTTGTGCTTTTGTTTCAACTTTATTTACAGATCCTGCAAATAAAAGATTTGGTCGTAAAAAAGTTATATTTTGGTCATGTTTTGTTTCTGCTCTAACATGTTTTTGGCAAGGTTTTGTAAATACTTGGTATCATTTATTTATTGCAAGAGCTTGTCTTGGTGCTTTTGGTATTGGTCCAAAATCTGCAACTGTTCCTGTTTATGCTGGTGAAACTGCTCCTGCTCCAATCCGTGGTGCTTTGTCAATGCTTTGGCAATTCTTTACAGCTGTTGGAATTGCATTAGGTTATGTTTTTTCAATTGCTTTTTATTATGTACCTGATCATGGTATTGCCCTAGGTTTAAATTGGAGATTAATGTTGGGATCCGCAATGATTCCTGCATTTTTAGCCTTATTTCAAATCCCTTTTATACCTGAATCTCCAAGATGGTTGATGGGTAAAGGTCGTTATAATGATGCATATGATTCTTTAAAATCTATTAGAAATCATGAAATTTGTGCTGCAAGAGATTGTTTTTATCAATATGTTTTATTACAAGAAGAGGCTGGTTTAAATACTCCAACAATGGTTAAAATTAAAGAATTATTTACAGTTAGAAGAAATAGAAATGCATTGGTTGCTTCTTTTATTGTCACTTTTATGCAACAATTTTGTGGTATTAATATCATTGCTTATTATTCTTCCACTATTTTCGTTGAAGCTAACTATACTGAAATTGAAGGTTTAGGTGCTTCTTTAGGTTATGGTTGGTTGGGTGTGATCTTTGCAATTCCTGCTTTTTTCTCAATTGATAAAGCTGGTAGACGATTTTTATTATTGTTAACTTTCCCATTCATGGCTGCCTTTTTATTCATGACTGGATTTTCATTTTATATTCCAATGGAGCATAAAGCTGGTCATGTTGGTGCAATCACTTTAGGTTTATACTTGTTTACATGTTTTTATGCTTTTGGTTCAGGTGTTGTTACTTTTCCTTATGTTGCTGAATGTTTCCCACTTTATGTTAGAACTTTGGGATCTTCTTTAATGATTGGTAACTTATGGTTTTGGAATTTTATTATTGCAATTACATGGCCTTCAATGATTTCTGCATTTACTCCAACTGGTGGGTTTTGCTTTTATGCTGCTTGGAATGTTGTTGGATTTTTCCTAGTTTTATGGTTTTTACCAGAAACAAAAGGTCTTACATTGGAAGAATTGGATGAAATCTTTGATGTACCAATTTGGGTTCATGCTAAATATCAAACTAGAGAATTTTGGGATGATTTCCAAAGAAATTTCCTTAGAAGAAATGTTCCAAAACAACCTCCATTATATAGCCATCAAAAAATGGCTGTCACTAATGAGTTTTGGAATGATAAACCAGAAACTGAACAAGTTGAATAGTTATATTATCATGATACATTTAGAAATTTGTGCTTTATAAACATTTTGAAATTTTACACTTGTATAAAGTAGTGCCCCGAAACCAATTTGATTATCGCGAATTGATTTTTTTTTTTTTTTTTTAATTTTATTTTTTTTGTTCCCGAGAAACTGACAGACGAAGATAAAGTCAACGAAATTTTGAACACCCTTTTAAAGAAAAGTTTTATATGACTGAAAGGGATACAAAACGTTTGAAAATGTCTGGATTTGCTCCTTTGAAAAATGATTTGATTCTAAGAGCTGCAAAAGGTATGTATCTTTTCCTCCTTATCAAATTGAGCTTGTAGAATTAACATTGCTATTATAAAGGTGAAAAAGTGGAAAGACCTCCAATTTGGATCATGGTGAGTATACTAAAAGTTTAGGAGTGAACCAAAATATTAACTGAAATTTCACAGAGACAAGCTGGTCGTTATTTACCAGAATATCATGAAGTTAAAGGTGGCCGTGATTTCTTTGAAACTTGTAGAGATGCAGAAATTGCCTCAGAAATTACAATTCAACCAATTGATCATTTTGATGGATTAATCGATGCTGCTATCATCTTTAGTGATATCTTGGTTATTCCTCAAGCAATGGGTATGGATGTTCAAATGATTGATAAACAAGGTCCTCATTTCACAGATCCTTTAAGAACTCCTGAAGATTTGAAAAAATTGAGTAAAAATGTTGATGTTACAAAAGAATTAGATTGGGCTTTTAAAGCAATCACTTTAACAAGAAAGAAATTAAATGGTAGAGTCCCATTATTAGGTTTTTGTGGTGGACCATGGACTTTAATGGTTTATATGATTGAAGGTGGTGGTTCAAGATTATTTAGATTTGCTAAAGAATGGATTTATAAATATCCTGAAGCCTCTCATGAATTATTACAAAGAATCACAGATGTTGCAATTGAATTCTTGGCTCATCAAGTTGTTGCAGGTGCTCAAATGTTGCAAGTGTTTGAATCATGGGGTGGTGAATTAGGTCCAAATGAATTTAAAGAATTTTCCTTACCTTATATTAGACAAATTTCTGCTAAACTACCTAAAAAACTAAAAGAATTAGGTATAACTGAGGAAATCCCAATCACAATTTTCTCAAAAGGTTCTTGGTATGCATTAAATGATTTATGTGAATCTGGTTATAATACAGTTTCATTAGATTGGTTATATCAACCTGAAGAAGCTGTTAAAGTTGCTAATGGTAGAGTCACTTTACAAGGTAACTTGGATCCAGGTACTATTTATGGCTCTGATGAAATCATTTCTCAAAAAGTTGAAGCAATGATTAAAGGTTTTGGTGGTGGTAAACAACACTATATAATAAATTTTGGTCATGGTACTCATCCTTTCATGGATCCTGAAAAGATCCGTCATTTCTTAAAAGAGTGTCATAGAATTGGTTCTCAATAGGTTATTCTTCAATCATCTTATATATAGTTTAGAAGAATTTTTTCCTGATGGTTTCCTTTTGTAGTTTACAGCTTTTTGGGCAATTTTACCTCATGTTGATTTGTTTTTCTGATTAATCAATTGTATGTGCGTGTGCGAATCCATTTTTTGTGTCAAAAAATTGATTAAACCTCTCAAACTTAATGAATTATCTTTTCTATTGTCCCAATTAGTCGTTGAATATCTGGTCTATGGCTCCAAGGAACATCATGTCTGCTATAAGTGATCACCAAAAAAAGGCCGTGATAGCTTTTATAAAGAATAATGGAGATCAGGTCGTTTTGAACCTTCAAAATGAGCTCAATAAACCCTTAATGCAAGTGAATTATAATAAGCTATTTGAACGCCTTAAACCTCAGGATAGTACTGATATTGAAAGCTTTACAAAAAGAGAGTTGTTATTTGGGCTTTGGGAGTTCATCGACAATAGCATATTAAACTCTTCCCCATTATATGATGGCGCTGTTCCTCCAGGTGAATTAAACTATATTGACAGTCTTACAGCACATAAACTTGGGCAAAAAACATTCCGAAACTTGTGGAAATTTTGGTTTATTATCCCTGGATCTTTGAATGTGGTTGATCTTAATGAAGTTGGAAGATCTGTGCTGAAAGGTACAGAAAATTTGGTCACATCAAGTTTGGGTCAAATGAAGTTTATCCCATCTAAGGTCAATTTTACTACAACAATACTTCCTGGGATTTCCAAATTTGAAGCAAAAACAGAGAGAGCTATAATGCAAAAAGATCAAGAAATTTACAGAATAATGACCCAAGAACTTTTGTCAACAATACCAAAGTGTCTTTCACGAGACTATCATGTTTTAGGGGTCTTGGAACGAAAATTAGAAGCTCAGTTCAATTCAAGAGTTCTTGAACCTCTCCTAGATTTTGTCAGTGGACTTTTTAATAAAAAAATAAAGATAAGAGAAAAAGGATTGAATTTCCAAAAGGATTTGTCACAAGGCCACAGCAGCACTAATCCATTAATCAAGAAACGGTTGGAGTCATTGGAAAAAGAATCAGTAGAACTTTTCCCAGATAGTTCAATATTTGATGAAAGTGAAGAGCAAATAAATGCACAGAAAGCTCTACTTCTCATAGAACACAAAAAGCCTAAACTTGAAGAAGACATCAAAAGCTCAGAAAACTTCAACACAGATGTTATAAACAAGTCCTTGATTCAAACGTACTCTTATTTATTATGCAAAGAATGTCTTCATCTGAAAAAAATTATTCTAAACGATTTAGTTTCAACTGTGTTTATTAAATTCCCTGATAATTTTTGTGAAGAAGGATCAGAAAATGATGAAAGTAATGGGAGCTCACGATTGATAGCAGAAATCCAGTATTACCTCGTCAATGATACACATATTTATGCTAATGATCCAACTATAGATGAAAAGTTCAACTCAAAAATCCTTTTAGGATCAATAATCTATGACCAAATGTTTGAAGATGAACAAGAACCAAGAGAAGAACCCCCCAAAAGAAGGAAAGTGAAAACTTCTTCTCGCATATTGAATTCCCTAAAGGCTGATTTTTGGGGAGGTGAGCTTATAACTGAGAGCCTGGAATTTAACGATGGTGTACCCCTGTCAAGAACAAGAAGTAAAATATCATTAATGTTTTCTAAATGACCTTTATACTTTAAACAAACATCAGGAGCTGAAATATGATCTGTTGTACATTTACCTTCAACTAAGTTTTAATAGAGTTATGTTTTGTAGCAAATTCCGGATAAAATTCTTCTCTACCAGCAACCAAACCTTGACCTGGCGATTGTCCATCTTTTGGAGAAGTTGAATCAGCAGTTAGACTTTTGATCAAATCAGCAATTGGATTGAAATTTGAATCACCTGAATATACCATAGCAGTAACCATTTCTTGCTCTGAAACTTCTATTGAAATATGCCCAAATTGAATTCACTTGATTTCTTGTCAATTGACTTCACCAGCAGCTTCAGCTTATGAGTTCATTCCATTTATTATGAGCTTCTTAATATTGGAAAGTTGAGGTTGTTGCATCAATTTCAACGTCAACAAAAAAAAACAAAATTGAAGGCAACAAACAATATAACCAAGCTATTCTAAACAAAACAAAGCACCATAATAATGTCGGATAAACCCAAGTTTCAACAGGATGAAACCCTTGTATATGATCTATCTGATAGAGTGCTTAGGTCTTTACAATTGATGCATTTTGATAGCTCTACAACAGAAGAAGTTTTGCCACAACAAAAATTGACTTCAGAAGCATTGAGTCACATAGATTCCCAAAGTTCCAATAAAAATCAGCATGAAGTTAAGGATAAGGATTATTATAAATCTGATTTGCATAGATTCAACTTGAAGAGAGATTTGAAAGGTCTTCCGAGATTAACTGAAGAAGAATTTGAAGAATTAGCTGGTGATTTAGATGAGAGTATATCAGGTTCTGATTCAAGTGATAGCGAAGAAGAAGGTGAAGGGGAAAGAAAAGACATTTATGCTTACAAGAAGGATAAATTAGATACAATCTTTGAGAAAAATATTAAACAGTTGGAAGATTTGAAACTCCAAGAATCTGATAGAGTAGTGAGTCACCTTGCTACAAGATCACCATATATTTTGTTTAAATCTGATTTATTAGATCAAGATCAATGTTTTGGTGTGTATAAATCACTATTCAGTATTAAAGAGTTAGAAGAACCAATTGAGGCTTTGAAATCATGGAAATCAAAATCTTCTTCTGGGAAATCAGCATTATTGATGATTGGTGGTGGCCATTTTGCTGGGGCCATTATAAACCATAAACCAAAATCAACAAAGGGGAATGCCATAAAACCTGGTGAATCAATTTTGGAGCAAGGTGTTGACATTGTTGCTCATAAATCATTCCATCGTTATACAACAAGAAGAAAACAAGGTGGTGCTCAAAGTGCTAGTGATAATGCAAGAGGTAAGGCAAATTCTGCAGGTTCAAGTTTGCGTAGATATAATGAAGTTGCTTTACAAAATGAAGTTAGAGAATTATTACAATCTTGGAAAAAAGAATTAGATGAATGTGATTCAATTTTTATTAGAGCAAATGGTTCTTCAAATAGAAATATAATTGTGGGTTATGAACGCGCAGTTTTACGAAATGATGATGAAAGAATAAGAAGTTTCCCATTCACCACCAAGAGAGCTACAACTTCTGAATTGAAAAGAGCATGGGTTAATTTAACTTATTTGAATATAACTTCGAGACCAAAAGTTGATGAAAAGAAATTAAAGCAAAAACAACAACAAGAACAGATTCAACAAAGTCGAATTCAAAAAGAGAAGGAATTAAAAGAAATTTCACCAGAGGAGAAACATACTGCTGAACTTGTTGGTTACTTGAAGAAATCAAGAGGTCCAGTATTAATAACTTATTTGAAGAAGCACAAGTTATCTCCAAATTTCCAATTGAAACCCGAATCTGAATATTTCAACACTCCAACCTTATTACATTTTGCAGCAGCTCATGGTGTGAAAAACTTGATATCTATTTTAATAAAGACTGCTAAAGCTGATCCTACAATAACAAATAATAATGGTAAAACTCCATTTGATTTGAGTGCAAATAAACAAACAAGACAATCATTCCAAATCACAAGATTTGACCTTGGTGAAGATTCAATAGATTGGGAAAAAGCTCATGTGGGTAAAGCTATAAGTCGTGAAGATGTTGAAAAACAAGAAGCTGATGAGAAGAAAAAAGAAGAGGAGAATAAACAAAAATTGATTAAAGAAGAGTTGACCAAAAAAGAAGAAAATATCGCAGCATCAAAAGAAAATAAAAGATTAGGAGGTGTCAATCTAAGTGAAGCAAATTTGAATTCATTAAGTGATGAACAAAAAATGAGATTAATGAGAGAACAGAGAGCAAGAGCTGCAGAGGCAAGATTTAAACAACAACAATTGAAATAGGTGCATTTTATTATTATTCATAGACTTGGTTTGTTAACTTTTGATAATATAAAACTTATCAATTTTGGTGAGTTGTAAACAACTTTCTCTGTAACTTCATCACCTGTTGTAACATCTCCACTTCCATCTAATAAATATGCTGGATCTATATGTCTATAGTCTGCTAAGCATTTTCTAATAGTTTTCTTTCTTTCAGAACCTTCATCAGTAGAGTTATTTTTAACTTCTAGAGCTGATACCCAACTGTTTTGCTTTTTGGCAATTGGTGCTGTTTCTTCTTCCTCCTCATCATCCTCTTCAAGATCTGAAATCTCTTCACCTTCACCCCCACAATCACACTCAATCAAATCATGAGTATTTGAACTAGTTTTCAAATTCAGTGTAAATAAATCTTTAAGATCATTCATATCAAATAAATCATCTTTTGAACCTTTTTTATTATCTAAAAATTTATCAGATAAATTATTTTTCATCAATTGACGCTGAAAGATTTTTTCATCAATACAACCTGTTGTAATTAATCTATAGATAAAGACTGGTTTTTTTTGTCCATCTCTATGAATTCTAGCCATTGCTTGTAAATCAACTGATGGATTCCAATCATTATCAAACAAAATCAATCTTGAAGCACCGATTAAATTCAAACCAACACCACCTGATTTTGAAGATAATAAGAATGCAAAGTTGGATTTTGATGAGCTATTATTAAACAAGTTGACTATTGAATCTCTATCTTTATTGGGCGTTGAACCATCAAGCCTTTGATATGTAAGGTTTAACTTTAAAACTATATTTTGAAGTATGTCTAAAGTTTGAGTATAATTTGAAACTAATATAACTTTTTCTCCAACTGCGGAAATTTCTTTCAAGAGTTCTGTCAAGACTAAAATTTTACCACTTGTAACTTGGTGAACTATATTTGAATCTGAAACTTCTTTGAAAAGTTTATCATTTTTGATCAATGAAGGTGAATTGCAAATTTTTTTAAACATTGTGATTAATCCTAATGAGCTTGAACCTGAAGACTTATCTAATAATGAAGTAAAATTTTGTGAACTTAACACCTCATTAAATAAATTGATTTGAAGAGAAGTTGGACGACAAAACAAGACAACATCAGTTCTTGGTGGTAAATGGTTTGAGATAACTGATGCAGTACGTCTTAAAATGAATGGCTTTGTTATATCAATCAAATCTTGTGATTTTTCTTTCCCCTTTTCAATAATTTCTGGGTTTAAACAATTCAATTCTCTTGATTTTAGGATTGGATTCATAAAATTTCTCTTGAATTGATTATAGTTGCCCAATATTCCAGGATTAATGAAATCTATAATGTTGAAAAATTCTGATAAATCATTTTGAATTGGTGTACCAGATAACAATATTTTCTTTTCAACTTCTAATGAGTTTAAAGCTTGCAATGTTTTGTTTGAATTGTTCTTCAAACGGTGACCTTCATCACATATTAACAAATCAAATTTTGTTAAAGCCAATTCTTCCTTCATATTCAAAATTTTCTCATACCCCATTATTAAAACTTGATAGACTTTTGTTTTAGCAAAGTTTTTAACATCCTGTTTATCTTTTGCAATAGTGTTTTTACTATTTAGCGTTAAGACATTCAATCTATTCATTGGTAGCCATTTCTTAAATTCCCTTTTCCAATTACCAATCAAAGTAACAGGACATGCAATAAGAACTTTATGACAAATTGGATTCTCAAAACCTTGAGGTGATTGTTTCAAAAGGGTCCACAGTGTAGTTATTGTCATTAATGTTTTCCCCAATCCCATATCATCAGCTAATAGGGCACCATGTCCATCAAAACCTCTTTGATTCATTACACATTCATAAAGAAACCTCACACCTTGAACTTGATGAGGACGCAATTTTTTAGCCAAGAATGGATCAATAACGACATCTGTATCATCTGGGTGTTGTTTCCTGAGAACTATTGCACCTTCTGAAGTTGGATCATATAATGGTTCACCTCTTTGAGGTTTGGGCTCTGTATGTACAACTTGTTTAAATTGGGTATTGATGGGTTTGAATGGTTTCGGAGTTTCCTTTTTAATATCAGGCTTGATAGGTTCCAGAGGTGGCTGTATTTGAGTTGCACCTATATTTCCTAATCTTGCATTGAATTTGAATTTTTCAATCTCTTGAGAATCATTAATTTCATTACTACTAACTTCAACTTCATAACTACCCATACTGAAAACTCCATCTGTAGTGAACTTTGACACGTTGTTCAATCTACTTAGCTCTTTGTAATTTGATGAGTCATCTGACCTAAGTGATATGTAATTCGAAGTCAACACGATGAACCCATCACCATCCCATGTCTTGTTCTTTTTCATTGTTTGTTTCCGCCATACAACTTCAAAAAAACGTTCATGGCCAGGTATTGATTCTCTCTTTTGTTGCTTTAAAGGTGGTGAAATAGAAGGTGCAACCAGTGAACGCTTGGGTAGCACAGATTTGAAAGCAGCAGGTTTTGATACTAGTTTTGGCTGAATGTTTTCCTTGATGTCTTCGGAGGCTTGATGGGTATCATTAGTATCAGCGGCAATGTCAGAGCTTGAGCTTGGAGATCTGCTGTTGCTGGGTATGTTCATACGCGGTGCCTTGAAAGGAGCACTGGCACCATGGCCACTGCTTTTAGGCCTTCTGTACATTGAATTTGGTGACTTTGGGACGTTTATTATTAGTTGTTTGATCAAAAGGTAAACAACAAATAAAAAAAATACGCGATAGAGTGCGAAAACCAAATTCTACACAATTTCAGTAAAGTTTCATTTTCTTTTCATATATTCATGTGCTATAAATTAAATAAGTAATGTTATATAAATTCCAGATTCATAAAACGATATGCTTATTGTTTGGATTCAGCAGAATCATCTGATCCCCAAGTTTCAGATGAGCTAATTTCAATACGACGAGTGTTGGATTTCTCTTTGGATAATTTTGGAATCTTCAAAGTTAAAACACCATTAGCATAATTAGCCTTGATGTTGTTTTCATCTAATTTTGGACTGGATGGTAAACTTATATGACGTTCAAATTTACCACTTGAACGTTCATTAACTTTCAAATTCTTATCATCGGTATGTGCAGGGATTTCACCACTGATTGTGACTTGATTTTTATCAGCATTGAAATCAAGATTGATTTTATCTTTTTCAGCACCTGGAATTGAAACGTGTAATTCATAGTTATCTTCATTATCCAAAATATCAACAGGAGGAACAACATCAAAGTTTGATGAAAAAAAACTTGGTGAATTGAACAAACTTGGGAAGACTAATGATCTTTCATTTTTCTTTGGGGCAGATGATTTGGTAACAGCTTGTTGATCTTTTTCATTTCCTTGAGTTACAGCTTTTGTTGATGAAGGTGAAACTCTAACACGATCATCATAACCATTGGAAGCTAATAAACGATTGAATTGATCAACTTCATCGTTGATGTTATCAAAGAAATCCCAAAATGGTGAGTTAAATGACATTGTGTTTGTAATTAATAAGAGTAAACTTGTAACTTTTGTGACTTGAATTGTTGATTAAAACTATTCTTGTTGATTGATGATAAAGAATTGATAGCATCCAAGAGGGATTCAAGCACTCCTTATATACACATTTTGGATACACTTGATGAACTTTCTAGAAGCGATTAATTCTCCTTCATATCCGGCTTGTCTCTACTATTCTTTCCTACTTTCCATTGATTTCCACATTTTCTAACGAGTTTATGAAGAATCTTTCGAAAAGTTTAAAACATTCGCGAAATTTCGAGAAAAAAACAAGGAGGAATCGGTTGGGGCAAAAGACAAAAAGTGACACATACAAAATTTTAAGGTACAAGAATTTCAAAGATTTGTTGGAAATCTATAGAAGAAGAATCTGATGAGAAATTCTTTTATGAGGAGAATTGAAGTGATTTCAGTACCTTGGAAATTGCTAGAAGTTTATGATATTGTGGCTTTCTTTGAACCCCTTTTCCATTAGAAGATCAGATCATACGAGCCATATTTGGTTAACTCGGTAGCTGGTGTTTAGCAAATATTTGGGTGATGATTAGCTCATACAATTGTGGATCAGCTTCCAAATCTCCAAAGCTCGTGTTTAAATTTGCAAAACTGGTCGTCCTTTACGGATTTCCAAGGAACTTCAAGCTCACAATTTCAGGTTAAAATTATTATCAAGAACTCAGTTATGTAATCCCTGTAACTTTGCGTTCATGTTATATGTCAAATGGTTAAAATAAAAAATTTCATAACATATATTTCATTAATATTAAATAAGTTCTTGGTAACTTTTCAAGGATCATTTTGATTAGGTGTATTAGACAAAGATCAATGAAGTTCTATGAGTTCTTTCATTATCATTATCAGCATATCTGAATAAATTTTCTGAGTCAAACTCTTTAAAATAATCAACTTCTTCTTCAGCCTTTGTTAAGTTGTCCTCTTCTTCAAGATCACTTATTGTAGAACCAATCCATAATGAATTAGAAACGTGTAATACTGAAATTTGTGAATCTATTGTACTTGTTGAAGAAAATGATGGTAATGAAGACATTCTTGATTCTTTTCTATTCTCTTGATGATTATTTGTGTTTGATGCCTTAGAGGTTGTGAAAATTTTGTAATCTTCTAAAGCTGAAGATAAGGTATCAATTTCTTGATTGGTGTCATGATCCATATTAATGAAATGTATTGATTCAGAATCATCAGCATCATCTTGATTTTCATCTTGTAAATATACTGATTGATGTCTATTATTACTTGATAATTTTGAATAGAAATCACGTTCTTTTGGATCAATACTCAAATCAGTCGTGTTATCTAATAAGTTGAATCCCGATATCGTGGATAATCTTTTCATTCCATTTGATCGTATTGAAGTTGGTTCTGATATTATCATACTTGATCTTTTCTTTGCATTATTATTACTGTGGGTTGTATGTGTTGAAGCTGATCTAGATAAAGTTCTTGATAATGAATTTTCAGAGTTGGTTGAATCTTTGGAAACTATAGATTTCCATAATTTTTTTGGTTTGTAGTCGTGTAATGAACCGATATGGCTTGAACTTCTGTGCATTTTCAATAAATGAGTGTGTAAGTGAGTGAGCGAATGATATATACTTTGTAAAGCAGTTTATTTGAACAGGGATGGAGAGTCTCTTAAGTATCAAATCGTTGAAGTTTTTTTTTCAATCAAATCTGGCTATTCCCAATTGTAAATCTTTGACCTTTATTCACCAATATGCGCGATGCATCTGATTTTTTCACAATTCTCGAACGCGTTTTTGTGTGCCTGTGCCTCGCTATGAAAAAGACAGAAAACGGCCAAATCAGGAAACACTTCCAGATCGGGACTGACACGTATAATGGGTATCGCTCCTTTAAAATGAAAAAAACTGGACGCGTTTGTTTGTTGATGTTGTGATGGGTTCTAATAATAGGCACTTGCCTTTACTGGGAAACGCTAGATTTGGTGTCACTTGATCTAGATGGCCCGATCTGATCCAAAATCCAACAATTAGGAGATCAAACATTATGCTACATCATTTAAATTAAATACATAGTCATTAAAAATTCGTTAGAGCTAAAAAGGTTGATCATCTCCATTGCACGAAAGCATTAGGTTGTCCATTCACATAGGCATAACCAGGTGGTGGAGGTGGTGGATAATTACCATTCCCATTTCCCAAAACTCCTGGTGGTCCAGGAATGGCAATTGTAGTTGTAGGCGTAGACCCCATTGGAACTCCATGTGGTGGAGGAGGTGGTAAAGGACCTGTCATGAATGCTGGTTGTTGCTGTTGTTGTGGTGGTATTGGACCTCCTTTATACATGTTTCTGTGGTTAACATCAATCATGTAGCCTTCTTGTTGTTGAGGTTGACCTTGAATAATTGAGCCGGGTTGTGGTGCGATTGGCTGAGATTGTTGCATAACTGGTGTAGCTCCTGTAATAGGCGTACGTGCAATTTGTTGAGGTGGTGGGCCACCTGGAAATGTAGCTTGTTGTTGTTGAGGTGGTGTATTATTTTGATGAGTTGAAGCTCCATCTGGGGTATTTGAACGTCCAGCTGCTAAGGATTGACGTGGTAATGGTAAATGATGAAATTGCTTTGGTGTCTCGATTCTTGGTGTAGTTTGTACAGATCTTGGAGGTTGAGGTTGCTGAGGTGGTGGAACTTGGACTTGTTGAGGGATTGGACCTGAAGGTTGACGTGACTGTTGATTTGGAGCTTGTTGTTGCTGTTGTTGTTGTTGTTGTGGAGGATCTTGATATGATTCACTAATGTCTCTTGGAAACATTCCAATCAAGTCTCTCAAAAGAACAATTGGAGTATCTGGTGGACCTTTCAATGCTGGAGGTGGAGCCTCGCCTCTTGAAGCTGTAGTTAATGAATGTGCTCTTTGTTCAGCTTGGCTACTAGCCCTCAAATCACCAGCACTTCTAAAACAGGCAGCAGCACGAAGACAAGCATCCGCAGCGTCATGAGCTTGATCATCACAACGTTCATAAACACAAGCCAATCCATCCCAAGCAGTAGCTGACGCAATAATTTGACTGATTGTAGCATCTGGCCCTTCAACTTGTAATCTTGCAGCTTGAGAGTAAGCAGCCAATGCATCTGGTAGTTGACCCAGTTTCAAATATAAAGAACCAACAGCCAGCCAAGGTAATGGTGATGATGGACCTTTCCCTAATGATATTTGAAAAGTATCATAAGCTTGTCTTGGTGAATCAATTAAAGAATAAGCACGTCCCAAAAGATACCATGTCAAGAAATCACTATCATCATTATCTTCATTACCTGTATTTGAACGTTGTTGGTTAATAGCTCTTTCTAATAACTGAATAGCCATTGTTGGATCAAAAAACTTTGTTACTGGTATCAATAAGAAATAAGCATTTGCTATTAATAGTCTTGGAATGTTGCCTAATAGATTAATGGCATCATTAATGATTTGGAAAGCTTCATCAAACTGGTTTAAACGTTCTTTCAATAAAGCAAAATTTATCCATATTGATGCATATTCTTCATATTTTGATGTTGTTGATGGTAATGGCGATGATATGGCCAATTTGAACTCATTAATAGCAAACTTGAAGTTATTCTCCAGTATGAACAGTTGAGCTAATTTGGCATGTGTGTTCCTTATTATTTCATGATCCAACTCATTAACCAATTCATTGGTCTTGTTTTGATATATGGATAAAATAGTATGCAAGATATGCTTCACATAGACATAGTTTTTAGATTTCATCAAAATTTCAGAATTCAAATATAACAATTCAGTATCATTTGGATTTAAATTCAATGCTCTTGTTATTGCTTGGTGTGCTTGTTCATATTCTTTTAAACCCAAATGTGATTCACTTAATTCCCTCCATAATTTGATATCATTATTCAGGTTTGGAAATTGTTGAATAGCTGAAATAATGAGTTCTGTAGAGTGTTTAAATCCAGCAAGTGAATGAACCTCCTCTTGTTCTAATTTCAAAGATTTAGATAATCCAACTATGGAATCCACATTATCTGGTAAATGTCTTAATGAATTATCAAATGATTTGATGGCCAATTTATAAAGATTCAAAGCTAATGAACATGATCCGATCTGTGCCCAAGTTTGTGATGAAACTAATTCATATTCATTGATTGAAGCTGGAACAGCATTTGAAGCAGCAACTACGCCATTCCCATTATCATTACTGTTATTATTGTTGTTTGTGCTCTTGTTCAAAGGAACATTCGGTGTTGAAGGCGTCTTCCGCTTCGTTCTTGGTTGAGTTGGTGATATCAATGAACGTTTAGGCATGTTTGATTGTTATTTGTCGTTGTGTGAAAAGAAGAAGAAGAAGAGAAACTATTGAATTTTTTTTTGACTTGTTGTACAAATGTAGTTCTTTTTTTTTCTTTGACGAACCTTGAAGTGTGAATTTTGATGAAACAGCTGCTATTTTTTGCTGTCCTTTTGATGCTTTTTGGTACTAGACTAAATGTGCTATGAAGTGGCTTCCTCATAAAGGTACATCAACTATGTAGATGTATGTCGGCTGAACTGCCTGGTCGCTGTACACGAGAAACCCAGCTTAAATTCCTCCCCAAAGGCGGCGGTCTACGAAATGGTTGTTATATCGAGATACCACTGAGTAAAACAGCAATAAACACGGTCAGAGTATATGAATATCACAGGATTAATCAATAAGGCTCATTAAATTCAAACCAATAAAAGTGCTTGCTTTATATAAGTTACAAGCTACAACCTGAAAAGACGATACACAAAAAGGAAAATAAATTCTCAATGCGCATTACATTACATTGCTAATGTTAGTCTATGCAGGATTTTGGATGCATATGATTATCAGTACTTGCAGATTTTGTTGGAACCTGCATATTTACGGGTAAACCGAGAAAGCTGTACTGCAAAATTCCAATTGTGGTTGGCCCTTTCCAAATTCCTTGCCTCAATTTCACAAAGACACAAGCTTCTCTGGGATTTCAGGTTGAATTGGCGGTATGATCAGCTGTCCACTGTAAGAAGTGAATTAATTTGTATGAAGAGTAGCATTTGATCTCGCTACAAATCTTAGAAGAGTAAGAGATACTTCATAGTATATATGTGGCACATTCGATTCCTGGGATGTTTTCTATGTACTTGTTTGCGTCCGCTTTAGATACCCCATCGAATCTATGGAAGAATTTTTTATGATTCTTCTAGGTCTTGTTCATGTTCTTTTGCAACCTTTTCCCAAAAGCATTTATACTATACAGCACAGCACGCCGCATAACATCTCACGTTGACGTGCCTTTTTAGAGAACAACCAATTTCCAACATTTTTCTCCTTTGGCTGAAACAAGATTCCCGCTCTTCGCGGCTGGGATTCCTCGTGCTGAGCAGTGAGCTCTGCCTACTTGCCGACTTCTCGTCTACCTAGGAGCTGGTCATGAATAGGCTAGGAAGTTGAAACTGTAGGCAAACGGGCTGCCTGGTAAATGGTGGCTCGTGACTTGCAAATACATTTTGAAGAGTTTTACAACGACTCTACACGTTAAAAAGACGCCGGAGAAGATGATCTATGTAATGAAAAATTGATTTACAATTTCAGCTTCTCGTCATGTCAGATCAACGAATCACGATCCTGTTGAATTCTTGATTTTTCCTGCTCGGTTGTAATAACGTTGATGAACATTTACCTTTGAATCAAGCCGTGGACTTGAGTGAACTGTTTGGTTCAGCTTTTCGTTCCTTAAATATTTCAAGAGAGTTTAAATAAAAGAAGCAACTGTGTTCTTCATCAAATTATGTCACATGTATTTGTATTTAAAAGCTCTTTGCGGTCTGTTGGCGCGGGTTTCAGTGTGTAATTGGGAGCTGCAGAGGTTTCACAATGTAACGGCCTTAATATTTTGCCCACAAATACGTAGAGGTTATATAACTCATGATATGATCAGGTTTCAGCAATCAGTATAAATATCAGACACCAGTTGCTGCTGAAGGCTGGGACACTGGGAGCCTGGAACCTCAAAACCGTACAGGCAGTAGCTAAGTACACTGAATATTGACTAGAATATCAATTACAAGTGAACTTTGAAGCTGAAAATCTGATTTAAGGAATACTCTGAATCCATGAAAATGTAAAGCGACGCACATTGATATCTCTTTAAATTGTCAAGGCAAGCTAATATTGGGAAAGATGATCTATTTTATGTGTCATATTAATCTGAATTGGATATTGAATCTTGACATAGCGGGAGGTGTATCGCGTACAACATGAACGAACAGATTAACCATACACGTCAGGTAGTGTACGCGACGTGTTAGACGCTAACTTAACGCATGAGTTGGTCAGCTAGTAATCACTGATAATTTGTGCCTGCTACGATTCATTATTGTAAGATGGGAAAGAAACTAGATGTTCAAACTTGGAACTTCAACGACGTCTTTCTTACGATTATATTGCTTCGGCCTTTCACAATAATGTTCATTGTCGACTATAATAATTTAATTTGAATACGATTAATAGTAACCCATGTCACAGTCATCTCTCATATAGTAGATATTGTATATCATCATTTGTTATAAAAGGAGCAGGACCATGCTCATCGACGCCTGATGGATCTTAGCGAAGTCCTGGAGTAAATTTTTGAAGTCATGTCCAAGGCGCAAAATAATAATTATTTGAGCAGTACTTCAAAAGCTAATATCGAACTAAACAACAGCTCCACCAAGGCATCTTTTCCTAGAATTGATTCTTCAAACTCTTTACTCAAATAACATCTTGTCAATAATTCGGTGATCTTTTGGTTTGTATATCAAAAAATAGCCTTGTGTGTATGGGACTTTTGAGTCAAGTGAGCCAAAAGTTTAACCATACGCGTGCCAGCCTAGATCTTGAGAGCAACTGGCCCGCCGAAGCCTGACGCTAATTTGCAGCAGAACCTTAAAATACGATTCCCGAGCGGAGGAAAGGGCCACTTGAAAAAACTAGTCCTTGCAAGCTAGCTTGTTAGCTTGATTCTTCATAGGCTGTTCTATCACCTAACTAACTTGAACCTCTTCTGCTTAATATACTCCCAGCTTTGTTGAAGTAAAATTAATCATTTGCTGAATCAAGGTTTACAAAATCACACACAAAAATTAGGCCACTTAATGCGGGCGGGCTGCACCAGTAGACAAGTATCTGCAATGTGCATTTCCACGCATATTGGAACATATGTGAGGTTCCTCAAAAACGGTTAAAAGTGTAATTAGAAGAACGATTCTTTTTATCCACATAAACAGGTACACACTGATGCTCTTTATACATAAACTATTCAACACTTCTTGAAGGACAATCGAACAATGTTATACTTAATAAAGAGAATATATCAAAGTGGAATGAACCATTTCTAAGAGAAGACAAAGAGTACTCAAATGAGTTATACCTCATTTTGAGGTAGTAAGGGCAGGACCAAGTAGAATTTTCCATGACAGCCTCTGGGTCCTAGCTTCCCAGGAATTGATTTTTCACCAACATACAGCCATATGTACCGATAATAAGTACCTCTTTGGTTACTTGAGGTTGGTCTTATGATGGTCTTTGTCAGTCAGCAAGTGTAGATAGTTAACGTTGCGACGGCACAGTAGATTAATTAATCCATGTAATTAATATCGGTCATGACGTTAATGTAGGTTTTTTAATTGTGTACGTACGTCGACATTGATATTTGTATAGCTTGTTCATGATAATATTATTAAGATCAACTAGCACCTCAGAGCATTAATAAATATATAGCTTGGGGCATTGGCCGATTGATAATACGAATAGAGCTACTTCATTGTATGCTTATACCGTTCACGAGGAAGAGGCCCCAGAGCAATAAGTGTTGCATTAATATAGTCATGCCCCAGTTAATTATACTATATTAATTAATACTAACTAGTAGAGCTCAAGAAAACTATTATATATATATTAATGAGCTTTAATCGCTGATCGTTTTATAATAATAGCACTATAAGCAGGCGGTTTATAATAATAGACGTGTACCAACTGTAGTACTATTATAATATTCATGTGTAGTACAGATATCTACACCTCTTGTTGAATCTATTTCTCCAACTGTTAATGCCAGCTAAACTTTGCAACCCGCGTCTTGTATTAATTCGTAGCAGTTCATGCCGGCAAATTGTAATGCTCTGATCCATTATATCTCTTTAACTAATTTGAAGTATAAGTGCTATTATAGCTTATACAGAACTCTTCGACAGTGAATTTCATCATGTTGATAATACGAAGTCGAGCCCATTTATAAGTACCATGCCTTTATTGAAATAGTTGAAGTACATCAAGGTCCTGCTGTTATAAAGTAAGTACTGTATATATGTAAGGCTTGATAAAGTCATTGATGTTGCAAGTGTTACTTCAAGCTGTTTTCACACTAGATCATCAAGACTTCGTTGAAGTTTATGCTAGTTAAAGCTACCTAGTGCTTGGTACCGACTAAATGTAGACATGAATCCAAATTCATCACAAGCATATCAGTCTGAAGAACAAGGGTACACAAATTCACATCAACTTCGTAAAATTTTGGGATACAGTTCAATTTCCAGGAGGTACCATCTTGAAGGCTACAAATCCCGAAAGCTCTTTTTCCACAGCTAAACAAGGATCAATTAAACCCATTAAGAAGCCAGATTTGTTAATGGGTATCAGTTAGGCTCTCACAAAGTCAGAATCTATAGATTCTTTAATTTTGAATTGTTTCCTTGATGAAGAATTTTATCAAAGTTGGATCTTCAGCTGAAAACTGGCCAAAATTTTCTGGTTCAGGCACGCACGGAAGAATAAATTTTTTGGCCAAAAAACACAAAAAAAAAAGCATGCTGTTGATGATTTCATTTTGTGACACAAAACCATCTATGGAGCGGTGATAGGATTGTAGAGAAAATGGGGTTCTTTAACGTCTTCGATTGGAATGGTATACGGGCTTTCACTCTTGCTATCAAGTTGTTGCTGTTGCTGTTATTTTTCAATCATAGAGGGTGATCATTTGGCTAATAAACTAAAGCTATTTAGATATCGGTGATAATATGGTTGATATTGATTACGTGCAAGGTTGGCTTGAGTTTCAATCATTGGATGAGTTTGATGCACCTGCAGATGTTTTGGAAAAGTGGATTTATTCACCTAACGATTCAGAGGATGACGTTTGTTCGAATGATGTTGATGAACCACTGCCTTCAAATGGAACGTTATTGATAGCTCCAAATGATAATGAGGAGAAAGTGGGAAATCTAAAGAACCAAGTTTGTGATGTTGCAATCCATATTGAAAAGATGTCCTTGAATGTTCAGGAATGTGATGAAGATAAAGAGAATAGCCATCGTGTCCCAATAAAGTCTGTCAATACAGTTCCAGTTACTGATTTGTTTTCGAATGCTTCAATTCAAGACCTTACAAGACCATTTAATCAGCAGAAGAAAGAGGAAGTTGACGATGATGATGAGCTATCACTTTCAGAGTTGCCAAAGTTTAAGAAAGAAAAGTTCGATAACATACTTGAAGATTCTTTGTGCATTGCACCAAACATATTGGATAAAAATGATGGCGAAATCACATATTATGAGAGCATTGACCTGATAAAGGGCAAAACTTGGCTTCCTAGAAATCTACAGCACCATAGGCTCAAGATGAGATTACTACAAAGCAAGGATTCATCGTTCCAATATTTTAAAAATCCAAATTGCCCAAAATCGAATTATGGGGATCTAACAAAAGAACATTCATCTTTGTTTTCTCATTATAGGTATTATAGGAAGTTAAAATCTTCTGGGAAAATTGAGGTTATGTGCCGTTTATGTCGTGGCAGAAATTGGGTTCCTAAAGAAAAGTTCAATCTACATATGGCTTTCTCTCACGGCATTCTATTACCAAACCATCAAAAAAAATCAAAAGTCAAACCTATTTTACTTCCAAAACCTACTTCTTTATTTATATCAAAATCAAGGCAGTTTACGGACTTTTCAGTCAAATGCCCCAAGTGTGAAATATGGATCAAATTGGGAATGTCCACTCGGAGCAACAAGTCATCTGCTAAAAATGGGTTATATTTCAACTATTTCTCACATTATCTCAAAAATCATAAAACTAGAGCTGCATAGAAATCTTTTAAATAGTTAGGAAATTAGTGTCGGTAGAAATACAAGTGAAATTCTTTCCCAACGATATAACTACTATCAAAAAACATATATAACTGAACAAACTGTCTCATAAAAGAAATCATATTTAACAAAATAAAGCACCGTAAGAAAAAACGAACATAAAAAATAAAGAACTATAACAAATAAGATAATCATAAAGAATCAAACAGCATTAGCCAAACCACCACTGAATGCTAGACACCAGGTTCTACTTAGACCGTTATCTAACCAAGCACTTGAGAAATTGTCTTGTGAAAAAAAATTGTATGAGCTCTTTGGATCAGTCAAAGCTTGATTTAATCTAAGTATACCAGTCCACCCACTATTGATAGAGTCAACAATTGGTGAAATAACTTGAGACCATTCTTGTGAAACAAAAGTTGGACCTCTGACAACTGATGAAATTGGAGTAACAGGTAACATGTGAATACCATGGATATACTCAGTGTTTGTACCAAACCAAGTAGTGTGATCAATTTTGTTATCAAATAAGATACCACTAACTTTATTACCAATAATTTGTTCAGGTTCAACATCATTATCATCAGAGTATAAAAAGTAATCATTCATAGACTTGGCCATAATGGAAATCATTAAATCACCTCTAGCTTCCATAGAAGAATCACCAATAACTTTACCCCATAATTTCATACCATAAGCAAAGTTATAATCTTCAGATGTAGATTCTTCATTCTTACCATCAGCAGCAGCAAACAAACCAGCAGCCCACGAGTGACCAGCATACCAATCAAACATTCTTGAAACTGGGAAATGAGTATCTGATTTACTTGGATTAGCAACATCTCTAACTAATGAGTTAACCCAATCTTTATGGTCTTGAGCCCATGAACCACCAAGCTTAGCATCAACCATACCAATAACAGCTGCTGCATGAATAAAGTAACCATAATGGAAATGATGATCATTGTAATAAGAACCACCAAAATCAGCACCAGTGTCACCATTTTGAGCTGCAGTAGACGTAACACCACCGTATCTTGTATCATACATCAATGGGAAAAGTTGTTCATTATCCAAAAATGTATCAAAAGCATCTTTTAATCTTTCCAAGGTTGAATTTCTAACAGATTCATCTTGGATAATAGAGTCAATAACTAGCAAGATGTAAGCATATTTATCCAAGTATTTACCAGCATAATAAGTAGTTAAACCTTTTGTGGAACTGGTGAAATCAACAGCTAAATCATCATTAGCAACAGACGCCAACAATTGTAATTGTTCAGTAGTGTATGATAGATCTTTGCTCATTTGTTGAGACCATGGTAACCATTCAACTTGAGTATTGAAATCATCTTGAAATTGTAATTCATTAGTCAAGTAAGCATACATTTTACCCTTTGTAGTTGAATCTAAAGAGATACCAGTTGATCTTTGTGAAGTTGATGAAGTCATTGATTTCAAATGATGAGGTAGGGCAAAGAGGATTGGTGATCCACTTGAACTTTCACCTTTAGTTGTGTACTTGAATTTGTAAGAAGCTGATTGACCATTTGAAGAACCTTCAACATTGGCATCTGTAACATAAATACCAGCAGCTTCATCATAATAGGCTTCATGAGAGCTTGGAGCAACAGCAACTTGAATGATTAATCCATCAATAGAAGAAGAACCTTCAATAGCATTACCACCATTAACAGATAAACTAAAATCATCATTACCATTTGGTAAGGTAACATAAATCAACCAATCAACATTGTTATACAAAGTTGCTTTATATTTCAAAACATTTGAGCTCAAAGCATCAGAACTTTCCTTGATCAATTTTGAGAAACCAACATTTGAATTTAACAATGGAGTCAAACCACCATTATAAGTTGCAGTAACAAAACCCATACCTTGGACTAATTGTAAATCAATGAAATTTGAAGCTGGTGAATTGTTTTTATCAAACAAAGTAACCAAAACAGACATTGCTTCCATTTCACTAATATCCATAGAGAATGTATCCTTGGTGAAACTTTTGGCAGAGAAAATGATTGGAGCTAAACCAGCTGGTGAGAAATAATATTCAGCAACACCTTTTGAATTGTAATTACCAAAAACATATTGGGAGGAGGTTGTATGTGAAACAGCAAGACCATAATAATCATTAGTGAATTTGAACATACCGTATGGATAAGTCCAAACTGGGTCTTCTTGATTACCCAAAAACAAATTAGCATAGAATTTGTTGGTTTCAAAAGGTTTACCATCATTTGTAACACCATCCAAAACTTGTAGTGGAAGTTCTTCTCTTGGGAAAACACTTGGTGGAGCATCTGTTGAAACAACTGAGAATAAATCAAATGAGCCTTGAACTGAAGTTGCTGAAGCGGTTTCTAAAGTGGAGGTACTTGAGCTTGAACTTGAAGCAGATGATGCAACACTTGACACAGGAGCAACCGAAGATGATGCTGAAGAAGACGATGGTGTAGAAGATGATGAAGATAGAGATGTGCTTGAAACACTTGAAGTAACTGAAGATAAGCTTGAGGTAGCTGAAGAATCTAAGGAAGTTAGACTCAATTCAGTTGTGCTGGAATTGATGGAAAGTGAGGAGACACTCAAACTGGATGAGTTCAAAGTGCTTATAGTACCAGATGATGAGCCCACAGAGATTGAAGTTGTGTTGAAATAACCACCACTGGATGAGCTTAGTGTATGTGAAGTATTTGTTGAGTTGGATGAAACACCACCAGTTGAAGCACTTGAAGATGTAGCAAGTGTTGAAGTTGAGCTTGTTGAAACAGTAATAGTAACATCCTTAGTTAAACTTGTTGTACCAATTGTTGTTGATTGTTCAACTGTAGATTGTGTGTTACTGAATAATGGATCTTGACCAGAAGTATAACTTGAGGATGCAGTGGATCCTTCAAAAGTTGAACTTGGTGTAGTTGAAGCTGTAAAGATTGTTGTTGTTGAAGTGGATGCAGTTGTAGTGATTGTGACAGATGCGTTTGTTGGTAATTTTGACAACTTTGTAGTAACAGTAGCAATCTGTGTAGAAGTTGTAACAGGAATTCTTGATTGACTAGTTTGGACAACTTCAGTAGCTTGACCATCAGAGATTGTTGATGATGTACTAAAGACAGAATTAGACACAGTATAACCAGTGTGTTTTCTGGTTGTAGTGATAATGGTTGGCTCTTGACTAGATGATGACAATGTATTGGATCCAAGCTCGCTTGATGAACCAGCTAAGGACTCAACAAAAGTGTAGTTTGATGATTGAGAAGCGCAATATGTTGTTGTGACAATATGAGCATCATTATAAGGAATACCAACAGCTTCAGTAGTATAATTGCCTATGGTAGTTAATGATTCAGATTCTTGAACATTTTCACCAAAATGAGTATGGAAAACAGTGGAAACACCACTAGTAACTTGAGAAGTCAGTGTTGTTGTATGGTTTAAACCATTAACCAGTAACGAAAGTGAAAGCACTGCAAATAAAGCAGAGTATTTGGACATCTTGAAGCTAAAGAAACGCGTAAGATCTTAATGAAATGAATGTAGATAGCAAATAGAACAACACTTAACAGAAAGGATTTGAATATAATGAATGTAGTAGTTAATTTTGATAATGAATGACTTGTTAAAGTGATTGAACTATGTTGAATGAAAGAATGTGATGAATGTGATAATTTAGATCAAGCATAATTGTAACCTTATCTCGCCTTGAAGCTCTTCATATATACTTCATCTTCAGTGTCTTATACCTTAATTTAATTGAACCAGCACTTGAATATGATCCGCTCATTGTGGTCTAAAATTGGATTCTGATTTGACATAGACATGAACGTATCAACAATCGAATAGGTTAACACTTGCCACATAATCACCAACAATTGCATCAATAACACGAGAAGGCTGGCAAAATAAAAAACTTTACGGAGGAAATTGTGCGTCACCGAATTGATTTCGGCTTCTGCGCAAACCAGAACTTTCAGATGCCGGTGTTGACTTTATTCCCAATGCGGTAATCTGCACCATTTTCATTCACCAGCCAAACTCCAAAGTGCGTAGAGCTGGTAAAAAAAAAGCTGGTGAACCGTTAATTTTAACCTTTGACCGTTGATGATGGGTATCAACTTTCATGCTCTTCACTTTTGAGGTGATTTATGGCCTCTGGAGGTGCAGCTTTCATAATGATCGTCATTGATATTTGCTGTCAAAAAGTTAAAAGTGGTGGTACATAAGCTTCACCATCAGTTCAGAACCTTCGCAGAAATAGGTTAGAGAGATGACACTGATCTTGTGGAGTCACTGCTACTATACTATCTTGCTGGAGAGGAACTACAGTCGGTAGTTAAAATGAAGTTAATACTAGAGATATGAACATCTTATTAATATAACTCTGGATGAAAAATTGATCATATGGCTTTCAGCAGCTGTTTATGACGTTCTGACTGTTTATCAATTACAATATTTGCCATGAGGACGTTACTCAGAAAAGATCATCCACCTGCTCTTCATAAAATCTAACCAGGTTAATGGGAACCCCAGAAATCAATGCTTCAGCACACATTAATCAAATAACTACAATTACACAAACATAATTCAAATACAATAGTCATTTTATTTTCATAAGTGGTCATGTGTCATATTTATATCAACTGGCTTCAAAGATAGGTATATGTATAAACAGTTGACATGCAGAGTTAGCTAAACATAGCTCTTTGGTATTTGTTGTTTGATTAGTTACACGATAAAAATTCATTAAAATTATTGCTTGCTAAGTGAACTCATAGATAATGGAGTGAATGACATTTAACTCAATCCTTGGACATTCTTCTTTTGAAATCAGCATATTCAAAAGATGTTGGGAAATACTCATTTTTATGTTCTTCATAATGTGAAGGAGATTGTTGATTTGAATGATAAGATCTTGGAACCCCATACTTCTCTGAGTTTGGAGCAGTCTCTTTGGTGGTTGATTGTGGTGGATATGAAACTGAGCCACGGTATTGAACATTGAAAGAATTACGAGATTCATCTGCTCCATTTCCTGTTGAACGACGTTGAAAATATCTTTTAGAACCTTCTGGACTCATATCACCAGTTGTTGGATAATACTCTTCTTCGTTATTGATGGCAGACTCTTCATCCAAACCTTTTGGGTTGTATTGATTCTCAATAGAGCTATGTGACGACGTTGTCGTTAATGGATCAGTATTGACTTGTGGTTTTTTCCCATGTGTTGTATTTAGCTGGTTAAAATTTACATTTTTCAACTGATCACCAAGTAAAGCAGTTTGATAGTTGCTGCTTGATCTTCTTTTCAATGGGAACAAGTTTGATGGATCTGGAGTCTTGGAAGCAGCTGGAGGTTCTGCTAAGTTGAGATAATCTGAAGATTTATCACTTCCATCATGTTGTAACAATTCTGCAGATGGAGTACGCTTTGGAACTGGGCTTATAGCTGGCATGTTTGATGTTAACAATAGTGTTTTTTGAAATAATTGAAGAAACTTTGAATACTCTTGGACACCGAGGAACCCACTTGATATTTAAATAACTTTGAATGTTAATTAGTTGCAGTAGTTTTTGTCACCTGATGAGTAACTTTATCTTAATGACACAAAACAAGGTTACCAATGACCAGTTACTGGATTAGTCTCAAGGGTAATTAAGTCTGGAATATTCTTTGGAAATATTTTCTCGTGGGAGGTTATACCGGGTTCTGGGTACTTGGTAACTTTGCTCTAGAACAGCTCCTTGAAGCAAACTTTTTTGTTAAATTCGGATGCTCCTTGTTTGTTCAGAACTGGTGTAGCTGTGTGGCGCGTATCAGCAGCACCCCGGATGTGGAGAGTCACATGACTTCAATACACTTTGAGAATGGGCACTTACGAGGGCTGACTTGGGATCATGACTCTGGGGTATGAGAAAAGCCTTAATAATTGGCTGATACTTTCGTTTCAGTTGAGTTGTAGTGTTTTGAGGAGAGCTCAATATGGCCGAGGAATTCATCATCAAGAACATAGACAAAGGACCTGAATTGGTCACAATCACGCTGGAAACCGGTGTATCCTTTGAGTAGTGAGTTGATCTTATGCCAATAACTTGTTACAAGTCCGAAAACTAACTCTGAGAAAGCTTGAATATATGGTTAAGGGATAACTGTCATTGTTCAGAATGCTACAATTCAGAAACTTATCAGCGTCTTCTTGATACCTTCTCGGTGAGTACTCTATTCATCACGATTAAAGTCCAAATTTCTAACCCCCTTGTTTTGAGATCCCAGATGATATACATGTTAAAGATATCAAACAATCAGCCAAAGGTATTGAAGTCGCCTGGAGTGATAATCACAACTCAATATACAACTTACAATGGCTATCTAACCACACAAGAGGTGTCACCAATTCAGAACTAACCAAAAAAGATCTTTTCCCTAAGCAAATTCTTTGGTCAACAGATATCATCAAAAATCAAATCCCAAAAGTTGAATACAAAGATGTCTTGAGCAAAAAATCCAAAGATTTCTACAACAATATTCACAAATATGGATTTACTTTTATTGATAATGTTCCTGTTTCTCCAGAAGATACTGAAAAACTATGTGATTCCATCGGATACATCCGTGTTACTCATTATGGTGGGTTTTGGGATTTCACCACTGATTTGGCAATGAAAGATACTGCGTATTCAGAAATTGAGATCCCATCACATACTGATGGTACATATTGGGAGTATACTCCTTACTTACAATTGTTCCACTTGTTGTTCCATGATGGTGAAGGTGGTAATACTACACTGGTTGATGCTTTCAAATGTGCCGAGGACATGAAAAGAGAATATCCGGATCATTATAAGTTCTTGTCCACCCAAAAAGTGGATTGTCATTCTTTAGGCGATGTGTATCTGGCTCAATCAAAACCAATATTTATTCATAATGATGAAGGTGAATTGATTCAAGTATCTTGGAACAATTCTGATCGCTCTTCAAATTTTGGTGCTTCTAATCAAGACCTGCAAATGTTTTACGAATCCATCAAAATTTGGAATGAAATCATCCATAGAGATGAAAACGTTTTAAACCATCGTTTGAAACCTGGTCAAGCACTAATCTTTGATAATTGGAGGTGTCTTCATGCAAGAATAGGAATAACTACTGGTAAGAGAAGAATGTGCGGTGCATACTTTGATAAAGAAGACTTCCAAAGCACCCTAAGAATGATCAATACCGATTCACAACAAAAGCTATTTGAATCCTTATAAATACATCTAATTTATATAATTTTTTTTAATCTAAACAGTAACTTTATGTGCTTTGAATATTCTCTTGTACTTCTTATGACTTTCCTTCTTCTTCAATAATCCTTTAAATTGTTGTGGAATGTAATTATTGGCTGCCAAATTTATCACTGACCATACAACTATTAGCACTTTAAAGCCAAATGTAATTTCTGTTAATTGAAACAAATTTCCCAAGAATGAATCAGCGGAAATGTTCATCAATCCAATACTGAGAACCACTGCAACAACAACATTTGCAATGAATGGTTTATTCTTATTCACTGGTTCTCTATATGGTGGGCCAACAGTCAAGATAATAGCACACAAAATGTATTGGAAATTAGAGTAAAAGAATAAGACAGTATTATCAGATGATTGAACTGCATCATCACCACCTGGAACAGGTTTAATGTACCAAGCTCTTGTTTGAACATACAACCAAATCAAAACTTGAAAGAACAACAATAACAAAATATTAACAACCAATGGAATCAATAATTTTGGTGAAACCAAATTGGCACTTGGTCTTTTAGCAACAACTTTATGATAAGCATTAGACCATGACATGAAAATGGCAATTGGTAAAATTAAAAACAAATCAATCCATAAGAATTGGAAATCACCCAAATTAGAACCTCTCTTGTATAAAATCGTAATTGTAATGAATTGAATAGCTGAATAAAGCGACATATACTGAAAACAACTAAAACTCGTTACCAATGAAGCTCTACCTTCTCTAATAACATCTAAAACACAACCGATTTCAAATAATCTAGAGGTGAATGGAGCAGCAACCGAAGCTTCAGCTTCTGATAATGAAATACCAACATCAGCAGCTTTTAAAGCACCACAATCATTAGCCCCATCACCACAAAACCCAACCGTATAATCCAAGTCTTGAAATTGTTCAACTAATTCATGTTTTTCATCAGGTGACATTCTTGCGAAAACATTAGCTTTTAATAAAACTTTTGTAATGTATTCATCTGAAAACAAATTAATATCATTCTTTAACAAATGTCTGAAAACATCACCTGAAACTGCAAGTCCATAGCTCTTATTTGAACCATAAAGGTCAAGACTACCAGAATCTAATGATAATTTCTCATCGTCAATCTCTCTCCAAACCAAGCCATCATTTTCAGTAAATGTTGGAATAAATGTTAAATCTTCTTTAACTAATCCACATTCTCTAGCAACACTAACAGCAGTTAATAAATTATCACCAGTACACATAACAGTTCTTAAATTAGCATCAGATAGTTGTTTCAAAACACCAGTAGTTGATGGTTTTAATCTATTTTCGAAAACAATAAAACCTAAAAAGTCCAATCCACTTTCAGCATCCTCTCTTGTAATTTTTTGAGAATACAACCAAGTGTTTTTTTTCAACTTCTTACCAGCACATGCAATAACTCTGTACCCATTATGTGTATAATGATACAACAATTCTTCAAAATTTGGGGGGAATGACTTTGGATTACAAATTTCCTTGATAACTTCAGGTGCACCTTTTGTCAAGACTGAGAATTGATCATTTGACTTGATGATAACACTCATTCTTCTTAAGTGTGAAACAAATTCAAAACTTCTCAAAATACCTAATAATTCATTCTTTTGATTCTTTGGATAAACAACAGCTGGTGTGATACCTGTATTTTCCGGTAATTGAGACTCATCAAATCTTTCTTCGTTAGTTGAAGTGAAACCTTTAAATTCTTCTTCATATTCCCAATCAGTAAACTTAAACATTTTGTAATCCAATGGATCACCAATCAATTCATCATCAACAACTCTTAGGGAATGACATGCAACTAAAGCTTTCAACAAATCACTATGGCTTGCGCTTATTGATTTGATATCTGTCAATCTTTCTTCAAAATGATCACCAGATGCATGAACCCCATAAACGTCCAATCCATCTTCGGTCAATGTACCAGTTTTATCAAAGCACAAGATATCCAGTTTACCACCGACATTAACTCTAGTTGGAGAGATACAAAAAATGTCTTTTTTTTTCAATCTTGATAATGCAAAACTTGTACCAATGGTTAACGTGGCAGGTAATGCAGGTGGAACAACAATAGTTATGATATCAAGTGCCCTTAATATGATGATTCTTGGACCTAAACCAAGTTTAATGAAATTTATTGTACTAAAGATGAATCCAAAGCAAGCAATAATAGTCATAAATCCAATATATTTAAAAGAATCCTCATAAAATTTAAAACCCACAGGTTTAGGGAATAACATTGATCTTAATAACGCACCTTTTGTAGTAGCAAACCCAGTACGAACAACTAAAGCCATTGCTGGGTCACCTGCACTATGTCTAACTCTAATAATCTTGGTACCATTGAATAGATATGATTTAGCTAATAATGGTGAAATTTGTGATTTTAATGAATCTTTAACTAAAGCATCCAATGTGTCATGCGAGGCTGGTAATTTTGAAACAGGGACAGATTCACCAGTAAGCATAGATTCATTAACAATACAATCACCAGATAAAAGAACAGAATCACATGGGAAAACGCTCAATGAAGGATCAGAAACTTCATAAACATCACCAGGAACTAAATCAGCTGCATCAGTTTCTTTCCAATAATCATTTCTCCAAACTCTAACTTTACATTCAAATTTGGAAAGTTCACGTAGTCTGGCCATTGTAGATTTTGTCTCCACTAAAGTATTGATTATTGAAAAAATTGAAATTAGGAAAATACAAGCAGCATAGTAATAATATTCATCAAAAGCCCACAAGATAATTGAAAATACTTGAAACATATAAAATGGGTGTAAGACTTCATCAACTAATAATTGAGAATTTGTTTTCTCTTTCAATTCTAAAGTATTTTCTTTGAAAACCAATGCTCTATCTTCATATGAATCTTTTGTTAACCCACTTTTAACATGATGTAACCAATCAAAATCAACCCAATTAGTGTTTGTTTTGAAAATGTCTTCAACTGGAGAATAATAGAAATTCAAATATCTATATTCAAAAGATATTAAAATTGGGATAATTGGGTTAACGTCAATGTGTGGTTGATTAGCATGTTCACTATTAGAACTTGAAGTGTTTGTTCTTGAAATTTCATCTAAATGAGGAACATTCATAACCGTTGATAATGAACGATTGTACCATTGTCTATTAACATCAATTATAGTTAATTCACCATGTTCAGTTTCAGCAACAACCCATTCAGCTTTCCCCAATGCCACTTTTTCACCATAAATTGAAAATTTATATTTAGGTAACCATCTGAGTAGTAGATAAAATAAACCAAAAGTGATTGTGGAAATGAAGTAATATAAATAGAGTCTTAATTTGGAAGTTTTATAACCTGCAATACCCAACACTAAATCTTCTTCAGCAATATAAAATCTTTGGAAATGTAATTTAGCAGGATGTGATGGATAATAATGATCATGAAGATCGGAACTTAGCTCTGGATAAGCGTTATTTGTATTTTGGTTATTATTTGATTGAGCAACGTCTAATACAGAATCATCATCATTATCACTCTCTTCAGCATCATCTAATAATGGACGATTTGAAACATCACTTGGAATACGATCTCTATAAGTGTTTGCAGAATAAGCAGAAGGTGATGATGAAGTCCTTGTTTGACGATCCATTGAACCATAATCTTGCATTGAAGCATTAGTGGAGAAACTTTGTCTTCTGAAATCTTCATAAATTGGTGCAGAATTCCAATTTGTATCGTAATCAATAGGATCATCAGGATCATCTAAAGTGGAAGCACCATGGGCAGTTTCAATATCTTCTGGGTCAAAAAATTTAAATTGTGAGCGACTATCAATCGATTGAGATCTTGATCTTGAATTAGAACCTGAACGAAATCTATTCAGGGAAACATTTTCACTGATAACATTTGAAGATGATTGAATTGAAGGTAATCTTCCACGTCGTATTGAACTAGCTGCAGAACTTGGAATTGAAGAAGGTGATAGCTCTCTTCTACCAAAATGGTGGAAATGATGGAAAGAAGTTATTGAAGATGGGATAATTTCTGAAGCAGCACCATCAAACATTTCAGTTGTATTTTCATCAATGTGAGCAGTATCCTGAGAAGCAATCGAGCCTCTTCTCAAGGACGATGAACGTCTTGAGATTCTGGACAAGTCATCATGTCTAGCAGAACGATCTGACATGATTGAAGTGACTACTTCCTGATTCTTTCAGTGTATGATTTGTTGTTCTCGAGTATAATTGTTTTGAAACCTTGAAGTTGTTTTTTTGTTCGTTATCTTGTGAAAAGGTCGCGAAAATGGCAGAATTTGGACACTCCCGACGAGTTGGTTTCAATTGGCTGAGGAATTGGGTATTTTTGGAAAGTTTAATTGTCATATTAGGAGGTTTAAAGTCAAGTTAGTCAAGAAATAATGGAAGATATATTACTTTAATATATTCTCAGCTGTTTACTAAAATCCATACTCTTTCCGGTAAATTAATCCTTGCCCTAACGAAATTCGGTCTTGCTTAGTCAGGGCTTTAACATCCCCACACCACTTTCGCCCACCAAAATTCAATTTTTTCCTCAAAATTTTCAAATTCTTCTTTTCAACTTTATAACAATTTGAAGGTGAATAACAACCACTTTTAAATGAATTCATGATTTCAATGTGTAAGTGTTGATAACTTTACTTTCATGCTCATTCTCATTCCAGTTTTTTATGTTTTCCCTTTGCTGATGAAAACTATGACAACAACAACTTGAATTTCTTCATCCGAAATAGGACCATGTGGATTTAAACATGCTTTTTAACCCTGATTCAAAGAGATAAATTAAAGAACAGTTTGATATAATGAGACATGACTGGCTATTTATACACCATTTTATAGACCATTTGACTAACAGTTTTTCTAGAATTATGCTTTGAATTGAGCTTATATTACATAGTTTTTATGGATCAAAAGTGCTTTTTTTCTGAGTTACCAGACGTAGACATATAACGTACTCGTAATACCTCTTTTTTATGATTATCGTTTCATAAAATCAAAAGAACCACTTTCTTCCCTATAAATTATCAAATTATTGAATTACTGAAATTAATAGTGAGCCCTTTCCGCGAATTAATTCTATGTGTGTATTTACTTTCGCGAATGTTTTCTGGGGCAAAAATCAGAATTCAATTTGAAATTGAAACTAAAACAGTTAACTAGAGAAGATAAACAAGCAATATGACACTCAATGAGCCATCTGTTGATTTCCATTTGAAGTTACAAGAGGGATCATTCAAGATTCCATATGAAGCAATCAGACGTAATTTCAAATCAGTACAAAAATTAGATGAGAAACAATTCAAAAAAGTGGATGAGTTGTATAAAGATTTTAACAAGGCAACCACCAAGAAGGAGAAATTAATCAAATTGAAACAGATAATCACAAGTTTAAAGCAATTTGAAAAGAAAATACAAACTAAAGTTAAGATTGAGAATGAGCTAGTTTCTAGAATCCAACATCGGTTAGATAAATTGAATGAATTGAAAGAATTGAAACAGTTATCAATAAGTGATGAAAAGAATGGTGTTAATGCTATAAATCAAGATAAATTATTGAATTGGTATAGAGATCAAACGAATTTATTAATTGCAGATTATTTATTGAAAAATAGTCATTTGATTGATCAAAATCCTGGATTATTATTGATAAAGACATTGGGTTTTGAAAAATTAATTGACTCAGATATTATTTTAGTTTCAAATAGGATCTCAACATCAATTTTGAATAAGAACTTAGATAATTTGATTCATTGGATTGATGAGAATAAATCACATTTGAAAAAAATCAAATCAAATTTAGAATTTGAAACAAGATTCCAAGAATATATTGAATTGATTAAACAAAATGAAATGAATAATGCAATCAAATTATTCAACACTCATTTATCTCAATTTACTAAATCAAATTTCAATGAAATAAAATTAGCTTCAGGATTATTAATATTTGCTAAAAAAGCTCAACTTCATCCAAATAGCTCAAATTTCACTAAATACAACACATTATTATCATCAAAACGTTATACTTATTTATCAGATTTATTCCTCAAGATTTATTACAAGATGCATGGAATTTCAGAAGATGATCCTTTATTAATTTATTTATCACTTGGTATATCAGCATTAAAGACAAGATCATGTCAATGTAATCCAATTTCCAAACCATTAAATTTTGAATCCATATTGAATAAGAAATTATCAACAGGTAAAGAGGATCTTAATAACCCATCAAATATTTGTCCAATATGTTCACTGGAATTCAACCAATTGAGTTCACAGCTTCCATATTCTCATAATGTCAAGTCTTATCTATTTGATAATCCAGTGATGTTACCAAATGGTAATATCTATGATAAGGAAAAATTGGTTAATTTCAGCAAGAATTTGACTATTTTGAATGAGAATGAAGTTAAGGATCCAGTCACTACAGAGATTTATACTGTTGATGATTTGGTTACGATGTATCCAACCTGAAGAACTAATTAATGCTATGTTGAATGATGCTATGAATTTTGTTCTTGTTGACGTAGTTTTTTTTATTAATTTAAGGACCTTGACTGTAACTGACTTTCACCATTTCTCAAAATCATGGCCTTAGTATTCATCCTTTCATTGATATCAATGAACGTGGAATTTATTGTTCCAAGTTGTTTTATCTCTATGTGTCTGTGTCCCATACCATCTACATCCAGACACCACGATCTTGATAATAATCAAAAAAAAAAATTGGAAGCTCATCTCTTGAATTATTAATTGTTCAAACGATAAAAGATTATTTAAATGTCATCAGAATCACAAGATGAAGTGCCCGCAGTCTGTGAGACCTGCTTAGGCCCAAACCCATATCTAAGAATGATGAGGGAAAGAGAAGCACTAGAGTGTAAATTATGTACAAGACCATTCACAGTATTCAAGTGGGCTCCAAAAAAGAATGGTGCTTTCAAAAAAACAATAATATGCTTGACATGTTCAAGACAAAGAAACTGTTGTCAAAGTTGTTTGATGGATTTAACCTATGGTATACCTATCCAATTAAGAGATGCTGCGTTGAAAATGGCTGGTGTCCAAGGAATCACTGGTGATGAACCGAAAAATGAAATATCAAAATTATATGTTGCAAATAATTCACAACAATTTCAAACAATTGGAGGTGCTTCAGTGACTTCGAATGCTGAAAGGGCAAAGGAAATATTGACAAAATTATCATTAGCTTTAAAAAATAATAAAAACCCTAAAAAATTGAATGATAAATCTGATCAATTACCATCACATATTAGTAAAATTGATGTCACTAAAATAATATCAAAATTGCCATTCAATGGTTCATTAGAACCTCCAAAGGATGAAACAATAACCACATTATTCATATTTGGAATTGATGAATCATTGCCAGAATATAAAATAACGGATTATTTTGAACAATTTGGCAAGATCAAATCTTTTGATTGTCAACATAAAGCCAGAGCAGGGTTTATAACTTTCCAAACAAGAGATAATGCTGAAAAAGCTACACAATCAATAACTTCACCACAACCTCAAGCACCAGGTTTATTAATCATTGAAAACATTCCACTAAGGATAACTTGGGGTAAAGAACGTCCTTTAGGTGTTTCCAATGCTGAAAAGATTAAAGTTGGTTCAGTTGTTGGTAAAATATTGAAGAAGTTTTCAAATCTTGGGAAAGAACAAAAGGCTATTGAAGGCAAAAAAGATGCCAAAGATGAATCAAAGAAACCAAAGACTATTAAACAGCCTGTGGGGAATGAAAAAATTACATATAAATCGACTTTGAAAGATTTTGAGCTATAAATTTAATGAATTTTTAATGTTTATTATCGTAGTTTATTTTGTTGTTAGATGCACTCCATCAACAACTTTTTAGAAGGCGAAATTCCAATAAACAAAACCTAGAACAATGTTAAGATACAACAGATACATGTCAACTTACGAAGGTGAGTAACGATTGAATCGATTGTTATGAAATTATCTAACCTTAACAGAGGAACACAACATACGGGAGAACAGAACCCCATCCCAACAACCAAGTCGGACACATGAGACGTTATCAAGCCGTCTTGAACATTTCCTAGAGGGTAGAGAAAATGGAACAACTACTCAACAGGGACAAGTGGAATTGCTAGTTAGTGCTCTTAGATCATTAAACAATGGAGAGTTTGGTGATTCTTTATTAGATCAATTAAACTCTGAGAAAGATATACAAGGTGTTCCTGAAGAATTTATAGATTCTTTAGATAGAGTCTCCAAGAAGAGTTTGAAAAAAGATCAAACTTGTTCAATCTGTACAAATGATTTTCTGGATGATCCACACCCTTTAGTTGTTAGACTACCTTGTGATGGTAATCATAAATTTGATTTGGAATGTATTTCACCTTGGTTAAAAGTTCATTCAACTTGTCCATTATGCCGTAAAAATCTGTTGGATAGAAAGAAATTTGATGATTTACCAGAAGATGATGAAGAAGTGGAAGAAGGATGGGATATATACGGTTGAAACTTTTAACTTTTATTTACATGCATTAATATAGAATTATATACTTTCTTATTGCTTTTTAGCTTCTTTAGTTTCAGCTTGTTTTGTTTCAACTTTCTTAGTTGATTCTTGCTCTATTTGATTCTCATTAGCTTTGAAATGTTGTTTGAAAACAGGATCATTTAATAATTGTTCAACTCTCTTTTTAACATCTGAATTCTCAGAAAGTGCATTATAATCTAATGTATCATCAAGTTGTTTTGTATCAACTTTATCCAATTCTTCTAAAAATTCTAATGATTGTTTTTGATACGTTTGAACTTTTATACCAAGACCTGCAGGACTGTGTTTTCTTAAAAATGAAACCCATAAATCAACAACTTCTGGTGTGGTATCATAAGCTTTAATCAATCTTTTATGTGTTATTCTTTGATAATTTTCTTTAGTTTTAGCATGAACGAATGGAGCTTTAATAACTGTCCATCTTTCTCTTCTTTTAGGTAATGGAATTGTACCACTAACTGGAATATTCAAATAATAAGCAGCTCTAATAATAAAATCACCATAAAATTCCACTAGTTGTGCATCATAAGAACGAAGTTGTAATTCAGCAACTTTATCATTATATTTTGGTTTATGTTTCATTGGAGCCCAGTAATTAGCCTCCACATTGACTGGTAATGGTCTATTATTTGAACCTTCAGCTTCTGTTGTGAAAACTTGAGGATTATATTCAACTTTTGAAGGTCTAACTGGTGTGATAGTTTTATTACCAACAACGGATCTTTTTGGAGCAACCACTGATGGGGCAAATGATCTTGCACTCGTACTGAAAGCACGAATGTTATTTCTAAGCATCTTCTTTAGTTAATGTACTGCCTTGACCTTTTCCACATTCAATTCGACCTTTGATATTTTGACTTTTTTTCAGCGAAGTTCAAAAAAAAAAGATGTTTCACGTGATCCCAAATTACCGGATTCGGTAGCCTTTGGGAAATAAAAAAAAATTCAGATAAACTTGACCAAAACAAAAAGTATTGGAAAGTTGGTTGAAAGAGAGTTAAAAAGAGGCGAAGATGGGTAAAAGTAGTAAGGATAAAAGAGATTTGTACTATAGGTATGTCTATTCACATTAAACTAAGTTTAAATGCCATTTTTCTAACATTTTTCACCATAGAAAAGCCAAAGAAGAAGGTTGGAGAGCTAGATCAGCTTTCAAATTATTACAATTAAACGACCAGTTCCAACTATTCAAAGGTGTTAGAAGAGTCGTTGATCTATGTGCTGCACCAGGTTCATGGTCCCAAGTTTTATCAAGAGAATTATTTGAGAAAAATAAGTGTAATGAAGATTCAGATGGAGTCCCACCAAAGATTGTTGCAGTGGATCTACAACCCATGGCGCCAATAGAAGGTGTCACTACTTTACAAGCTGATATTACACATCCAAAGACTCTCAGTAAGATATTGGAAATATTCGGGGGTGAACCAGCAGATTTCGTCTGTAGTGATGGTGCACCAGATGTGACAGGTTTACATGATTTAGATGAATATATTCAAGCACAATTGATTTTGGCGGCATTACAATTAACTACATGTTTATTAAGACCAGGTGGTAGTTTTGTTGCAAAGATTTTCAGAGGTAGAGATATTGATTTAATGTATTCACAATTGGGATTTCTATTTGAAAAAGTCATTTGTGCTAAACCAAGATCCTCAAGAGGTACTTCATTAGAAGCTTTTATCGTTTGTCTTGGATATAAACCTAGTCAAACTTGGAAACCAACACTAGATCTAAATGTTTCCACTGAAGATTTTTTCAAAGGTGCCAATATTGGAAGATATGAATTAAGAGATGATTTAGAATATGAAGAAGAAAAAAGAAATATAGCCCCATTTATTGCATGTGGTGATTTATCAAGCTACGATTCTGATGCCACTTATACGATAGAGTCAGGAGTTGAAAGAGTATCATTGGATCCAGTGCAAAGCCCTACAGCACCACCTTATAAAAAAGCATTGGAGATGAAGAGAAATGGTGAAATCAAAAGATAGATTTGTATATTAGGCTAGATCAATGTAATTGTACCAAACTAGACTTTTTCCCCTGTATTTTGATCAGTATCATCAGTTGTATCATCTTTTGCTGGATATGTAGGAGCAACATCGTGGACGAAAAATAACAAAACTAATGTCCCCAATCCATAACAAGCTAAGCAAAAATAGGTTGCATTGATATATCTTTTATGCAATTTTTCTTTATCACTCGTATCACCAACAATGGATGTAATCACAGCAAATGATAATGCAATACCAAATTGAGCAAACGTTTGAGCAATACCCGTAACTATACCTTGAAATTTCAAAGGTGTAGCAGTGATTATCATGTTTAAATAATGAATGAAATATAAAACACTTCCAAAACCTAACAAAACTTGACCAGTGAATGAAAACTTCCAATAATAATATGAAACTTTATAATCAACTCTTGAAAAAAGAATCAATCCACCAACACCAATTAAGAAACCTAATGTGGAGACCCATTTTGGAGAAAACACACCATAAATTTGTGACATTAAAGTCAACGTAAATAATAAAGTCACAATAAATGGTAAATATCTAACACCTGTAATTAAAGGAGAGACATCATCAATATATAAGAAATATGAAGTTGAAATAAAAATCATTCCAAAATAACCACTGAAATTTAAAATTGAATTGAAAACTAAAGGAATGAAATTTGGAATTGTCCAAACTGGTTTTGGAATCAAAAGATGAGTATTAGGAAACATTTTAGGTGAAACATAGTTTTCATAAATGATAAACACACCAACCAACACAAAACCAATTGGTAATATAACATAAGTCTTTGGGCTATTCCAATGTTCACCAGCTTCTGTGAATCCAACAATAATCAATAACAATCCACTAATCAATATTGAAGATCCAATGTAATCTAAGTCTCTCAATTTATCTTTATTTCTAGATACTATTGGGAAATTGAAAAACGCAATTATACCTAAAAGTAATGAAATTGCAAATGAAACATAGGTGATACCCTTATATTTCACACTAGATTCAAGGAAAGCACCACCAACTATTAACCCTCCAGCATTTGCACTAGAAAGCATACCTGACAATACAGTGATTGCCATATTCAATTGTTTCCCTTCAAACATATGAGCCATCAATGCATAAGAGCTTGGAATTAAAGTAGCAGCAGCCATACCTTGGAAAGCTCTAAACACTATAAAGACATAAATATTATTGACAACTGCACATATTAATGAAATTATCGCGAAAACAATTGAACCAATAATAAATTGAGTATCATGGCCAATGATATCTCCAATTCTACCAGCAAATCCAATAAACCCTGCAAATGTAACAGCATAAGCAGATAGTGACCATGAGGCAATAGGCGCTGGTGAGACATTGTAATGTTCATGAAGATATCTAACTGAAACCAATATGGAGGTGACGTTGAATAAATCCAACATGGTACTTGTCATAATCATCAAAAAGATGAGGATTTTGCTTTGTAAAAACAAAGGTGTTTTTTGTTGAAATCTAGTTCTATCAATGATGTAAGGCATTATGAGTTTTCTGTTGGTGAATAAATTTTTGTATCATAACTAGATATTGGACAACTTCATCTCTTTTTAAATGGTTCTCTTTGAAGAACCATTACTAACTCATAACAATAGAATTATACAGTACTGCTAGTAACTAATCATAACACTGATGTATACAGCACTATTTAATTACTAATTCTGGACCAGTTTTAACTGGAAAACTGTCAATTTCATGTTGTTATTGTACCTTTTCGATAACAGTTGATGATGGTTTTAGTTATTACAAATTACAAATTGCACTTTTTCTACAGTAAATCTGTCAAACATAAAGGTCAAATAAGTTGATTACAATTCTACAATTTAGCCTCAAAATCAACTTTATTTGAAACTATACAAAATAGATTAAATTTCTACACTCTTTATAGGTTCGTTTATTTTGATGGAACAACAGAATCATCAGGTTTCAAAGTTGGGAATAATAAAACTTCTCTAATGGTATTTGAATCGGTTAAAAACATGGCCAATCTATCAATACCACAACCCCAACCACCAGTTGGAGGTAAACCATATTCCAATGCATTACAGAAGGTTTCATCAACTAATTGAGCTTCATCATCACCTTGATCTTTTTGTCTAGCTTGTTCTTCAAATCTTTCTCTTTGATCAAATGGATCATTCAATTCAGTATAAGCATTACAAATTTCTTTAGTAGCAACGAAAACTTCAAAACGTTCACATAAACCAGGTTTTGAACGATCATATTTAGCTAATGGAGACATCATTTGTGGATGACCAAAGATGAAAGTTGGGTTGAAACACATATCTTCTAATTCACCAACCAACTTATCCAACATACGAGCATTAGTTAATGGAGGTGGACAATCTAATTTATGTTTAATTAAAATAGATTTCAAGAATTCACCAGTTTCTTTAGTATGTAATTGATCACCTGGTGGGAATTTAACATCAAAGACTTTTTCCAATTCTTCAATCATATTAATTCTTTTCCATGGTCTTGAGAAATCCAAACTTAATTCTTTACCATCTGGACCATCTGGATGATATTTAATAACATAATCACCAGTGATTTTTTTAACCATTTCAGAAAATAACATTTCAGTCATATCCATTAAATCATAGACATCAGCATAAGCTTGATAAAATTCACAGGTTGTAAATTCTGGGTTATGGGTCATATCAATACCTTCATTTCTAAATTGACGACCAATTTCATAAACACGATCCATACCACCAACAACTAATTCTTTTAAAAATAATTCTGGAGCAATACGCATGTACATATCCATGTTTAAATCATTATGATGAGTGATAAAAGGTTTAGCAGTGGCACCACCGGCAATAACATTCATCATTGGAGTTTCAACTTCAATGAAATCTCTATTATCCAAAAAGCTTCTAATGTATGAAATAATTTTTGATCTAGTGATAAATCTATCTCTTGTTGAATTGTTAACAATCAAATCCAAATATCTTTTTCTATATCTTGCTTCTTGATCTTTGAAACCGAAATGATCAGTTGGTAACATATGTAAACATGGAGTTAATAATTGAACTCTTGTAGCAAAGATTGAAATTTCACCTTCACCACCTTTTTTAGGTTGAGTTCTACCAGGATAACCAACAACACCAATGATATCACCTCTTTTGATCAATTCATGAGCTTCTTCAAAAGGTTCAGTGGAATCTTGAGCTTGAGCCATAATTTGAATTTGAACACCATCACCTCTCAAGACATAAAATTTCAATTTTGAACCAGATTCTCTTTTGGCATGGATTCTACCAGCAACTGAAACACTAACGTCTGGTAAAGTTTCACCTCTTTTCAAATCTTTATAATTTTCTAAAAATTCTTTTAAAGATTGACTAACTTGAAATTTATGAGGATAAGGATTTGGACTATGAGTTTTTCTTAATTCATCAATTTGTCTTGATCTGATTTCGAAATATTGGTTTGGAGTTAAATCATCATCAGTTTTCTTTTTTGGAGCTTTTGTAGGATTAGCTTCAGCATTAGCTTGTTGTTTAGCTAATTTTTCAGCTTTTTCAGCATCTTTTTGACGTTGTTTTTGTCTCTTTTTCAATTCAGATTTTGAGACACGTTCACCAGTGACTTCATCCAAATGAAGTTTTTGCACAGCTTCAGCAGCTTGATCAGCTTCAGACATGATTAATGGATTGATTCCTGAATTTATTGAGTTGAAATTGTTTTCGACTCATCGACGTTTTCAATTAAAAAAAAAAATCAAAAATCCTCGGAAATCTCAAACCGGTAATTTTCGAGGGTTACAAAGTTTTTTTTTGGTCAAAGAAATGAAGAAATTGTTCAAGTTGAAGTGGAAAATTGACGTGAATTTGGTTTTATTTGAGTTAGAAAAGGATTAGAATGTCACAAAAGTGAGTGTGGTTTGGAGATTTCTATTAGAGAAGGAATATTTACTAATTTTTTCCAAAGCAAAGAATACGTTAAACCAACTGCTGAAGTTGTTCAACTTGAATCAAGTGTAAGTGCTATTTAAATGGATCAATAGAATTCAAAGCTAACTCTCATATAGGTTGCCTTAAAGATTGTTAAACACGCGTCAGAGCAATATCCTCACACTGCTGCAGGTCCATTGCTAGGTGTTGATTTACAAACTGGGTTATTAAAGATTTCACATTCATATTCATACCCATCATCAAGTGAAGAAGGTACTCCATTACGTATTAGAAGTAATGTTAAATATCAAGATGAATTAGTTGCACAATTGAAAGAAAACAAATTGGCTGTTCAATTAATGGGATGGTATCAAGCCTCAAATTCTGGTAAATTTATTAATGAATCAGTTTTAGAAAGTTTAGCATCAAATCAATTGAAAAATAATAATTCAATTTTATTAATTCATGATTCATCAAAGGCTAAATATGGTGTCCTAAGTCTAAGAGCTTTTAGATTAACTGAACAATTCTTAAAAGTTTATATCAAGAATGATTATCATCTTGAAACAATTAATGAAGCAGAATTAACTTATGATACAATTTTAGAAGAAATACCTGTCAAGATTCATAATAATCATTTAATTTCATTATATTTAGCAGGATTAGGACAAGATCATTTTAACAAAACTGAATTATTATCATCAAATTCATCGAAAACTTCAATTATTGAACAAAATGTTGAAAATTTAATTGAATCAGTTGATGATTTAGGTAATTTCTACTATCATTTGTTGAAGAAAAGAAGTACACAACCGGAACCAAGTTTCCAAGATTGGTTATTCACCACAGGTAGAATAGAATATAATAATGATGATGTTCAACAACAAATCATGAGTCAATTTTTGACAGATTCATCAATTAGACCATGAGGAGAGGGAAGCTATTTGTATATTAGGAATAAAAACAAGTGAAATAATGGAAATTGTAGTTGTAATTATGGCTTCTATTTTGGTCGTGCGCAAGAAAAAAAGAAACAGCAAAAAAAAAACAATGTTGTGATGGTTTCGAAACATGAGAATCTTTAATTAAAGAAGGATTATTTTAGAATTTTAGTTATAGAAAGTATTAGATTAAAGTGTTGAAAGAATGGGTAGACCAAGAGTGAGTATGCATGATTATGCTGTCTTTTTGTCAAATCTCTAACCCTTTTTTCCAGCTTATTATCCTCATAAGACACGGTGAAAGTGAAGGAAACTGTGATAAATCAGTAAATAGATATGTTCCAAATCATAAAGTTGTTTTAACTCTGAGGGGCCATCAACAAGCCAAAGATGCTGGTTTGAAATTAGAATCCATGTTGAATGAAGATGATTCAGTCTTGTTTTATACATCACCTTATAAACGTACCAGACAAACATTAGATGGATTAATATCAGGAATTTCAAATAGTGGGATCCCATATAAAGTTCATGAGGAACCAAGAATGAGAGAACAAGATTTTGGTAATTTCCAAAGTACAGCTGAGGAAATGGAAATGATATGGAAGGAACGTGCACATTATGGACATTTTTTCTATAGAATCCCATATGGAGAAAGTGCAGCAGATGTTTATGATAGATGTGCTGGTTTTAATGAAACATTATTTAGACAGTTTCAAAGTGATAAATTCCCAAGTGTGTTGGTGTTAGTGACACATGGGATTTGGGCTAGAGTTTTCTTGATGAAATGGTATAGATGGACTTATGAAGAATTTGAAAGTTTGAAAAACGTTGGACATTGTCAATTTTTAGTTATGGAAAAGAATCCAGAGACTGAACGTTATAAATTCTTGACAAAATTGGCTAAATGGGATGATGATGATGATGAAGATGAAAAAGAATATCGTGAAGAGATGAAGGATGAAGTTTTAAAGAACTCCAATAGTTATACAGATATGAATTTTAGTAGTTCAGATTTGAGTAAAGATTCTCAAAGGTCGCAGCGAGAAAAAGAGAGGAAATTGAAGGAGTTGTTTAAAAAGACATTGGATAAGTGTTAGTATAGATATTCAATAATCAAGTTATTTATTCAGATACCCCGGGGGATGTAGTAATAACAGGATCAACCGAGACATCACCTGGAACAATTCCAGCACCTGACACATCACCAACAACATCATCAACAGCACCATTTAAAACACCTCATGGCCCTCACCGTCACCCAATTCCATTCTCAAATTCAAACCCAATATACCAATAACCGAATCAGCTCTTCTGCCATCCTGCCCCGTGCCACTGGCCATTACGTGGTGGGCTTGAGTGTGGCCCTGCTCAAAAGTGGATTCGCAATTTGGTGATGGTTCGATGGACGATGGTATAAAAGATGAGAATTATCCCTTGGAACTTTGAAATTCAATTGACTGCTTCAATATCTCAAAAGAGAAATAATAACAAACAGATAATATCAAAATGGTGAGTGGGATACAGACTATCAATTGACTCATATACTAATCTTCAAAGGCTCGTCAATTCTTCGTTGGTGGTAACTTCAAATTAAACGGTTCAAAAGCTTCAATTAAAGAAATTGTTGAAAGATTAAACACTGCTCAATTAGACCCAAATGTCGAAGTTGTCATTGCTCCTCCATCAACTTACCTTGAATACACAACTTCTTTAGTTAAAACTAAACAAGTTGAAGTCAGTGCTCAAAACGCTTATGTTAAAGGTTCTGGTGCTTTTACTGGTGAAATTTCAGTTGAACAAATCAAAGATGTTGGTGCTACTTGGGTTTTATTAGGTCATTCTGAAAGAAGAACTATTTTCAAAGAATCTGATGAATTCATTGCTGAAAAGACTAAATTCGCTTTAGATCAAGGTTTAAAAGTTATCTTGTGTATTGGTGAAACTTTAGAAGAAAGAAAATCTGGTATTACCGATTCTGTTAACCAAAGACAATTATCTGCCGTTATCAAATTAGTTAAAGATTGGTCAAATGTCGTTATTGCTTATGAACCAGTCTGGGCTATTGGTACTGGTTTAGCTGCCACTCCAGAAGATGCTCAAGAAACTCATAAATCTATTAGAGATTTCTTGGCCAAGGAATTGGGTCAAGATGTCGCTGAAGCTACTAGAATCTTGTATGGTGGTTCTGCTAACGGTAAGAATGCTCCAACTTTCAAAGATAAAGCTGATGTTGATGGTTTCTTAGTTGGTGGTGCTTCATTAAAAGCTGAATTTGTTGACATTATCAACTCTAGACAATAGAGGGAATGAAGAAAAGCATGAATATTTGGATTTGTACAAGTTTTTGAAATGATAAATGAATTTGTTTAATGTTTGAAAAGGTGATTGTCACAATCGTAGATATATATGCGATAGAGTAAATAATGACTCTTCAATACTCCTGTTTTCAATCAAGTTTGACTCTTGACTTCTCTGATATTATGTTTCTGGGGAAAGTGAATCAATGAAGAGATAAAATAATCGCTAAATCTGTGATTCTCGGGAAAGTTAAAGCTACGCATCAATATTTAACCAGAACTTCACAAAGGCTTCAGCCCCATGTATATCTGTAAAGTTCAAATAAATGCATTCCATTTCATTAAATATATTTAATCATTGCCCAAAAAAAAAAGTAGTAACTTAGTCATTAAAATTTCATAATCATAAAACACCCCAATCCCAAACCACAACACCCTCATATTCATCATCTTCTATCATCCTTAAGTTCATTTCTATTTGGACTTAAAATCAACGGTGTAACATTCCCATCGAGATCCCTTACTGGATAAAGAAATGGTGAATCAACATTTTGTGTAATTGAACTTTGTCTTTTAATCATTGGTTTATTTAACCAAAAATTTGATGGTGAATTTTGTATAGATATTGGATCTAAATTTGGAGTTTCCGGAACTGGATCAATCCGTAATGATTGTGGTTGAGGTATATTTATACCACCTCTTTCAAGATTACCATTACCATTATTATTTGAATATCTTCTAAATTGTACTCTTTGATACATTAATGGATTGGAAAATGATGTTGTTCTGGACATTGATGGTTTATTTAATGATAATAACGATATTGTAGAATTTGATGATAATAATGAATTATTCTCTACCGATGTGGCTAATAAATTTGGTGAATCTATTTCTGATAAATGGTCTTCATCTATTAATGGTTGGTCATTATTATTGTTATTGCTCTGTAACAGGGATAAGGCAGCTTGTTTATTACTCTTGGATGAAGAAGAGGACATGCTCCGTTCTTTCATCGTGCGAATAGTTGAAGGCGATGGCTTGTAACTCATCGAATATAATGATCTGGAAATGAATACTTGGTGTTTTGTAATGTAGTTTATAAATTGTTCATTTGATCATTTAACCAATTTGTGAAAATTTATTCCGCAAGAAAACAAAAAAAAGAAAGCCCGAAAATATGTTGAATTTCCGAAAGCGGTAATCGCTGTTTTAGGTATTGGTTATGATGCGCTGCGGCTCATACTTTTTATTCCCGACGTTTTTGTTTACATTTCAACGTTTTGACACATAGGGATGTTGAGTTCATCTAGTGAACTAATGCTTGTTTGATGAATAAGTTTCTGTTATGTTGCTATGATAATGCAGGTATATGAGAAGTTTGTTTTACGGTAGATCAATGCTGTGTTTCAATATGGTAAGCTAAACATAAATCATCGCATATAGGTTGAAAGAATGGCATTTTCTGTTAATTCATAATGTTTATAAAAAAGCTTCAAATATTCCACATCATGTCAATTAATCTTCAGCTCTACCTATACACCACATCCAGCTTAACCAGTTGAAATACTCAAAAAATTATGCCTTCCAGATCCTATATTTCACCTCCATCAAGTACGCATAGTGATTCAAATGAACCACAAAACTTGGTGAATCCAATTGTTCTTCCACCAATAAGAAGTCTTTTTGACGAAGGAAGATTGCCTTTCTTTGTCGATCAAGTTGAAGACTTGCCTTTCGGTGGTGCTGATGACCCTGTTGCTCCAATTACAACACATCGTCATGATCCAGGCTCTGCTTTCTCAGATTCAAGTTCAGATATATCTTCAATCTTCTCACAAGATAGTGCACCAATATCACCACCTTTAACTGCTTCATTGCATTCAACTGCTTCATCAGATCATTTTTACTTTGAGGAACTGCCGCTCTCTCCTCCTCCTCCATATTCTGAACTGGAATCATTCAATCTAAATCACAATTTTACTAGTGATGATCCTTTCAATTTTTATTTAGTTGAAGAAGTTGCGTATGAACACGCTTACGAATTAGCTCAAGCTGCTTATAATTCAACTGATCTAGACTTAGACTCTGGTGTGATTGCAGATGATGAAATGACCAACGCGGGAGATTGGGATTATTTGATGACTCGCCAAACAACAGCTCCTGAAACATCAAACATTATGGAGCGATATTATGCTGGCGTTAGATTTTTACAAGAGCATGGTCTTCAACCAAGTGAAATTGTATCACCAACAACATTTCTTTATTCTCAAAATATTGAGAACCAATATCTTTCAACAAGTATTGTGTCATCTGAACAACCATCAACTCCTGATGTATCTCAACATCCACCATTAGACGCACCATCATCAGAAACTCACTATGAAGATCCAACTTTCAAAATGGACACTCCAATTGAAAGATGGATTGAAGATGCTTCTCAAGAAGATGAAGTTACTGAAGATAATGAGAGTGTTAAAACACCAGTTAACTCACCTTTGGTTGATGATTACGTTGATTATGATATGGATGAGGAATATTTTTTTTAATTGATTTTTTTAATCACAACTAAAGAGGCCATTGTGGCCATTCATAAATGTTTGTATATTTGTATATTTGTATATTTGTTAATACCAGAAAATTTAAAAAACTTTACTCGAGTAGTTAGTCTGCACTTTAGGCTTATTATCTAGCGAACCATCGATTAAAGGTGTTTCGCGACTACATTTATCACTTTAGATATCAAATATACATTGTTTTATAAACTATTCAGGTGTTGTATTCTCATCATTTGAGTCATCATATACTCCAAACATCTCACGGATTCCCTTCCATGATCTTCTTCTTTCCTCAAGCCCAGGTTCAAGGTATCCAAGATGTGCATAATTATCAAAACCATCTAAAGTTGAAGTTCTTGGTGTTGTATTTCTTCCATGAACATAAACAGGTGCTGGAGCCGGAGGAGGACGCACAGTTCTTCTTTCAACATCATTAATAAACGAAGGATGACCATACACAGAAATATGCCAATTTGGAGCTCTGGTTGTTCTCGTTGTATGGTTGTGTCTAGCACGTTGTAATTCACGTTCTCTAGCTAAGGCTAAAGAATTGGCAAGTAAACCTGGATCATTTTCTTGATTATTTTCAGTTATCCAATAAGCCACATCATTTTCATCGGGGTTTTCAACTGCTCTTGGATCATATCTTATATACATTTCTTCATCAATTTCTGGAATTGGACCAAACGCACCATTCAACAATCTATTATTAAAACTAGCATCAGAGCTATTAAGTTCAAAAGGAGGTCTATCACCAATATCAAGATCCTCGGTTCCAAATTCCACAGCATTGAAATATTCACTTGCAAGGAAACCAGTCTCTTCTTCTGTCAAGAGAGTTGCGAATGCACTTGGTGGTGTAATTTGATTTGTGATATCAGTAGGGGTGTTTCTAATGTTGTTCATTGTTGTTTTATTTTACCAAAATATATTGATGGGTAAAAGAAGAGGAAGTTAATTGATCAAATGGGTGGATTTATTCATTCTAATATAGTTGATGAGTTTACCTATAAACTATCATCTCATAAGATCTCATTCTTCGTGTTTTCTGTCCATATTCAGGTACCCAATTAAGCTCTAGCCTTAAAAAATCCTTGTCCATATTCTGTTAATGCTCATTGTAATATTCTGGTGACATCAACTAAGTCAATACTCATTCTTTTTCTGTTGAAGAAGTCGTTGACCAGAAAATCTCGAGAATACATTTGTCCCGTCTGTCAATGGAAAGCGTGTCATTTGCACACCAATTTTTCTGAAAAGTTGATTCACGGAAGTGTTCAACTATTCTGACCAGTACATGAGCTAAGAAATCTAGTCAAGAGCTATGGAATCCAATTACACAATATTCTAGACCAACCGTTTTTGGTAAAGGGAACACTAGCCACATTATGTTCAATAAGTGCTCTTGGGTGTCTCAACAGAAAACGGAATTGCCAGAACAGAAAATTTATACATCTCATTAAACTTCCCAAACTGGAACCTATATAAATCACATATCCTCGTTTTATGACATGATGTGTATTATGGTACCAATTTTCAACTGTCAAATCTTCTGAAGTATCATAAGATGGCATCTCCATTCAAAAAGGCTAAAAAGCTTCTCAAGCTTGAAAAGTTCATCAATAAGAGCTCTTCAAAAACATCCAAAGTTACCAAACAGTCAACTCCTTCTGAAAGTGTCACTCAAAACATTAACACCTCTTCAAACAATTCCAACTCAGACGGGAAGCAACAACCTGAAATTGCTGCTCCTCAAATTTCTTCTAACGATGCTCCATCAAAAATTCCATCTATTCCAAACCCAGTTTCTCGTGCCACTCAAACAAACTCCTCTCCAAATCCAGCCACCACTCCTGAAGAATCCAAACAGAATAAACCATTAACTACTAAAGAATCAATCCCTTCTGGTAACCCTTCAGCTGCTCCAAAGAATGTAAGCTCACCAACAGTTCCTTATTCTCCAAGAACTTATAAAGAATCTTCAAATTACCTTGAAAAGCCAAATTTCCCAGGTTCAAGATTTCAAACAAGTCCACCTCCAACTTCCCATGACAGACTTGGTGCTCATCCAACAACACCATATCCTTCTGTTACGTATCCTCCAACTTCACAATCGTCAACCACACGTTCAACTGAGGCATTTGACCCAAGACAACTCATTGAAATTGATTTATCAAACCCTGATAAACCAAGACTTTTGATTCCTAAAGGTGAAGGTATCACCAATGAGATGATTAGTGAAATTGTGTGTGCTTTGCAAAATGAGGATGATCTTTCTGCTCTTGTTGGTAAGTTTTAATGCGTGACTGTTTCTGAATCACATTCTATATGTGGATTTTACTATTGGAATCTAATGTTTTAAAGGTATTTGTTATATTTGACTACTGTTTTTTTTTAATTAGTTATTGGTAATAACACATTTATTGTCTGTAATGCTATTTGTCTTTAATACTGTAGACTTTGATTATTGGCTTTAACCCTTACCACGTAATTAATTGGTGGTTAAGGCTCTAATTAATACTGATGATTATGTAATCTTGTGCCTTTTTTCGATTAACCTGAAAACGAATCAATTAACAACTTACAACTCATGAGCCCTTTTCCCTTTAGCTGTTCATTCTGTTGGTTACCAGTTTTGGATGTGATGAAGCAGAGAACAATTGAAGCTTGATGAATTTCCTCTCTCTACGCAATAGTTCTGGCCCATGAAGCATTGCAACAGAAAATTGATGAAGTTGGTTTAGGCCAGCTTTAGGAATATCCCAGAATAGTCTCATATTGAACTATAACAATTGTCTGGCTATAAGAAGTGATGATTCTTTGGTTTCTTCTTCTTTAATCATTCACAGTCATCATAACTACAACTAATAACAATGAGTGGAACCAACTTTAAAATTCTCAAATCTACATCAAATGATGCTAGCAAAACCCCAAATACTCAATTGAAGTTCAAACTTGCTGATAAGAATTCCTTCAGAACAAAGCTTGAATCAATTCAAACCAAATTTCTTTGGGGCCAAAAATTTGTAATTGCACCAAAGTTTATTGCAGCATCAATTTCTCCAAGTCCAGAAAGTTCAGATAATGATGAAGATGATCAAATTGCTGATTCAGATAGCGCTGATGATGATGAAGAAGATGAATACTTTGACAAAGAAACTCTTAAAAGATTAAGACGTTTAATGAAAAGGGAAACACAATGTGAAAAGGATCATTATGAAAAGAGAAACCCAAGTTTTAATTACTTGAGCCCAGTTTCCTCTATATTTTCTGAACCTTCTGAAGAAGAAAAAAACAAAAATTAAATTACTTTAAAAAAAAACTAGATGTAAAGGTTGAATAAATGTTTATTATTATGTGCAAATTGAATTATGTAGACTCGTTTTCTGTACGTTCTCTTAACTAATACAAGCTACAAACACACCATAGTCCCAATACAGTATAGCTATTTGCTACCATCTAGGTGAATTGGTGGCTCACTTTGTGGTTTCTATTATCGTCTCAGGTCCTTATTTTTTTTTGAACAAACATCTCATATGTCTATACAAACAGAAATAATCTAAACAGAAATAATCTAAACAGAAATAATCTAAACAGAAATAATCTAAACAAAAAGGATATAAGAAGCGGTTGCTCATCTTCAAATGTCAATGTCAGACTGAGATGTAGATAATCTTTATTCATTCATCACATCTCTGATCAAAATGTCATCGCCAACTCAAGTTAATGATGAGTATTCAAATCTCTATGAATATTATGGAGAAGAATTAGAAGGATATAGATTTTTTGAAAATGGTACCCAAGACTATAATGGTGAACCAGAAAGGGTAGAATATTATTATTCTCAAGGTGAACGTGTTTATATTGTCCCATTTTATCTTGGTTTAGGATTTCAACAACCAGAAGTTATTGAAATTAGTCCATCATCAAGTCCAATTTTAAAGAGTGAAACTGAGATGGATAACGAGCCTGAAGTTATTGATCTCACAACTCCTGAAGCTATTGTGATTGATGATGATGAATCAGAACCTCAAGTGGATGCAACAACTAATATTGAAGTTGAATCAAACGAATCTTTTAAAAGAAGATTAGGAAAACAAGATGAACCAATTGATGTAACTGATGGAAACTCTAGTGATGATTCAGCTTCAACATATTTAGCTTCTGAATATAAAGGTGATCTTAGTGAATATTTCAAGTTCAAAAAATCTAAGAAAAATCCAACTGATGTTCCAAATTCTTATCCAATTGCTCCTGTTTCAATCCATAGCAGTGTATTACCAACTGATAATTCCGGTTATAAAAATAACAAATCGATTAAAGAATGGTTGGAAAATGTTCCAAATGTTGGAAATAATAATCAATTGGAGTTGAATCCAAATTTCATCTTTGAAGATACTCAGGCACATTTCCAAGATCATTCATCAATTGATAGTTCATCAACTTTCAACCAATCTATTAACTCATTGGATGAAGTTTTATTAGACCAGCAATATGAGTATAATGATGAATATGGAAGTGGAACTGAAAGTATTGAAAAGACAATTTTGGAAGATGAAACATTATCTGTCATTGATTTTGGAGCTATTGATGAACTTCAAGATCGTCTCAAAAGTCATAACCCTTATAAAGGTTACACTATTGATCTTGAAAGACCATTGGAAGAAGATGATGATGATGCTAGCTCTGTTGGATCAAGCAATTATCATTCATGTCCTGAATTCTCAACTGGTGAAGCTTTGTAATTAAATTAAATTTTTTTGTTATTCTATTAATGACAGATTCACGTGTCACTTGTAGTAATAAGAAGGTGCTTGAACATTCGTTTCAAGTTTTACGGCTAATTCAAGGCGTCGATGACTGAAGTTTTCATTCCTTAAAGCTGCATAGGGGAGGCTTATTGAGGCGATGGATACTTTTTTTTGTCCAAAATATACCAGTGACTTATTACCTTCTCAGTGAAACTATTACATAATCACAATATATAAACTTTGAGATTTCATATAACGTTAAAGAATTTGGTAAATAAATATTGAAAATGTATTTGATTGAGGTTAATGAGGCCCCTGAATTGAATTTTGTTTGTTTTAATCCATTCTGTGAAGGTTTCGAAAATGTATAATTTTTACATCTTAAGAATTTTGGGATTCAATTTTAGAAAGCCTTCTTGATATCACGGCTAAATTCATAAAAAAATTATTAATAATTAAACGATCCTAAAATTAACCATAAATATTACTATTTATACCAATTAATAAAATTGAATTGAATGTCCAGCCATATTTAGCTTCTATAGTATACCAGTGCGTCACCAATATTGTGAAACTGGTCGACGGCTCTAAGCGCCGGGCACCAGCATGAGTTCCAGCGAGAGGAAGAGAAACTTCAAGCTGCTCTTGAGCGCTGTTTTATAATATACTGTACGCAGTACTAGTAATAGTTTAACCATATTTGAATAAGAAGGTCAAATGGTGATTATGATCTATCAGAACTTTGTACAGCTTTAACCGATAATTGATATTCTTTTAGTTAGGCCAACTTGTCCAATCGAATTCACTTGGATAAGCAGATACTCATACACATCAGTTAACGCTCAACTTCTATAACTACAACTAATAATTCTTTACTTTATAAATAATTTATTTATCATTAACCATTAATATCATGATATAACAGATGAACATTATCGATAATCAACATGCCACCATCAAATATCATATGCCAAAAACACCATACTCAAAATCTCTGTATAAAACTCCTTATAAATACTCCCAAGATTGTATCACAACTTTTTATTATATTTTCTCTTTCTCAATTTATTGTTCAAATGAGTTTTATAATGTTGCATACAATTATCTTGTCTTGCAAATCTTGATTCACAATTTGGGAAGGGACAAACATGTTTTCTTTCACCAGTATGGATTCTTGAATGTCTAGCTAAATGACCTGAAGTTGTAAAAGATTTTGAACAAGTTTTACAAGTGTATTTTCTTTTGATTGTTGGGTTCAAATCTTGATTTATTTGTTCTTGTTGTATTGGTACTATATTGTCTGGTATTTGTATTATTGGTTGTTGATGTTGTATTATGGGTTGGATTGGTTGATGTAGTAATTGTGAAGAAGGAGATGAACTTAGAGAATCTGATGAATTTGATCTTGCAGTGGAGTATGTGTAATGAGTATAAGAGTCCTTTGGGATCAGAGTTGGGATGTTGTTGTTGTTTGTAATCAACCCACCAGTGGATTCAGAGGCAGCAGGGATAGGAGAAGTGCTGGAGGATAGCACATGGTGCTGTGGCAGAGAGGACTCCAGGGATTTGATGATGGACGAGATTGGAGGGAGCGTGATGTTTGTAGGTCTAGTGTGCTGGTAGTTGATATCGATAAGTGACATTGTTCATATGGATCAACCCAACTAAGAAAAGTGTCAAACGGATGCCAAGAGGATATCTTCACGTTTAAATAGCACCGAGAACTTGAGCCCAACATGGCCATGTCTTTGCTGGTGTCTTGTCCACAGAAAAACAGCTCGCCAATTTCCATCCCAGTTCCTTGCCAAGAGTTGCCAAACAGACCCTGAAAAACAGGCAAAGACCCTTGAACATCTGGCACAATTGGATTCCATTGAAAGCTAGAGTCCTCTACTTCAAACACCAACTCGAACTTGTTTTCTAACTTCAACTCACACTGACTTATCAACCAAATGAGCTTCGAATAACCCTTTCCAAATGTCCCATTTGTCTCCTGTCTTGCGGCCAAAACGTGATTTTTGTTTCTTTTTTCTCCCATTTTGCGTGCAGGGAGGAAAAAAAAATTGCAACCCTTGATAAACCACGACAGAAATGATTAACAGGGCTTAGTCAAAAGGCTACAACTTTGAATTGCTTGAGTCAACAACTCCAAAACCAATCACAGGCTCTACCGGCGTGGGTTCCTTGGGTCAAAGTTATTCAAAGGAGACGTAGAGATTGTATACTATTATTAGGCTGAACAGCGGACCGGATGCTCTTCCACATTTCGTCGGATAATGAACCGTTTAATTCGACGTGCCTATGGTTCAATTATTGAAATTTGAACTTACAATTGTTTGGAAGTACTTCGCTTTATTCCTTCCGATATCTCTAGACCAATCATAATCAATCAGGATAAAGAATACTCCAAACTTCTTGATACAATGATACAATCGACCGTTTGAACCCTCTACCATCCTCATGGGATCAAATACGTGACCACTTCTTCATCAACGTTGACCGTTGGAGAACATGATCAGAAGCTTTGTACTGTATCGGTCCTGTAACCTATTCGAGAATATCGGTAATTCTAATCATTTCTAACCTTTTTTTTTCCAAAACTTTTCACAAACATCAACCAATGTCCTCGACGTGGGAATATTTTATTTATGATGTAATGCCTTTTGTTCAACTTTGTAAAACTCATCACGGGTCCACAATTTACTAACGTTGCAGCATTTGTTTCAAACCCTTTTGAGTGGATTTATTTTTATGGGCCATGCTGCTTATCGAAGAAATGGTGAGTGTAACCTAAAATAAAACCACATCACAGCTGTTGAACAACGAAGAAAATACAAGGCCATCAGGTGCTTTCAATAGCCATATCCTCCGGCTAGCTCTCACTAGTCTGTAGTTGTTTTGACCAAAGTCGGGCGTCTTAGACCGTGGGGGCTACAGCTAATAATGTTTCGCGAATTCCATCATCACCGGGTAAAAGAGGGAAAATTTAATTAATAAAGTAGTACGCATTTAATTAACTAAAACTGATAATTTGGATTCCAAGTTATATTCCTTTCTTAGCATTCCTCGCTTTAAAGAATAGGAATAGCTTCAGTATAGTAATTATGGCTGATTTGTGCCAAAAAAACCCAAGTGTGCTTTATTGGCTGAGTTGGTTAGGGGGCACTGATCATACAATTTGATTCCAATTTCTCTGTGAATTACGCGCTGTTCTTAAATCGTTCTGGTTTGTTAACTTCATTTCAGCAAACAATAAGGTGATTAGGTATGACTATATGCTTTTGATATTGCAGTTGATTGAAGGCTTTTACTAAGGGTTTGGGGGTTGCAAGTTATTTGTATTTCTGAGGATGCTGGAACATTAAGATGGAACTGATTGAACTTGGTATAGCTCAAAAGAACAAGGAATTACATTTGATTAAAAAGTGTCTAGTTGAAATTACCCATAAAACTCTAAAACCTTTGAATTCTTTGTCCTTTTTCTTTGCTGTTCAAATTGATTATTATTGGGCTGGTTCAAGAGAACAAGAGAAATTCCAGGCTTTAGAATGGTTGATCCACTATCCTTTAGATTATTATGGTTATTTAAAGCTACTGAATGCTTTCAAACATCTAATTAGTTTTTTTTGATCATCATGAAACTAGAGTGCTGAGATATACCAATTTGATTGAGAAAATGGAACTACTGAAGCTACCAAGAGACATATGGGACATAATTGTTTTCAAACACAATCTTTCAGCACATGATTTTATGAACTTAGCTGATGCATCAGCTCTTTTCCAATCTTTAGTCAAAGAATATGTTTGTGTTGTATCTAATGATATTAATCACCCTTCAAATGCACTGACAGCCAACTTGATTGGGTTCAACATGTCTGGGTTCAACGTTTCTAGATTACCCATAAGATTTGATTTTGATGATTGTATGCTTGATTCGACCATTTCTTCATCAATGATAATTGTTTTCAATTTTGTTTTGAATAAAGATTTTGATAATGATCTAGAGTTTTATTTAAAATCTTTTGGGATGAAATGCAATCAGCATGAAAAATATTATCAGTTCAATTTTTTTTCCCTTCAAGAGAAATCTACAACTAATAAAGATTTCAAAGTTTTGGATACGATTAAAGAATGGATCAACTGCAAACACTGTACAGTGTTCCTAGAGAAGTATTTTTTAGGATATCAGGTTTATGAATTAGACAGATCTATATTTGAGGTTGGAAATAACGTTGTCAGTGATGATAATGATAATTCACAAATTGTTAAACATAAAAAACCAAAACAGGATTACATTTGGCAGTCTATTCAAAAGCTTTTTATTCAAAGGCAAACAATTGTATTGGATAATCATAGTTGCTCTTTTGACTTGATCAACTTGAGACTTCAAAATTTGACATCATTAACACTTTCATCGTCCAAATTTCATTCTGATAGCAGCAAATCGAATTTAGACAGTTCGGAATATATTCCACCTTTTTGTCTGAAAGATTGTGAATTCCCTAATTTGATTTCATTCACCACTTTAAATGGTGCAAGAATCCAATCTATAATCAATTGCAAGTTTAATAAACTACAGTTATTTGATGTTCATTGTTCATTTTGGTTTATCATGAGGAGGGTACAGCTAAAAACCGTTCAAGATTTTAAATTGTCTTCTTCGAGTCGTTATTCTTCCAATTATCCAAAGCCAAAGAATATAGACCCTCCAAATGAACTTGCTGGTTGTGAATTACAATTGTCAAAGAAATATTCAATATCTTCCAATTTGGTTAAAAAAATAATGTGCTATTTGGAAGTGAGCGTCCACGACATTTCACTTACTTTGAGCTCTCAAATTTAGATTTCGGTTTACCCAGGGATGTTCATGCTTTGTCATTATCCAATATGGAGTTGTTCAGCATTATCTGTAAGCTATCACCATCCCCAATAGAAATCTTCAAGCTAATTAAGATTGACTATATTGGCGAAGAATATTTGGGCAGAATTGGTTTGGTAAACGTTGTTGATGAATCAGATCCTGGTTTATTTATTTTCAAAAATACTGATGATTGCTTCAACGAATCAATCATTACTAGAAACGGATGCTTATGTGAATATGTTGGGTCAGCAAGAGAGTCCGAGGACTCAACTTACAATAAAAAGAACTATTCGACTCCATTTAAATATGCTGCCAATGCTCTGGACTTATATTTCAATCCTGAAGGTTGGTCTTCAAGATATTTATTTGTACCACATGGCCAATTATCAGTTAATATCGGGGAAGATTGTGAAAAGAGGAATCCTGTGCGGGTTGTTCAAGTTTCTGCAAAAAGAGATGCTAAACTTAGAATTGGACGTACTCTAGTTATCTATTATCAACTAGAGAAGCGCAAGTAATTCATCATGTAAGGTATTTGAAAAGTTGTGCTACTATGCTCTTTTATGGATGAGAGAACTTAACCCCTAGGGCATAATATATACTATATATACTAGATAGTTGATTATATTGTAAATTGCACTCAAACACTGATCCTTTATATATTTTGTACCCTGTGGATTAGATTTTGACTATTTTTCGACAGCTTATATTAAATACAGGTCATGTGACCGTTCATTTCGCGAATTTGATAGCAGTGTTAAACTGAAAAGAACAAAGATTATCACCAACTTTAACTACAATAGATGTGGAGTGCTAACCAGACTCAAGAGACCGTGTATGGTTTAAAGTTAGCAATATGGTATAGAGTTCAGGTGTGTCCACAAGCCTCACAGAATCTTTACAAGTTGTGCATGTACTATATAATGGGGTTGTTTTGTATTTTGTTTGATGATAAAGAACAAGGGAAATTTCAGGTATAACTTGAATATTGATGATTTAAATACCAGGAACTCTCCTCAAATTTAAAAAAGAATTATAACAAATGTTTCGATAGGCAGGCTCAAAACTTGACCAAGAATGTTGCAGCTATTAAATTTACCAAAAGATGTATGGGATCTGATTATATTCGAGCACGGTGTTTCCTTTGATGACCTTTTGAATTTACTGCATACTTCACAGTCCTTCAGACCATTAATTGAAAGATACATTTCTGTTATTTCAAATGATATCAGTCATCCAGTTAATGGTATATCCGCTAAATTGAACGGCTTAAATGCAAACCCACCATCACTGTTCACGTTTGATAGTGAAAATTTTGACTTCATCATAAGTTCTTCAGTTTTGATTATTTTCAATATTTTTTTAGAACAGCCAAACGTTCAATTGGATTCTTTTCTCAAGATGATAGGTCAAAAGTGCACTCAATTTCGAAAATTCTTCAAAATTAATTTATTTTTATCTGAGGCTTACATAGTTGAGGAATGTGAATTCAAATATGTCGTTGGTGATTTACAGACATTGATTCACAACAAGGAATTTTTTAACTTCTTTCAACCAGACTCATTCTTGGAATATTCTGTTTGTGAGCTGGATCCTTTCGATAGTTGTGCTCAAAATAGAAATAATAATGGTCAAATCCCCTGGGTAGAGAGCTCATATGTTGACAAAGCAGGGTGGTCATTACTGAAAAAAGTATTTATTGAATTGCACAGCAACTTGGATATGGAGTTGTTTAAAGGGGGAAAAAAGCATCCACCGTTTCCATTTGTCTTGGAAAACGCTAAATTTGAAAATTTGACCTGTTTATGGTTTTCATCAACCAAATTACTTTTTGATTCTTCATCCGAATGTTACCAAAGCAATTTTGGATTTTATAGCAAAATTCCTGCGTGTTTCAAAAATTGTGACTTCCCTGAGTTGACTGTCTTTTGGATGAACCGTACTCCAACTTTGTCATTCAAGTATGCTTGCAGCATTAAAATCCAGTCATTGATAAACTGTCATTTTGATAAGCTAACATTGTTAAAAGTTAATCCTGATGATTTTTTCATTGTAAGAAATGTTGAAATGAATAATTTGCAAGTGATAAACCTCGGTGATTCAACAACGGCCTCTAGTTTATTCCCATACATGACTGAGCTGACAAAGAAGTACTCCATTGATTCCAACGGATGCCATAATCAAAGTGACCCATTCTATTCTAATGTGGCGACACCCAAATTCTCATACTTCGAGGTTACAAACCTCGACTTTGGGTCAATGAAAAATGTTGTTTCTTTATCATTGCCAAGTTTGGGGTTATTCCATGACATTTGTCGAACAATATCTTCATTGAAATTAGAGGATTTCAAAGAGATCAAGATAAGTTGTGGGAAAAATAATCTTGGAACTGTGATTTTACTGAAAGAGTTGAATGATGCTAATATTAAAAAGGTTCGTTTCAAATCCACCACTAGTGTTTTCAATGATTCCACCACTCACGAAGGCCGTGAATACGATATTGTTGGTTTACCAAGGGTGGGTAGTATTCACCCACTAGGGGTTAGACATACGCTTCCATTTAGAAACATTTCAACTGCACTAGATTGTTATTACAGTGCTCCCGGATGGACATCTAGGTTCTCGTTTGTACCATATTATAGTGACTTAGAGATCGAAGTCCAGTGGAGCGCAAAACGTGCTAGATATATAAAGCCACCTATTGTTCAAGTTTCACCTGCCAATGCTAACGATCAGAGAATTGAAAGGGGTGCTGGCCGTGTATTTCACTATAGGCTGGAGGATAGTATTTATCTTAGATGAAGCTAGATTCTTGACATTGGTGTATCCTGAAATATCAATAATCAAAATTTTTGTATTTTTGTATACGTCTGTCAATTCAGTACGTGTCTATAGTTTCGGTTGTGACTACTTTTTTTTTTTTTTGATTTTTCAACTCGCGTCCAAAGGAAATAGGAGAGAAATAAACAAAAACATCAACCATAAACAAATATAACAAACTAGAAATCTAATTGAAAATGGCTGGTACCTTCGTCTATGAACCTACAAATGAAGAGCGTGACAAAGATTCTTTTTTCATCGTTGCCAAAATCCGCAACCTTTTTGAGCAGCTGTACTGGGCTTATTACATTCATCTACCATATTATTTGATGAAGAATGAAGAGGCATTCTTATTACACTTGTTCTTTTTAGTGGTGCTGACATTATCTATATATGCTGTGTTTGCAATCTTGCCATATAAACTTTTTGAAGGCTGTGATAGATTATGTTATTATTTGACTGGTCAAGATTTCAAACAACAATTGACAAGATTAAGCAGTTCATAACGGGGTAAACGTGATTAATAGTGAAAAATTGCATGATTGAGGTGTGGTGATTGGCATGGAGAGATGTTGGAATGTATATTAGGTGCACATATTTAATTTTAATGAGGTCAAGAGATGGTACAATATAATACTACTAATAATAATAATTCAGAATTGATGTAAAGGGTGTAAAGAATCTACTGAGTTTCAATCAATTATGTCTCCTGACTTGTCAATCTGATAGCTGACTATAGCTTGAGTATGTACTCTTGATGTTATTCAGGATTGTTTTTGAATGCTTTTTAATTTCACAGGAGAAGTAAAGCTTACTTTCTGAATGAACCACAAGGTCAAATGAGCATTTATTATTGACTGATTACTGCAGATTGCCCATTCTACTCGTCTTTCGGTGTAATTCTTGTACTCATAAATGAATCAATAGACATGGCTAAGGAAACTGTCATTAATTATCGGTTGTTTCCTCGCAAAAATCAATCTCATAAGCAACGACGTCTCTGTTGTATAAATCAAGATCCTAAAGCGTAAATTTAAGATAGAAACTGTATTGATCATGAATAAGACCAGCTTAACACATAATGTCTACAGTTACTGAGAAAGACCAGGAGCTCATCCAGTTCGCTTACAACCATCTAAAGCTGAATATTCCCAAAGGCCATCAAGCCTATGAAAATATGATTTCAGGTATCCCATATACCCCCTGGGATGAACAATTGAACTTAGCCAGAGAAGATGCTCATCAATACGCTAGAGAATATTCACAGCTCAGCTATAGAGGGAAAACAATTGATCAATTCAATAAAGAACGGGTTGACTTCTTGAAGAAATTTATTGGCGAGGTGAAAGGCACAGCAACTATTGAAGCACCATTTTCTGTTGATTATGGTTTCAATACATCAATTGGTAATAATTTTTATGCAAATTTCAATCTAACTCTATTAGATTCTTCAATAATTAGAATCGGGGATGACGTTGAATTTGGGCCTAATGTTGTTCTATGTTGTGCTGGTCATCCAACAAATCCCTTTGAAAGACTATCTGAAAAAGGTGAATTTTCTAAACAGATCAATATTGGAAACAAAGTATGGCTAGGTTCAAATGTTACAGTATTACCAGGTGTCACTATTGGTGATGGTGTAGTTGTTGGGGCCAATTCAGTTGTTAATAAGGATTTGCCTCCATATACAGTTTGTGTGGGTGCTCCTTGTAAAGTTATCAAACAAATTGATCTTGGGAACAACTAATGCGCTTTTAGTTTTAATACAGAATAACTAGCAAGTCATCCAATTATATGCATTAATATACAATCCATTTAAAGTATTTATAAAGTTAACATCTATGATCTGAATCCCAAAAATGACGATTTTCTACTCTCATCTGGTCTTGATTTCCCTGATTTTGATCTTGAAACTTTACTCGAACTGGAACGGTTCAAGCTCAATGATCTTCTTGAATGTTTGACCTCTTTCTCATCTTCATCAACCAAAGCGTGCTCATTATTTTCGTCATCAAGGTTCAATTCTTCAAGATCCAAGTTTATCCGACTCAACTCACTTGATTTTCTACCAGGTAGTGGTGGAGGACGCTCAGCAACTTTTGAACCTTTTTTATTCTGCTGATTAATTGTATTCCTAGAAGGTTTCACCTTCAATTCTTCTAATCTCAAATCATCTGCCGAACTGCTTGGCTCACTCATATCCAACTCTAACAAATCAAGATTTAATTTTGGTTGTTTAGAATCTTTCTTTGGTGTATCGTCAATATCAATCAATTTTTCATCTGTGGTGATCTTGATTTTAGGTGATTCAGCGTAGTTGAAGGAGTTCGAAACCTTAGGAATTGAATTCGTTGAATAAGGCTGTTTTTTCTGTAGATTTTGATTCATAATTTGTGGGTTAACCATAGGAGCAGGTCCTTGCTGGGGACTTTGTGTATATTCTGCCCATGGGTTTCCACCAGATTTTTCCGCCTTGATAGGTTGAGTGTTTACGTCTAATGTTGATTTTGACGTTGGGAATGGATTCTTTGATTCTTGGTTAGGGAATGGGTTTCTTGATCCTCTGAGAGCTGGTCGAATGTTGGAAGCATCAAACTGGTTGAATTGCTGCTGTTGAGGTAATGGATGTTGCTGTTGGTATGGCTGTACTGGAGGCTGCTGTTGTAGCTGTGGTTGATACTGGAAGTATTTCGAATCAGGAACTTGATTCTGATGCTGTTGCACTGAGTAAGAGGGAATGTATGTTGGCTGGGGTTGTTGGTTCAAGTAGTAGCCTGTTTGTGAGCTTGGTTGAGGTGAAACATAATGGACCTGTTGGTTTGCAACTTGTGATTTGTTCGATTGTGGTGACAAGTGCTGCTGACTAGTGATTGAGTTTTGAGGTGAAAGAACGTTCGCTTGTTGTTCAAAACTTTTTCTGCTGCCACTTGATTCAAAGCTCTTTCGACCACCAAGTTCAACACTTTTTCTAGCGTTTGACTCCAAGGCTTCACTTTCTATAGAAGAAACTTTATGAAAAACACCTTCAACATCGATGTTACTATTTGGTTCAACAGCTGGTATAGCCCATGCTTCAGTTTTTGATAGCTTGATTCCAGGTTTTGGTGCATTTTCATCTTCTTCAATCTCTTGCACATGTTGCAAGTTTTTAGAAGAGCTTCTGGTTAAAGCACTTGCTTCAGATCTAACTTCATCATATGATTTTCTTTCATTATGGGAAACTTCACTATTAAAAGTATCAACATCAGGGAACCTTTTCTCAACTGCAGCTTCATCAAGCTCTTCTAATGAAGGGTATCGTTCTTCGGCATTATCTAAGCCTCCATCTTCCAGATCGTTATCATTATCTTCATCTTCACTTTGCTCATAATTACCTCCAGTAGGCTGTCTAGGTATTGGATCTGGTGTTTTTTCAGAGATTTGTTGAGTTTCAGCTTCTTCCGCTAGATTCTGTAAGTCACCAGTACTTGGGTTGGTCGAACGTGTAAGTTTTTGAGGTGGTGCATCATAGTCGTTTTTATCTTCTTTTTGGTATTGTTGTTGAGGAGGTTTAGCGTCTGTTGTAGCGATACCATCAGCACGAGCAGCTTGCTGTTGTTGTTGTTGGAGTAAGAGTTCTTGCTCCATCAACTTTTGCTGTTGATATTGTTGTTGTTGAAGCTGTTGCTGCTGTAGCTGCTGCTGTTGGATTTGTAATTGCTGTTGATATTTGGCATACTCATCAAAGTTGTAAGGACCCAACCCATAATAATCTTTGATAGGAACTTCTTTCCCCAAAATATCACATAGTTCGTAAACAACTTGGTAGATATTTGGTCTTAAATTAACATCAACTTGAAGCATAATGATAATCAAGTTTTTCAATCTTGAAGGATACTTTGGTGCTGGGGGAAACTGAAAGAAACCATGAAGAATAGCTAGCTCACCTTGAGCCTCAAAAGGAGTGGTGTAATACATTAATTTGTAAAGGAAAACACCAAGGGCCCAGATATCAGACTTATAATCAATTGAAACATTTTTATAAAGATCAATCATCTCAGGTGCTCTATACTGTGGAGTTGTTTGATAGAGGATATCATGTGCAATGGCCTGAAATTCTTCCTGACTCTTTGGGGGAGCAATAAAACCACTAGTGGAACCAAAATCAGCTAGCTTGAAATCATTGTTGGCATTGATAAGAACATTTTCCACTTTAAGATCTCTATGGATCAAATTCATGTAATGCATTGATGAAACAGCCACGGATATTTCAAACATGATCTTTAATATTTGATCAGTTGATAACTTAGTCTTCAAATGCTGGTTCATTAAATCTAACAAGCTCTTATTCGGACAGTACTCCATCAAAAGTAGCACCTCATAAGTTCCATCTTCCAGCTTTTGAGCATTTGAATCATAATACTTCACCACGTATTTATTATTAGCCAACTTCTTCATAGTATCCACCTCTTTCCGTAACAAGTTCAATTCAGGTTTCGTCTTTACAATGACTCTTTTCAAACATGCTATTTCTAAACCATCTTCTACTGGTGTCTGTTTCACGGTATAGATATGGGCAAATCCACCTATGAGATAAATTTGTTAGTCAAACTGCGGACCCAGTTCATGGTGGCTAAAGAGCCTAAAATCCTTACTCACCTTCAGCCAAATACTTGACGATCTCTGTCTCATGGGAGCCCACCTGGAGCTTTGTTCCTGGGGAGAGCTTCTCCATGGTTGCAATTGGGTGATATGGAAGAGTTGTGAGTATTAAATTGAGCTCAGGTTTACTTCGATCTCCTTTACTGACTTTTTGACACAGATTCCAAGAACTAATCGGGAAACACCCGAACACCAATGAGTTTATTAACAGAGTAAGAACAACCTAATATTGGAAAAAACGTTGTATCTTTAATGGTAAATGGAGTATTGGCTTGGTTGTGAAGGGCTATGAGAGGTCATTTTGCCATTGAGGTTTATTCATCTTCATTGTCCAAGAAAACAGGAGCTTGGAGGCCCTATTGTTGAAGGACTTAAGCCCCCTGGAATTTCTCAGCACGGTTGTGAAATAACTACAATAAGAATTAAATCACTAACCATGAAATATCTATTAGACATTGCTATCATAATAACTCATCCTCCAATAGTTTTTGTAGTTCTTCTAAGCTGAAAGGGATGAATACCATCTCTGTACCACTCTGATCCTTAGTTAAAACAGCCATCTTATGCTCAACAAACTCCATCAACATAGTTCTGAAATTGATCTCATTACTTGAAATGAACTCTTCTGCACACAAAGTGTAGAATTTTTTGTACTCCAATGCATGCTTAATAGTACCTTTCAGTTGATTATCATTTTGAACTTTTTTAGAAGAGAGATCATCTTCCATATTTTGTAATTGATTTGAAACAAGAACTCTATATAGTGATCTTGAATTGGTAGTCAACGATGATAAAACATATTTAGCACCTTTTGAACCAGCTGATTTTTGTGTTTGACCTAATGTCAGTAAATCTTGGAATGAAGTTTCTGTTAAATAATCTGCAAATGTGGTGGTGTTATGCCATAGGAAATTGAAGTTGTTTAAACTGACTGAATCCCATAACAAAGGTGCATTTATATGATCAACTGATACCAGCACATAAAATTGTTTAATTGAAGCAAGTTTTGATAAGTATACTTGCGTTTTCTCATCTCTTAATCCAGGACCATCAATATTATGAATCAATAAAATTAGTTTGGCTATGGAATGATCTTTTTTTTGGAAATATTCAACAATATGATCAACAAGGTCACCTAGTCTTTTAGGAACTTTTTTTAGATTCAAAGTTGAAACAATAGTCATCAAAACTTCTTTGAATACTGTAGCTGGATTATAACCATTGACAACAATAGTAGGAGCATCAACCATTTTAGTTAAATATTCTTCCGCATAATCCAATAAAAGTTTTCTTTTAGATCCGATACCAAAGAAAACAAGACTAAACCCTTCACTCAACTCGAAATACCACTGTGTATACATCTCTTTATAGGTGTTTATCAATTTTTGTTTCTCCTTATTGTGCAAGAATCCACTTAATAACACAAAACTATTAAGCTCATCATATTCGAGAGGTGGTGCTTGAACCATTGAATTGTTTGAAGTTTTTACTCTGGTTCTATGTTGATCAAAATAACCTTCTGGACCATCTAAAAATAAAGCTTTATCCAAAAATTTCCCATCAAGAAAACTTTCCTCCTCTGCAGCTGTTGGTAATGGGGTTGGAACAAAATCAGGGTTATGAGCAGGTAAATCAATATTATTTTTACGTTTTGGTGTGTTGAAAGGTGATGGTGCTGCATTTACTGGTTTTCTTGATTCATTGATAATTCTTTCAGCTAATTTTCTCTCTTCTTCATACTCTTCATCATTGTCATCAATATCTTCATCCATCAACTGTGAATAAATCACTTTAGTGGCTTTCTTTCTTGCTGATTTATCTTGTAATTGTTGCCTATTCATTTTTCTTGGAGAGCCAGCTCTACCATTGGGGGTTCTGCTTGGTGAAGATCCTGCCAGATGTAAAATACCTTTCTTAGATGGTGATGGTGTGGCTGATAATGAAATGGATCCAAGTTTTTGCTTCTTAGGACTTGCAAACACATCAGCATGGATCAATTCTCGTTGTTTCTCTATCTCACTAGGTTTCCTCCTTGTAAGTTTCTTGACTTCTTCACTTTTAACATAAACAAATTTGGTCAAATCATCTTCAACCTCATCGTCATATTCGAATTCCACGATACCTTCTGGTTTCTCCTCTTTCACTTCTGATTTTCGAGGGCGACCAACAGGTCTTTTTGGTGGATTAGGTGATTGACTACCTTCCCAAGTCTCATCCAATAGTTTTTCCTTTTTTGGTCGACCTCTTGGTCTAACTGGTTGATTTGGATCCTTGGGCACATATCCGGCTTTTCTAGGTCTTCCTCTTGGTGCTCGTGGAAGATTTGGATCACGTTCAACTTTTGGATATTTTCTTGGTCTTCCACGTCTACTACCATGTTGACCCGCACCACGACTAATAGCAGAGCTAGGTCTCCAATCTTTTGAAGAATCTTCCGAGACATACCCTCCTTGACTACCAGCATCTGAGTCGAAATCAGAATCAGCTCTTAATGATTTATTCAAGACATCTTGTTCCTCAAATTCAACAACAACTGGTTTCATCTGCGATTTAGTTTGTATAGAAGCTTTTGGTTCAACAGATGGTGTCTTTTCCGAGGACTCACCTGGAACTATAGCAGAATTCACATCACCAACTGTTATTAAAGGATCTATAATTTTTTTAGGACGACCTCTAGATCTTCTATGTCCAGCAACAATGTGTCTCTCATCAATTAAACTCTCATTTTTAGGGCGACCCACTTTCTTGGGTATCTTCAAAATATCCAATAAATTTAACGGTTTCCTTGGTCGACCAGGTTTCCTTTTCTCGCCAGGTCTTGGAGAATCTCTAATTGGAGCTGTCAATTCATCATCTGATTCTAATTCATCCAAACAGGTCAATGATCTGGACCTTAGTTGGAAAGGTATACTTTTTTCAGTCAATAAATCATTTGGAGGTCCTTTATATATCACTTCAGGTGTGGTGGTGGCTTCTGATGGTTGTGTAAGTTCTTTATCTTCTATCTTTACTTCATTGATTTTTGGAGAAAGATTGGACGGATGCCTCATGGGTATTAGTGGGATTGATTTAATATGTAGATTTTGATCTTCTGACATTTGAGAATATAGTACAAGTGATTAAAACAAAATTCAGAAAGTTCAAGATATTATAAACTTGAACGATATTTCAGAATTAGTGAAAATTGTATGTTGATAATTTTCGAGATATTATAATCCGACTAAATGTTTATTTCCGAGGGCTTGAAAAAATTAAAAAAAAAATTAGTGTCAAAAATTGAACCATTTTATGGTGAAGAAGTTGGATATTTCTGGGTTTAACGTTCATTTTTCAGTAAATTTTAGAGATCAAGATGCTTTCTTTCTGCCCCAACTGCTCCAATATGCTACTAGTGAGTAGGCTTTGATCTTTTCAACCCTTTTCAGCTACTAACAGAGAACTTTCTACTTCCAGATCTCTACAGGTGACAATAACATCCATAGACTAAACTGTCCCACATGTCCATATGAATTCCCAATCGCTGGTGTAGAGATATATGACAGAAAAGAACTACCAAGAAAACAAATAGATGATGTTTTGGGTGGTGATGGTGCTTGGGACAACGTTGATCAAACAGGTGCACAATGTCCAGTGGATTCATGTGGTAATGATAAGGCATATTTCTTCCAATTACAAATTAGAAGTGCGGATGAACCTATGACGACTTTCTATAAGGTGAGTTTTTCCATTCAAACTTTATGTGGGTTTCACTTACTAATTTGCTTTCTAGTGTGTTAAATGTGGTCATCAATGGAGAGAAAATTAAATGACATGTAAATTATAGTTTGTACATTATTTTAGCATAGGGTCAAACCAGAGAAAAAGTTCAATTGTTTACGGTAATAATAAAAGTGATAAAACTGTCCATTTATTTTTTCATTAGCTTCATTATATTATAGTACATTCTCTCAATCAATTTCCAAATGAACTACCTTCTTTGGAGATTCATTGCAACATTTCAAGTGGTATTGAAAAAATCCAAAATTTTCATCATTTATTACGGATTTTGCAATTTTCTGGATATTGGTGAGACTTACCTTAGTCCTTTTTGATTTCTTTATGGGAGAATATGGACTTGACAATATTCTTTTCTGCAATTGTATTAAGGTTCTTTTAGGTGACGAAGATTGTGATTCAACTTGATCAATTTCAATTGTAGGGGGACGTAAACTTGGAACAAAAGGTGATTGTAAGACTTTTGCTGGTGATGAATTCAAAATATTTGTTTGCTTGACTTGTAAAGCAGTTGAAGTCATGATCTCATTTGGTTGATTAATACTGGTATTAACTTCATGATCCTCATAAACACTGACATTTCTTGATCTTAATTGATTTTCACGATAAGCTGCCTGAGCCATACTATCATTATCTTGAGTTTCATCAAATGTGTCTTGTAAATTTTGGGAGTCATCTTGTTCAAGATTTTTATATTTTTGTAGGCATTGATAACCATCTGTTCTAATTCTATCTGCAACTTTATATTGATTAACACCACATAAGATTCTATTTTTATGAACCAGTGATTTTTGCTCTTTCATAACTTGTCTTTCTTCATCATCAAATTCTTTTCTGAATGCTTGGTTTCTTATTGTTTGTTGACCAAGGATATGAAATTCACCTGAAGCCATTGTGGTTTTAATATTGTTATCATTATTCCAAGATCTCAAGAATAAACTTTCATTCCATTTATTGACAATAAAAGGTTGATTTAAATTCAATGGTGGTGATCCATATTTTTTGGAATATATTGAATCATACAAAAATTCTTCAGATGTACATAAATCACCAAATTGTCTCTTCATTTGGAAACCTTGTTCCCAAGTTATTGGACTTTCAGTCAATGGGAACACCTGCTTAACATTGAACATACTAACAAAATGACGACATTCTTCATAAGATGAATGCCTGCTAAAGAAAAATCTTAATTCATTTCTTAATAAATGTTCAGAATTTGAAGGTTTTAAATATTTCAAATCATTAATTTTATAAATTTGTGCACCACTTGGTAACTCTTCAACAAATTCTGCTTCATGTTTATGATTTTTCAATGATAAAGGTAATGTTAACCTCATCAAATCCTTTATATTGATATCAATACAATGTTTGATCCTAACAGGGAATTTTGCAGGTTTGCCTGAACAATTTTCAGGTTTAATACCACAGCAATGGAATTTTGAATGTGGTGAAGAACTGGCTATTTTATGGATTCTTTTATGATATTGATAATCTTTATAAGTTGAAAGCATTTTTAATCTTTTATTCAAATCAGGTGGGACATGCATTAAATGACCATTTTTAACCATTTGAATCCAAACTTCTTCATAACCAATAGTGGAATCTGCGAAATAGAAAGAAATATCATCATCATCTTGTGGATATAATTTTAATAATTCCACTAAAGATTGTAAACCAAAAGAATTTGAATTCATTTCAATAAAAGGTTCACCTCTATAGCCATAAGTTGTATCTAGATAAATGTTATCCAACTGTTTTGAACTTGTCATGTAATCAAATAAAATATCATTTTTAGGTAAAGAATCAACCCAATCAGATTCAGCTCTAATATCACCAGTTAATAAAACAGCAGATTTATCATTTTCAATTAAAAACATAACAGCACCAGGACAATGCCTTGCCGGGATCAAAGTTAAAAACACCCATTGATCCTTATATTTTGTTTTATGTCTTTCATTTTCTTCTAAAGTTTTCATTGAAGTTAAATTTTTGTTATATTTAGGGTTTTGTTTAATCAATTCTTTTGTAATTTCTGAACAATAAATTGTATGACCACTGAAACCACCAGAGTCTAAACCTTTTAAATGATCAGCATGAGCATGAGTTAGCAAAAAGAACTGAGTAGGTTTTTTGGAAGTTGTGAAATTGTCCACTATAAAAAATGTTAGTTACTTTCAATGGCTGAAATAGGAACAATACAAACCTCTTATTCCTTCGAATTCATAGATGAACCCATCAAAGGTTAGTCCCTGGAGAAAAGGTGTTAGTTAATTCAGTTTGTCAGTACAATATCTTCACTCACCAATTCAGGTCTAGCCACCATCTGGTTATACCAAGTTCCTCAATACTCATTCAAATTGTGATGAGTTGACTTTTTTTTGTTTTGATTAAACGCGACTAAAAAAACGCGAAAGAGAGTCTTTCACGTGACTCAGATCACCGTATAGAAATGACAGATCTACAAATTACTATGAAAACAACAAACATTCATGAACATTCATATTCACATAAACTATAGTAACTGGAAGTTAACATACACTCTTAGACCCATTCAATAGGGTTCTTCAACACTTCTAGTAATTGATCTTCTCTTGACCCCTTTTCAGGATGATGATCATAAGCCCAAGAAGCAGTAGCTGGTAATGACATTAAAATACTCTCCACTCTTGAACCTGGAGTTTGTAATCCAAATTGAGTACCTCTATCCAAGACCAAGTTGAATTCAACATATCTACCTCTTCTTAATTGTTGCCAATTTTTCTCTTCAGGTGTGAATGGAGTATCTTTTCTTTTAGTAATAGTTGGAACATAAGAAGGTAAAAATGCATCAAAACAATCCTCCACAATTTTTAAAATCTCTTCTGGATCCTTTTCATCGAAATCATCAAAGAAAATACCACCAATACCTCTTGTTTCTTGTCTATGTTTTATATAAAAATATTCATCACACCATTTTTTAAAACGAGGATATAATTTTGAATCATGTTTATCCAATGCATCTTTATGAACTTGATGAAACAATTTAGCATCTTCTTCATAAAGATAAGATGGAGTTAAATCGGCACCACCACCAAACCACCAAGTTTGAGGAGTTCCATCTGGGTTCCAAGTTTCAAAATAACGATAATTTAAATGAGTAGTTGGAGCATGAGGGTTTTTTGGATGGATAACCATTGATAACCCACAGGCATAGAATGGGACATTACCATCATCTTGAGCTTTCAAATTTTTATGATCAGCTCTCATTCTTGCAACAGCAGCTGGAGGTAATTGACCATAAACAACACTAATGTTGACACCACCTTTTTCAAAAGTTTCACCGTCTTGGATCACACATGAGGTACCACCACCGGCTTTTTCACCTCTTGACCAACTATCTGCAAAGAATCTAGTTGTTGGTTCTAAAGTTTCTAAACCTTTTGTAATTTCTTGTTGTTTTCTACGGATCAAATTCTCCATACGTTCTCTTATTGGGGCATTTGGGGCACTGTTGTGGAAGGACATTTTCTTCTGGGCTTGATCTTGGTCTTGAGAGGACGACATTCTGGGATTCCAACGTACTTTGTTCCTCGTTATATAGCACTTGTTCAATACTAAGTCCCTTTTTGAATTTTTTCAGTGTTCAAATCTCTTGATTTTTCTCGAGATCAGGCGAGAAATTAAAAATTCGCGAAATGTTTTGAGAATTGGCTGATGATGGAAACGTTTAAACGACGAGATTTCAACGGTTTTACTGGTGATGGTTATAATTGTATTGTATTTATATTTATTTATTCCTATTCCTATTCCCTTGGCTGGACTTTTCTCTTGTTCTCCCTTTTCACTCTATTGTATAACAGCACATTTGGATCCGATATGAAGTTAACTATAACCATGGTCCAAGATTCATGTTTTGGTAAATCAACATAAAACTCATTGGCAATTTCATTCAATTTGAACAATTTCGACCAAGCAACATATGGGAAATCATGATGTTCATTATGTAACCCAACGTTCCATGTGAATAAGTTCAAGATCCCATAATATGAATAAGTTTCCACCGGAGGATGATCTTTTGTACGATCATAACTCTTTGGAGGATTCATAATATAGTGTTCTGCAATGAAATGTCCTGAACATGGATGTAAAGAACCTGCAAGGAATGAACTAAAGATCAAATAACTTAAACTTTTCCAACCCCAATGGGTAACCATATAATAATCCACTGAAAATTGAACCAAGATATTGACTAAATGAATATAAGTGAATTTGATTTGTGTAATAAACATTGGTCTTAGAGCATAAAACAAGATTTGGAAAGTTGCAAAGAATGATTTCCCCAAAACATTTGATAAAATAATAGCTTCATAATTTGTTGGGATATCAGTGTCCAAGATTTCATCACCTAAATATTTATGATGTAATTGATGATAAGGTTGGAAAGAAGCTGAATAAGGAATACCAATTGGTAAATTTGTGAAAATTGAATATAATTTATTGTATAAAGGTTTCTTGAAACCTAGATTATGACTTAATTCATGAATAGCTAGAAAACAATTTTGATTAGCTGTAGCACCAATTATATAACTTATCAAGAAAAACTTCCAACTTAGAAAATCGGTATCTCTAAGGTAATAAGCTAGAGATAATTGTAAAGTGACCACACCAAAGACTATGAATTTTGTTAAAGGTTCTGGACCACATAATTTGGTGACATGAGGGTATTTTTGTAAGATCAATTTTCTTCTAATAGTATGAGGTTCAGTTTCTTCAGTCCAATAAAAATCATTTAATTTGGAGATTGGAGCATCTGATGGTGGAGTCTGGATAGTTAGTGGTTGGGAAGGGTTTTTCCTGTGGGTGATTGTGGACATGGCTGGTGGTTTGAAAGTAGATCAGATGGAATGAATGAAGGTCTCTTTAGTAGCTTATATACCAAATCTATCGAAGCCAAGTGGTCTGAGAGATCAAATGATTTTGAATTTTAAAGATTTCAGATTTCAAAAGTTTTTTTTAAACGTTTTTTCGTGTTCGTTTAAGATTTCGAGGATTTCGAGGCGATGAGGTTGATTTTAGGGGGAAGAGAGTGGGATAATAGGAATAATTAGTAAATAATTTGATAATACGATATAACTAACACTTTCCAATTATTATCCAGTTTATTTCATCAATTTATCTCTATTTTAACCTATTTAATCTACATTATTCACTATTCTTACCTAAGCACACACTATAGCATTACATAATCACAGCGCTATTAATTTTTTTTGGTAAAAAACGAGAAAATTTTTGATCATTTTCGACCCCAAAAACAATTGAATTGAAGGTCAAAATTAAAATTACTTGTATATATAAATACCCCTGAAAGAGATGTTATCCAGAAGATTAAACACATTGATCACCAAGAGAACAATGGCTTCTTTCAACAAACCTGGCGTAGATGCCCTCAAGCAGAATGATGTGATCTTCCAAAACATCAACAACACCAAGGTGATCACTTTGAATAGACCTGAAAAATTGAATTCATTAAATTATTCAATGCTTTCCAAGATTTATCCAAGATTAATTGAATATTCAAAATCAAATCAAACTCAACTAATTATCCAAAACTCAATTGGTCGTGCCTTTTGTGCTGGTGGTGATGTTACATCTTGTGTGGAGAATAATAAAAAAGGTGATTATAAAGAATCTGTTAAATTTTTCCAAGAGGAATATTCAATGAATTATTTATTATCCATTTATAATAAACCAATTGTTTCCATTATGGATGGGATCACAATGGGTGGTGGTGTTGGGTTAACCATCCATACCCCTTTTAGAATTGCAACTGAGAAGACAAGATGGGCAATGCCAGAAATGGATATTGGATTTTCTCCAGATGTTGGTACCACATTTGCCCTAAATAAAATTGTACCAAGTTCTTTTGGTTGGTATTTAGCTTTAACTGGTGAAAATGTTTTCGGTTGGGATACTTATTTCAGTGGGATTGCAACTCATTATGTTCCTTCAAATAGATTGGAAAGTTTACAATCAAAATTATCAAATACCGTTTTACCTGAAAATATTGATGATCAATATCAAATCATTAATAATATAATTGAAGAATTTGTGGAGAATGAAATCCCTGAAAATTATCAATTTAAATATAAAGATCATTTATCCACAATTAATAAAATTTTCAGATTAAATACTTCAATTGAAACAATTTTCAAAGAATTGGAACAAGAAAATACTGATTTTGCTAGAGAAACATTGAAAAAATTGAAGACAAAATCTCCATTATCTTTAAAAATTGGTTTAGAAATGTTAACTCGAGGTTATAATTCAAATATTCATCAAGCTTTAACAAATGAATTAAATGCTGCTGTGCAATTTATGCAAAATTCTGATTTTAATGAAGGTGTCTCTTCAAAATTACTTGAAAAAAGAACACCAAATTGGAAATATAAATCAATTGAATCAATTCCAACTTCAGAAGTTTTAAATTTTTTCAAACCTTCTCATTATAAATTAGATAAAGTTTCAAATCAACAAGTTACTTTTAATCAATATCCAAGAAATTTTGGTTTACCTAAAAAATTTGAATTGGAATTTTTCATAAATGGTAAAAATGGTGATAATTTAAATGTGGGGAATACCGGTAAAAGTGATGTTATTCATTATTTTAATCAAGGTAAATATGGTGATAAAATTGGTTTAAATGAATATTTAAATTTGATGTTGGATGGTGAAGAATTGTTGAAAAGTAAGTTATAACTTGATTAATATATTCTTTTATTAGCTAATTATTGTACATAGAAATACCTTGAGAAATATTATGAATGATTGAGAATGAGAAGTTTTAAATGTTTGAATCTCCGAAAGATCGAATCTTATAGTAAGTGATTTAAAGAGATGATTTATTGTAGAATTCTAAGAATATAAGTGTTTGATATATGGTGATGAATGTTTTCTTTCGTTTAATTTTGTTGTTCATCTCTAACTTATTCATCACATGACTAGCCGAATAATTTGAATCTTCATCTTAAAACCTAAATAGCTTAAAATAAGACTATGTCTATCTAATTGTAGTCACTACTGAGACTCTTTGAGTGCCCAACAATTATTTCTGATCATTACAAGTATTTGATGTGATTAAGGTCTTAAATTCGGTTGATCTTGTCTGAACATCAAGGAATTTATCATTGAAACCTGGTATAAATCAAAACTTTTAATAAGACAACAATGTCATTTGTTTATAACAGATTGTAGAGAATTAAGTGTAGAATACTTTAAATATATTTGTAAGCCTTTAATTAGCCTAATTCTCAAGATTTAATTGAATTACTTTTTATTCAAAGCATCGAAATATTGCTATTTTCGCAAAATTATGGGCTTAAAACTCAAAATTTCAACTTTCAAAAACGGTATCCACTAAATTCGTAAAAATCCGAAAAAATAACATATTTACTAATTTAAACCCATCATAATGATCCTCACATTATTTTAACTCATTTCATCACATAATAATCTACACTTTCCTATATAAAATCCCTTGTTATCCATGTTTTCCTTGTTCTTGCACAAGCCGATCCCCGAGAATTTTTCAAGGATCGGTTTAAACGCCGATTATACCCTTGAGAATTTCAACTAAACCCATTTTTTATTTGGTACTTGTACGTACTTTGCCAAATGTATTGCTTCTTAATTGGTGATGCGTAATAAAGATCAATACGAACCAATAGTTTATCCACTGGATGTTATTTAGTACTACGTCCACCTGAAACGGCTATCCAAGTGTTCAGATTTGTCCAGATTTGGGTATGTCACCATCAGTTTTCAGTTTGAAAACGGTTGGGTTGATGTTGAAAGAGTGGTTTTTTCTCTGTGGAGTAAATCCTTATAAATATCACTTGAATTGCCCTTTAATTTCATCTTTCTTTAACTCATTTAATTGTATTGGTTGAAAATGTTGTTAAAATCATTCGCTTTAATTGCTATTTCAACATTAGCATCATCTGCTCCAATTTTCAGTAAAAGAGCTGATGATCAAGCTCATGAACCAATTGTTCAAGTGCTAAATGGTACTTTACAAGGTTCTTATTTATCAAATTTCCATCAAGATGCCTTTTTAGGTATCCCATTTGCTGAACCTCCATTAGATGAATTAAGATTCCAACCTCCTCAAACAATTAAACATAAATATAATGAACAATTAAAAGTGGTTAATCAATATGGTCATTCTTGTATGTCAACTTCAGTTTCTGCTGATAATATTACACAATCTGAAGATTGTTTAACTCTTAATGTTATTAGACCTTCAGGTTATGAAAATCAATCATTACCTGTTGCTATTTGGATTTATGGTGGTGGATTTTATGAAGGTTCAACTGCAATGCCTGCTTATAATTTATCTTATATTGTTCAAAATGGTGTTGAAATTGATAAACCTTTTATTGGTGTTTCAATAAATTATAGATTAACAGGGTTTGGGTTCTTAGCATCTCAACAAGTTGTTAATAAAGGTTATTCAAATGTCGGATTAAGAGATCAATTGAAGGCAATTCAATGGATTCATGAAAATATTGCCATGTTTGGTGGTGATCCTGATCATTTAGTCATTTGGGGTGAATCTGCAGGTGCCTTGAGTGTTAGTAAATTATTGGTTTCTGGTCATTTACAAGATTATGTTAAAGGTGCAATTATTGAAAGTGGTTCTGTTTTATTCCCAAATACAACTTCTGGTGCCGTTGAATATCATCAAGATGATTATGATACTTTAGTTGATCATTTTAATTGTTCTCAAGCTAGTGATTCTTTAGAATGTTTACAAAAAATTAATGTTACTGATTTACTTGAAGTTTTCAATTTATCAAACAATGTTTTAACAACTGGTTTCATTTATCCTTATATTGATGGTGATATTTTAACAAAAGCTTCATATAATACACTTCTTGATGGTGAGTTCAACAAGGTTCCTTTATTAATTGGTACAAATACAGATGAAGGTTCATTATTTATCGGATCTGGTGTTAATACTACTGAAGAGTTTGAATATTATATGAAGATGGCTTTACCATCTCTTACAAATAAATCAATTGCTACTTTGAATGAATTATACCCTGTTAATGATTCCTCAATTAATGTCCCATTAGACCCAACTTATAATTCTAGTGCAATTGTTTATCCAGATTCTTTAGGTAAACAATTTCCAAGATTAGCTACTGTTTTCGGAGATTTAGCATTTATAGCTGGAACAAGAATCATGTCAAGAGTCTATGCAAATAATTCAGTTCCAGTTTATAAATATAGATTCAATATCCCAGATTTAGCTTTATCATTAGCTCCTTATTATGGGGCAGGTCATGCTCAAGAACTTGTTTATGTCTTTGATAATAACAAAGCTTTAACAAATACTTCAGAGGCAATCTCTGCAGGCTTCAATCCAAGTCCAAAAAGTGCAAACATTTCAGAAAGTATGAGTAAAATGTGGGCAAATTTCATTACTGAATTAGATCCAAATGTTAACCACGATAAAGTTCCAATGGAAGATGTACCAGAATGGCCAGAATATGGTGATGAGGCTAAAAACATGGTTTTCGACTTGAATGGATTCTATTTGGAAGATGATGATTTCAGATCAAAACAAATTGACTTTATTGAAAGTATTATGGGTCAATTGAATGCTTGATTATATGTTTAGTAATTAATCTTTGTAATATTAGATGATTTCTGTAGCACCACCACAATTGATCAAATCAATGACCATCATTAAATCATCACAACTTTCGTTATTCAATTCTCAATTCTCGAGATTTATAAATATGATCCGTAATATCGCAAATCTCTGCGCTAAAAACCTTTTACCCCAAATTTTACCAAATACAGAAATTCCGATGAAAATAAAAGATTTTCCATGCGAATAACATCTTCAACAACAATTATGAACGGATTTGGCAAAGACTGTGTCAATCGATGACCAGTAACAGGTGGTATGCTCTTTCTCTGGGGGTATGGTCAGATTTCTATTTAAAAAGTATGGAGTATCCCTTGGATCTGATTTAGTTATTGTCTCTATTCAACAGTATCAACATCATCATGCTCTTTAACATTATTGCAATAACTGCTTTGATTCCAATCGCATCAACAGCTCCAATAACAGCTACTTCTTCTCCTCCAATTGTTCAAATTCAAAACGGTTCAATCCAAGGAGACTACCTTGAAAAATTTAATCAAGATGTGTTTTTAGGTATTCCTTATGCTCAACCACCTTTAGGATCCCTAAGATTCAAACCACCTCAAAGTTTCAATGATAGTTGGAATGGAACCAAGATTTTCAATCAATATAGTGATGCTTGTATTGCAAGTGGTGCTTCAGATAATAAACTTTTACCTCAATCAGAAAACTGTCTAACTGTTAATGTTGTTAAACCTCATGGTGTGGGAAACGAAAATTTACCTGTTGCTATTTGGATTTATGGTGGTGGGTTTCAAGATGGCTCAAGTTCAAGACCTGCTTATAACTTATCCTATATTGTGCAAAATGGTGTTGAAATCGGGAAACCTTTTATTGGTGTTTCTTTCAATTATAGGCTAAGTGGACTTGGGTTCTTGGGCGGTCAAGAAGTTGTTAATAAAGGTTTCACAAATGTTGGATTGAGAGATCAAATCCAGGCTATACATTGGATTCATGAAAACATTCATCAATTTGGAGGTGATTCGGACCATTTAGTAATTTGGGGTGAATCTGCAGGTGCTATTAGTGTCAGTAAATTATTATCATCAAATCAACTTGGTGATTATATCAAAGGTGCAATCATTGAAAGTGGTCCTGCATTATTCCCAAATATTACAAGTGGTGCAAATGAAGCTCGTCAAATTGATTACAACACTTTATCAACTTATTTCAACTGTTCGGAAGCTACTGATAGCCTAGAATGTCTACAATATGTTGATATTAATGAATTGTTCCATGTTTTCAACGTTTCTAATGGTGTGTTACAAACTGGATTTAGATACCCTTACATTGATGGTGATATCATTCCTAAATCATCATATCAAATTCTTTCAGATGATCAATCTTTGAGAGTTCCATTACTAATTGGTACAAGTACAGACGAGGGTAGTCAATTTGTTCCAAAGAACTTGAACACTACTGAAGAGCTCAAAGAGTTCTTGAAAGGGGCTTTCCCATCTTTAACAGACAGTTCAATCAATAAACTTGATGAATTGTATCCAATAGATGATCCCTTAGTATCAACACCTTTGGATCCATCATCATATTCAAAACTTCCAATTTCTTATCCTCCAACTTTTGGTGCTCAATATCCAAGGCTCGCAACTTTATATGGTGATTTGGTATTTTTCGGTCAATCAAGAATAATGTCTAAATTTTATTCTCAAAAATCACCAGTTTACAAATATAGGTTCAATATACCTGACTTAGAAACTTCTAATCAAAGTTATTATGGTGCCGGCCATTTTCAAGAAGTTGTTTATGTTTTCGATAATGATCAAGCTCCAATTGATACTTCAAGTGGTGCAACATGGAATCCAAGCCCAAAAAGTCCAGCAATTGCAGAATCAATCTCCAAGATCTGGGTTAATTTCATAGCCGATTTGAATCCAAATGTTGATCAAACAAAGATACCAATTGAAACTCCAGAATGGCCTGAATACAAAGATGGTGAACAAAATATGGTGTTTGATCTCAATGGTTTCTATTTGGAAAAAGATGATAAAAGAGCCCAACAAATTGAGTTCATCGAGAGCATTAATAGCCAATTAAACTCATAAGTTGGACTAATCACTTAGAATACCCCTCAATTAATTTTATAATAGCAATATTTGTGCTTTAGTTCTGTGTAGTTTGAACTTGTCTTTTATATGAGGTCTACCACTACGGACATAAAGGGACAAGATGGAAATTGCCCAATTAGGCTTCGGTGGAAAAACTGACGTCGTCGATCAAGACCTAGTAATTAACAGATGAAACTTCAAAAACCACCCACAGTTTTCTGTGAATTCAAGCACACACTTAATGCTAAATGGTAGATCGTTTGAGGAAACCGAATCCAAATTCTTCGACCAAAGAATCTATATAAATCCATGAAGGGAAGGCAAAATGGAGGCTTCAAAATGATTGAAATTATAACAATACCTTCAATTGTGGTTATTGGGATAATGTTGCTTAAATCTTTAGCTCTCGCAGGCTCCTTAGCTACAAGTATAATTGCAGCTCCAATCATAAATTCAACTTCAGATCAATCCACTTTAGTTTCAACTCAAAATGGTACAATCCAAGGAAAATATCTCGAAGGTTTCAATCAAGATGCTTACTTAGGTGTTCCATTTGCACAACCACCTTTGGGAAATTTACGTTTCTTACCACCTCAGCCCTACAATTCAACTTGGGATGATGTTAAAACATTTGATCAATACGGTTATGCTTGTTACGCAACTTGGGGTACTGATACCGCAAATTTGGAGCATTCAGAAGATTGTTTAACTTTGAATATTGTTAAACCTCATGGTTATGAAAATCAGTCATTACCTGTTGGTATTTGGATTCATGGTGGTGGATTCCAAGATGGATCTTCAACTAGAAAGGCTTACAATTTGTCATATATCGTTGATAATTCTGTTGCAATTGGTAAACCATTCATTGGAGTTAGTATTAATTATAGATTAAATGGGTTTGGGTTCCTAACTTCTGATGAAGTTTTCCAAAAAGGTTATACCAATGTTGGATTAAGAGATCAAATTCAAGCTATTCACTGGATTAATGAAAATATTGAAGGGTTTGGTGGTAACCCAAATCATTTGGTTCTTTGGGGAGAATCTGCTGGAGCCATTTCAATTGGTAAGTTACTAAGCACCAAGTATCTGTCCAATGATTATATTAAAGGTGCTATTATGGAGAGTGGATCTAATGTTTTCACAAATATCAAACCTGGTGCTAGTGGGGATAACCAACAAGACTTTAAAACATTGGTTTCATACTTTGATTGTGATAAGGCGGAGGATTATATTGAATGTTTACAAGACGTTGATGCTTCAAAATTACAATATGTGTTCAATGCTACAAATGGTGTGTTGAAAAAAAGCTTTGCATTCCCTTATATTGATGGTGACGTTATTAGTAAATCAAGTTATGAGATTTTGGATAGTGGTGAAGATTTCATTAAAGCTCCAATATTAATTGGTACATCTACAGATGAAGGAAGTGCATTCTCAAATCATTCTTTGAATACTTCTCAAGAGGTTCATGACTATTTGCTACAACAATTCCCAAACCTCAACAATGCTTCCATTTCAAGATTGATTGAGATGTATCCAATAGATAATCCGGACACAATTTTACCAAATGATCCAACATATAACAATACCCCAATCGTTTATCCCCCATCCTATGGTGCAATTGCGGCAAACTCTTCATGTTTATCTGGTGACTTGACATTTTTAGCCGGTTCTAAAATAACTGCTCAACTCTATGCTAAACACGGTGTTCCAGTTTACAAATATAGACACAACATTCCAACTTTAGAAACCTCAAACCAAACATTCTTAGGAACAACACATTACCAAGAGGTTGTTTACGTTTTCGATAACCCTGATCATCCAACAAACCCTTCAGATGGCTCTACTTTCTACCCAAGTCCAGAAGCTCCAAAGATAGCCAATACGATTTCCAAACTATTCGCTTCATTTATTTCGGATTTGGACCCAAATGTTGATCAATCTTTACTCAAGTATCCATCACCACAATGGCCAGATTATAAGGAATCAACTGAAAACATTGTGTTTGACTTGAAGGGATTCCATGTTGAGAAAGATGATATTAGAGAAGAACAATTCAACTATATCGAAAGTATCATCTCCCAATTAGATGCTTGAAATAGTAATAAATAAACATTCATCCGACTGGGCATGTTATGATGTCACTATATGTCTTGAAGTAATGTTCAGCGTAGAATTGGTAACATATTTAATTTCTATTAGTAAGTCTGAAGTGTAGAAAAAGTAGTAAAAGGAAGAGAGAAATCAGTTTTTATATAGAATAAGCTTAGAAGTGTAGATCAGCAGTACCAAGGACCAATTGTAAGTAATGAGTAATGAAACACATAAACTATGAATAGCACGAGCACGTACTTAAAGTGCTGGCTACTAACTACTAGCTTCTAGCTGTTCTACCCTAATATAATGGTTATATTCCAGGTGGTGATTCGTGAATAAAGCTCATACCGGTTATGACACTTATGCAAAGTAACCCTGGTTCGCGCCACACGATTCCAATTCCGAGGCTGCTCACGTGACAGGGGTTTATTCCGACCACGCTTACCTAAAATAATTTTAATTTTTCAGTTGTTGAAAACTCTCGAGGAAGGAAACTGGTATTGAACAAAACAAACAATTCAATCAATTCACACCAGAGTGGCCGAAATTGTCCTATTATTCAAACAGTTTCAATGAAGCTATTGACCTAATTCAGTTGAGATTGGTGTAGTAGCGTTACATTTTGGGAAGCTATGGCAAGAACATGGAAGTGGTGAAAGTGGAAAATTTGATTACTTTTGGTGATATTTTCGGAGCCATGAAAGATTTTGAAGAAATTTGAAGAGTTCTAGTGAGCTAAGCATATGAGATTTCAGTACCCATTTCAACTTTTCTGATACAAGATACTTTACTAGCAAGTTTTTGGCCAAAGGAGGCGTTGGGTAGTGAAAAGGGGGTTTTCAAACCCGATAAAATGCAGTCTAGGGCCATAAGTATCCAACCAAATGAGAAACTAACAATTTTATTGCGATCTACAGGTTGAAATACAATTTATGAACATGTTATTGGAGTACCGCTGAGGTGTTGGAGGCCCAATTTCAGCTGGTATGTACCTCATTTTCTCTAGATTTATTTCCTTGATCCTCAAAACCCATCCAAAACCGCCCAAAATTCGCGGAAACCAGGGAAAATCCGATCAATGGCCTTGAAAAATTCATCCAAGGGTCCATGAAAAACCCTGATTTTGAAAATTCCGGGTCAGTTTTGACGGTTAATGGCTATTTTAATAGTGGTTTCCATATCAAAATTTGGAGAATTTTACAGTTTAGGTGTCAGATTTGGCAGAAGTGAAGTTGTTGAGATTGGAATATTCAAAAGATGGTAGTGTGGTGATATATGGATGGATTGTGAATCCGATAAAATGAACACTACAGCTCGCCAGATGAACTCCCATGTTCAAAGGGGTACTGCTTTGGAGAATAGAGGTGGAAATACAACTTTTGGTGCTATGAATGGTATTCTAAAGGTACTTTTTGGAAAGTTGTGATGCCAAGTTTGAAACCCGTGAAACTGCATTTCCAAGTGTTTTTTGGAAAATATTGTTAAGCGGATGGTGCAATTCAATGGAATCTTCAACTTCTCAAGGTAGCTAAATGGCTAGAGTTTTATGCGGTGGTGTTTTTTCGCTGGTATGTGGCGTTTTGGAGAAGTGTGATACCAAAGAAGTGATGAAGTCAGTGTTTTCCGGGTGTTTGGGTACCATGAATGGTGAAATATTTTGATGAGCAGAACACTTGAGAGGAAGCTATAAAGCTCGGGTGATAATTCTCGCTGAGACACACATTTGATACATACAACTTTACTGTTTCAAAGGCAATGCTGCAAGGCTATCACCAAAACAAGATTTTGCCAAAATCGAAAATGCGATTTTTCGACCCTCTATTTTTGAAGATATTTCAGCCCACAGAAGTGATATTGAGAAACGGGAAAAAGACTTGAGATGCTGCTGTTACCGCGCACCAGTGAAGACCTGTTTTGTGAAGTGTAAGGGGTGAATCCCGAAAGTTGATGGGAAAACATGGTTTTTTGGTACCTCTAAAAAACAAGTTTTTTGAGAATATCTTTTTAACCAGTGAGTGAAATTGAAAATGGGGTCCACCATATGAAAATTCAGAGTTTGATTGACCCTTAGGACTTTTTACTTTGGACGCGCTGGGCTGTTAATGGTGTTAAAATTGGGTCTAAAGTCAAAATTTGGACTTTCAGAAATACCCTTAATTCAGACTTTTCGAAAACTTTTTTTTTTGAAAAAAAGTGATTTCTTAACTATGGCAGAAAAAAAATGAAACCCGTGTTTCGGGATTATTAAGTGAACTAAGAAGCTTTTCGAGGTATAGGAAAGAGTTCCTATATCTAATTTTGGTCTATTTTTCAACAGGTTGATTGTTATTTGAAAATTCTTTTTGGTTGTGTTTTTATCGGTTAAGTTGTGCTAAAATTTTAGAAATTTGATATTTAAGAATCCGATAAAATGAAGACTACAGGTTCTCAGATAAGCTCCCATGTGCAAGGTGGTATTATTATGGAAAATAAAGGTGGAAATACAGCATATTCAGTTGAGATTGGTGTAGTAGCGTTACATTTTGGGAAGCTATGGCA